ACTTTGAGCCTCCGCCGCCATTCACACACTCCCCTACGCGTCCTCCCCTCTGCGACCCCTGCAGGCGCACTTGCCAGGGCCCCCTCCCTGGCTGCCAAGCTGCTTGAGCTGTGCGCCCGGCACGAGGCCGGCTGGAAGGAGCAGGCTGCACCGCAGCCTCTGGCGGCGCCCGAGGCGGCGGCCAAAGCGCCGCCGCCGCCGCCGCCCGCTGCCGAGGGCTGCTGGGGCTCTGGGCCGCACGCAGATGCCGACGCCGTGCCTGCAGCCCTGGCAGCCCAGCTGCGCATGGGCCCGCCCGCCCCGGCCGCCTCTGCCGGCACCGACGGCTCCACAGCTTCCGCCCAGCTGCCGCCGCACCTGGTGCAGCAGCAGGCGCCTGCGCTGGCGGATGAGTGGGACTACCTGGCTCCCGACGGCATCAGCGTGTACGGGCCCTTCTCCCTGGAGCAGCTGCAGTTCTGGGTGGGGCAGGGCCACATGGCGGCAGACGTCCAGGTGCAGCCCGCAGCCTGTCTAGGACCTAGATCTAGATCTGTGGATGCTACATGCCTCCTGCTCCTTGCTTGCGTGCCTGCTTGCTTGCCAGCGCTTGATGCTCTGTGTGCTTGCCATGTGCTTGTTTGCCTGCGAGTTTCATGCGTGCCTGCATGCCTAAAGGAGGCCTGCTCCCCCACCGCCGGCCGAGCGCCCTGCAGGTGAGGCAGCACAGCAGCCCCCCCGCCGCCGCCAGCTGGCACGACCTGCGCGCTGAGGCCCACGCCTTGGCCACAGGCGGCCGCCTACCAGACGCCGTGAATCCGGCTCTTGCCGCGCCGCCGGCCCCAGCTCAGGCTCCCATGCCCATGGCAGCGACCGCGCCTGCCCCCAGCAACGCGCTACTCAGGCCGTCAGCCCCCACCTACGTTCCTGCCAGCCCCAACGGCGGCACGCTGCTGGTCCCAGTCGCACTTGCCCCCAACTTTGTGCCAGCAGGTGGGCGACGCAGGCCCTGCCAGCAGGCAGGCTGGGGGGCCAGCGGCAGCATCATGCTACAATTGCTACCGATCAGCCGGACTGCCGACATACCTGCTGCTGATGTGGGGGTGCGTGCTCCTGCTTCCTGCTCCCGCTGGCATGCAGGCAGCTGGCAGTCGCCGACCCACGTGGTGCCAGCAGCAGCGGCTGGAATCCCTCCGCCGCCACAGCTGGCACCTGCTGCTCCCCCTGCAGCTGCTCCCGCCAAGCCCGCAGAGGTTCCCGATGCGGCTGCCTGGGCCACAGCCGTGCATACCAAGCCCTCTGCCGCCGTCCCTGTGCCTGCCGCCCCTCGTGACCGGCCGCTGCAGCAGCAGGTGGCGGCGCTGATCCGCACCGGCAACAAGCCCGGCCTCGGCAAGGACGGCGCGGGAGGCAACGGCAGCAAAGCCGGCTCGCCAGCAAGCAGCAACAGGTTCATCTCCGGCGGCAGCCGCAAGAAGAGCGTGGGGTATGAGGATGACAAGGTGCCGCCTGGCCGCCTGGAGGCCCTGCTGCCAACGCCGCATTGGCCGCCGCCGCCGCCGCAGAGCAGCTCTGCATGGCGCTTTGGCAGCAGGTGTGCCTCATGCCGTCGTGCCCGGCAACGAACTCAGCGGCTCCCGCCCGCATGCCCTGCCCCCTGCCCTGCGCCGCAGGAGTGGCTGGTGAAGAATGCTCGGGGCAAGTGCTCGGGCCCCTTCACCGGCCACGAGCTGCTGGGCATGCTGCAGAACGACACGCTGGCTGAGGACTCGATGGTGGGCGGGGCAGAGAGGCGGGGAGCCGGGGGCTGGCCAGGGTCTGGGCGGGGCAGGGGCAGGGCGCAGGGGACGCGCCCGCTGGGAAGCTGAGCGGGCACCATGCACCAGCCCTCCCAACCCGGCAGCACGTCCCTGCCTGCCTGCCTGCCTGCCTGCCTGACTGCCTGCAGATCAAGAAGGCGGACTGGAAGGCGTACAGGCCGCTGGAGCAGGTGGAGGATGTGATCCTGGAGATGTTTAGTAAGAAGCCCGCCGGCGGCGCCTCCCGCGCCAGCCTCGCCGCCCTGGACCGCCGCGGCTCAGACCTGGAGAATGCCAGCGGCGGCTGCGGCGGTGGCGGCGGCGGCAAGCAGGGCAGCCGCTCAGGTTGGTGATGCCAGATGGGCGGGCGGCGCGCCAGGCTGCATTTCCATCCTTGGCAAGCAGCCGCAGTGCCGTGACGGGGCGCGCCACCTGCTGCTCCCACCTCGTCCATTCACCGCATTCCACTGTGCTCGTGTTTTCCATTATCTGTGTGGGGACACAGGGCTCCGCGCAGTGTTGTAACACACCCGCCGCCTCCGGTGGCTGCTGCCTGCGCGCAGTGAGCGCCACCCCAACCGCCGCGTCGCCTGGGAGCAGCAGCGACTGGTTTGCCAGCCCCACCCTGCAGCGCCCAGCCTCATCCATCACGCAGGCTGGCCATGCCGCGCCCATCAGCCCTGCTGACAGCCACGCCAGCCCGGGGCCAGCAGCGGCTGCCGCTTCGCTCCGCGCCCCTCTGTCCCCTGCCCTGCCGGATGCTCCATCATCCCCGGCTGATGCGCCGCTGCCCGGCACACCGGCGCCGCCGCCACAGCAGCAGCAGCAGCAGGGGGAGGAGGGGGAGGAGGCCGTGCCATCCCCTGCAGCCACGCCGGTGGGCATGCACACCCCAGGCCCTGCTGCTGCTGCCGATGTGCCGGCAGGGGGCACCCCGGCCTCTGTCTGCTACACTCCCGGCCAGCCCGCGCTAGACTCTGGCCTGCTGTCAGGCTTCACGCCCTCCCCAGCCCCTGGAGCCCACGGCAGCCTGGCGATGCCGTCGCCTACCAGCAGCACGGGCGGCTTTGGTGCTGGCGGTTACTCTCCGCAGCCGGCAGAGGCGGCGGGGGAGGCTGCGCCCCAGCCCTGGCAGGCGCCAGCCGCGGGAGGGCCCCAGGTGTCCGATGCCCCCAAGCCGGCGTTTGCAGCCTACTCGGCTGCTGCTGCCGCTGCCAGCGCTGCCGCCGCGGCCGGCGGCAGCAGCAGCAGCTAGAGCTGCAGCGCTGGAGGGTGCTGCCAGGCATGCTCCAGCACCAGCTGCAGCAGTGCGGAGGGCAGGGAGGCCAAGGAGCTCGAGCTGGTTTAGCTCTGTGGACCCCGCCTGCCTGGTGTGCGGCAGCACCGCCTTTCGTAATGTCAGTATCATGTGGGTTTACTTGTTACTCTGCCGCCTTCCACTTCACCAACCTGCGTGATGTTTGATGTTTAATAGACACTTGCTGGGCGCCGCCATGCCGACATGGGACAGCAGTCAAGTTCAAGGGGCATGGTGTTGCTTCCAAGTCGGGCCACGGCATCTCCGGAGGCCTGTAAAAACCCGCGTGCGTCATGTTTCCTGCCCTATTTCAGCGAGTTGACTCGGTAGAAAGGGGGCAGAGGCCGGGAGTGAAGACGCCGATGGCGCCCTCCTGCGCGAGCCATCGCCCCGCTCTGACCAATTCCACACGATCATGAGTGTCGTGACGGTTTCTTCTGGCGCATTATCGCCCACCGGCGGTGGCAACACCAGGAGGCAACTCAGGCAGCGCGCTGCCGGCCAGCGCGCAGCCCAGCAACCGCAGCAGCTTGCTCCCAGGCATCATCAGCGGCCGCATCGACCCAGTTATACTACTGCAGGTGTGTGGTGACAGCGGCGGCGCGGCGGCAACGCCGGCGGCCAGTGGGCGAGGCAAGGGCAGGGGCTCGAGTGATCAACTGATCTGCTTTCAGCTCTCAGTTCTGCGCTGATCAATTTGCGTGCCCTCTGTTTTGCAGCTGACTGGCGGCAATGCCAGTGGCGCCAAGCAGCAGCCACCGGCGCTGCCGCCGACGATGGCAGCCTGGGCGCCGGCGTCTCGCTCGATGCCGGCCACCCGGGCAGTCTGCCCGACAATGGCGTCCCTAGCAGCAGCAGCAGCAGCGCAGAAGGCCATTGGCTTGGCGACCAGCATGCAGCAGCAGCGCCGCAGCAAGGCAACAGGCAGCGAGAGGGCAGCGCAGCCCCGGCAGCGGCAGGCCCAGAGGCAGGCCAGGATGCGCAGCCGCTGGGCGACGAGCAGCAGCAGCAGCAGCAGCAGCAGCAGCAGCAGGCGGGGCAGCAGCAGCAGGCGCAGGGGCCGTGGCGGCTCCAGTGGCAGCTGCCAGACGTGCCGTGGGCGCTCAACACGACCATCACGCTCATGGTCCTCTGGCTGCTCTGCTTCTGGGCGGCGGCATACACGCTGGTGCCCAACCTGCTGCGCTGGGCGGGCGTCGAGGCCGCGGGTGGCGCCGCCACGGCAGAGGCGGCGGCCTGGGTGCAGGTGGTGCGCCACCTGGTACTGGATGGCCTGCAGGTGGGCACCACGGTGCTGCTGCTGCGCCGCGGCCTCGCGCCCTACTCGCCCCGCCAGCTGGGCCTGTTTGCCGCGCCGCTGCGCCCGCTGCGGCACTGGCTGCTGGCGGTGGCGGCGGGGGTGCTCACCTTCCCTGTCATCGACTGGCTGTACAAGAGGATGGTGGCGGTGCTGGCGGCGGCAGAGGAGCAGGCCGTCAGGTGGGCCTGGCGGGTGGGCCGCGCTGCCTGGCGGGCTGCAGCGCAGGCACCATGCCTGTGTCGCCTTGCGCGTGCACCCCTGCTGCTGTTTTGCCATTGCCCCACGATGCCGCCGCGCTTCTTTGCCCCGCCGCCGCATGCCGCGCAGCTCCACCGCCGACCAGATTCTGGGCACCAGCAGCTGGGCCACGCAGGCGCTGTGGTTTGGCGTGCTGGCGGTGTGCGCGCCTGTGTGGGAGGAACTGATGTTCCGCGGCTTCCTGCTGCCCTCGCTGGCCCGCTACCTGCCCCACTGGGCCGCCATTGCCGCCACCTCCCTCATCTTTGCGCTGGTGCACTTCAGCCGCGACGGCCTGCTGCCGCTGCTGCTGCTGGGCTGCGTGTTCGGCGCCTCCTACGCCTACACCCGCAACCTGCTGGCGCCCATCGTGCTGCACAGCCTGTGGAACGTGGGCCTGCTGGTGCAGCTGCTGGCGGGCAGCGGCGCCGTCTAGCGGCCGGGCCGCAGCTGTTTTTCCTCCGCTCTCGCTGTTTGCAGGTGATCGTGCCCTCATTTAATTCTCTCGCATTTTCCGTGTGCGGCACGCCAGATATCAAGCCGCGATTGCTTGTAATAAGCCCTCCCAAGTCTACCAGTTATGAGCCCATCCCGCCGCCGCCAGCGTGGCTGCGCGGCGACGCGACGGAGGCATGCATGCATGAAGATCCCACAATCGAGCGTTTCTCATCCATACACCCACACGATGGTGCTAGCTGCGGTAATGCAGTGTTGCGGCGGCCAGGCGCTTGCGGCGGCGTGCAGGGCAGGTGAACGCGGGCGGCGGACAGCCTGCGCGTGCGTGGCAGCAGCTGGGGGAGGGAGAAAGCGGGCCCCGCGGTTCAGCAGCGGCGCCGGCCCTCCCGCCGAGCAGCCGCCGCCTGCCGCCGCCGGTGCCGCCCGGCCGCCGGCGGCAGCGGCAGCGGCAGCAGCGGGGCTGTCGCCCCTCAGCGACCGCCGCCTGCTGGCCGAGAAGCTGACCCACACGGCCAAGAACATCGTGTGGGGGGACCTGCGGCACGAGCGGCCGCAGGAGGCGAGCAAGGAGCGCATCCACGAGCTGCAGGAGCGGCTGGGCTACCGCTTCAGCAACCTCTACCTGCTGCGCCTGGCGCTCATCCACAGCAGCGCGGCGCCCACCACCCACAACAGCATCATGGCCTGGATCGGGGACGCAGCCATGTACCTGGTGGTGGCCGAGGAGGTGGCGGCGGCGCTGGGCTACGCGCCCATCGGGCAGCTCAGGTGCGGCAGCGGCGGCTGTTGCCGTGTACACGACTGTGGGCGGCCACCAACACACTTCTCGCCAGAGAGGTCATGCCTCTCTGCACCAGGGGCCACCCCACCAGCCATCTCTGCTGCACCACTGAGCTGCGCTGCTGCCGCCGCTGCTGCTGTGCCCGCAGCGAGGTGCGCAAGACGCTGATTGGGCGCGCCATGTGCGAGAAGTATGCCGCACACCTGGGCCTCTCGGAATACCTGGTGCTGGGCAAGAGCGTGCGGAGTGAGTAGCCCTGCCGCAGCGCCTCTGCCAGCACCGCTCTGCTGCAACGCATGTTGAGCTTTGCTGGCTGCGTGCGGCGGCGGAGCTGTGTACTTGTTGTCAACAGCTGCCTTCCTGTGGTGGCTGCCTGGCGCCCGCTGCTGCAGTCCAAAACGCGGGCGTGGCGAGCAGCAACATGGTGCGTGCCTGCTTGGGCCCGCTAGGCCTTGCATGCTTTGCAGCACGAGCCTGCTGTGCTGGCCGTGATTTGCCGTTGTGGGATCAGCGCTCTCGGTTGGTCTGAAACCCACCCTGCGCTGCCTGCTGGGCGCCCCCTCCCATGCCTGCAGCTGGCCGAACTGTTTGAAGCAGTCATGGTGAGCCGCCTCCTGCCGCTGTTGTGCTGCTGATGCGCTGCCTGTACATCAGCCCTGCTGCATGACGCGCCTTTCTCAGCCGCGGGGCCGCCGCCTGACGGCCCCACCCTCTGGCTCCTGCTGCGCAGGGGGCTGTGTACTTGGATGGCGACCTGGATGCCGTGCGGCGCTGCTACATCTCGCTCTTCCCCCTGCCAGCCGACCCGCTGTCGCTGCTCCAACCTGACGGCAGCGGCAGCACGCCCAGCAGCAACGACCCCAGCCCCTGGGAATGACGCCCGGGGCTGCGGGAGCTGACGCCCCTGGGCCCAACCGTAGCGGCGGGCTGGCCAAGCTGCAGTTGTGCTTCTGGCCAGCTGTGTTGTTGCACTCATTATTGCGTTGTGTGCATGATAGGTAACCCAAACCAAACCAAACTCTCAACTTGTCACAATTTGACGACCAAGGCGTGATACAAGTTTGCTGAAGGGCCGGGTCAACGGAGGACAGGCAGGGTGGGTGCAGTACCATCTCTTGGTACCCATCTCTAGGTACCCATGTCTTGGTGTGGGCAGCCGCGGGGGTTTGCCCCCCGCTCAGCCGTCCTGCGGCAGCGGCTTGTCGCCCACCCACCACGCGAACAGCACCGCGCCCACGCAGTAGTGCGCGGCGGTGATGCCAAACACGAGCGGCCAGCTGCCCGTGGTCTGCAGCACCACGCCCGTCAGCGGCACCGCCAGCAGGCCCGCCACCGTGGCCGAGGTGTTGCCCGCGGCAAACACCACGCCCGCGTGCTTGGGCGCGACGTCCAGGTGGCTGACGCTGACGGCTCCCAGCGTCAGGGCGTTCAGCCCCAGTCCCACAGTGATCCAAGCCGAGGCGGCGCCGGGGTCGCCGTCAGTCAGCGGCGAGGCGGCGGCCAGCATGCAGGCTGCGGGGCCCAGCATGCCCGCCGTCTGCAGCACGCGGCGCACGCGCCTCACGGGCCACCCCCGCGCCAGCAGCTTGTCGGCGATGACGCCTGCGTGTGGAGGCAGGGCCGGGCGCCGGGCGGAGTCGGGCGGCAGCCTGCCAGCGCTGGTCGCACTAAACCCTGTAACGTCGCCATCAGCAGCCACCCAACGCACCCAGCACCGCATGCGGCCGCCGCCGCGGCACGCAGCGGCTGGCATGCGTCCACGCACCGCACCGCACCTGACGCAGCGCCCACCGACCCCTGCACCACGTACGGCAGCAGGGTGAAGCTGGCCAGCTGCGCAATCTCCACGTGGTAGTGGTCCTTGAAGAAGGAGGGCAGCCAGTTGAGCAGGCCTGGAGGGGGCAGGCAGGCAGGCAGGCAGGCAGGCAGGCAGGCAGGCAGGCGGGCAGGCAGGCAGGCAGGAGTGGGGCACACATGCGAGGCTGTGTGTGTGAGAGAGGAATGGAGATAGGGGAGGGGCAGAGCAGAAGCCTGCCGCTGTCTCTAGGGGTGACCATGTAGGCTGATCGGTGCAGGGTGCGGGGCGGGTGCATGGGATGGCTTCGGGGTGCAGGGCAGGCGGCGTGCGGGGGCAGGCGGGCGCACGCGGCGCACCGTAGAATCCCCAGGAGCCGGTGTACTGCGCCGCGCAGATGGCCCACACCTCGCGCGTGCGGATGAGCGCCGCAAAGCCCACCCCGTGCCGCTGCTGCTCCTGTACCAGGTATGCCACCGCCACGCCGTCAGACCACTCGGTGCCCGCCTCGCTGGCTGCAGGCGGCGCGGGCAGGCAGGCAGGCCTCAGGCGGCAGCAGGCGAGAGGCGTCACGTCACGGCCACGAGGTGGCGGCGCAGGCAAGCCGGTGTACCGCACTGCTGCTGCTGGTACAGGCGCCCTGCCCGTTGCTCTCCCGAGCCGCTGCTGCCTCTAGACCCCCACCTGCATCGTCTGGCAGCGACCGCGCCGTCTGCAGCCGCTGCTTGCTCCCCTCGCCTGCCACCGCGTCCAGGCTGGGCCGCGCCCCGCCGCTGCTGCCGGCCTGCCCCTGTGCCTCGCGGTCGGGAGTGAGGCGCAGGCTGGCATCATCCGCATCCGCCGTGGCAAACAAGCTCATGAGGCTGAAGCTCTTCCCTCCCCCTCCTCCTCCGTGCCGGCTGCTGCTGCCGCCCTCCATGCGCTGCGGCAGCCAGAAGGGCAGCCACAGCGCCGCCGAGGCGCCAAACAGGTAGAACACCCACTGCAGCGCGGCAGGCGGAGCGGAGGCAGCAGGGCGCGAGCGGTCGGCAAGCGGGAACGGCACTGTGCTGGCCACTGGAAGGTGTGTCAGGCAGGACGGCATGCACGGCATGCACGGCAGCACGACAGCGCGGCAGCCGACGCCGCCATCGAACCGCAGCACCGCGCAGCGGCGGCAGCCCGTCGCAGGAGGGGGCCGCACGCGGCAGCGGCACAAGGTCGACCACCCCCTCACCGGCCACCCGAGCTCCTCGATGATGGTTGGCGCCAGCCCAAACGCCACCGCGGTGCCCGCGTAGCTGGCGGCAGTGACCACCCCCACCGCGGTGGACTGCTTATCCTGAGGGATGCTGCGGGAGATGATGGAATGGATGGCGGGGAAGGCCACCCCCTCGCCCAGCCCCATCGCAATCCTGCGCGCGGCGCGGGGGCGCGGCAGCCGGCGCCGTCGGTGCGCATCCGTGGCGGCGGCAGCGCGGGCTGCTTGGCAGCGGGCCGACCGCTTGGCGCGCGAGAGAGGGCAGCACATGGGCCGAAGGCTGCCGGGCAGGTGCCAAAGCTTGCAAGGAAACCAGGAGGGCGTGTGGCCATGCCCAACCCCAGCGGCACCTGCTACACCCATCCTTCCGCTGCTGCTTGCTGCGGCATGGCTGCGTGCCTCGCTCACCGCATGGCGACGAGGGCGGGTATGCCCAGGTAGGCGGTGGGCGGCGTGAGGATGGTGCAGACCGACCAGGCCGCCACCCCAGCCGTCAGCACGCCCTTGCCGCCGTACCGGTCCGCCAGGGCGCCTGCAGCCGCGGCGGCGAGACCACGCCCCCGGCTTGAGGCGCTCGCTCGGGGACGCGCACCCTGGCTGCTTGCCTGCCTACCACCCTGCTGGCACCACCCTGCCACGCCCACCCCTGCCACCCCCTTGCGCCTGCTGCAGACGCGCTCCCGGCGCGTGCTGCTGCCTGCCGGCCTCCCCCGCCCACCCACCTCCCAGCATCTGTGTGAGGAGGTAGCCCAGGAAGAACATGGAGAGGATGAGGCCCTGCCAGCTGGGCTCCCACCCAAACTGCTCGCTCATGGGGATGATGGCTGTAGAGATGTTGGAGCGGTCGGCGTAGCAGATGGCCACAGACAGCGCGGTCAGCGCCACCTGGCACAGCACGCGCAGCGGGGGGGGGGCCCGGCGGGTGAGGTCGCAGCGTGCGCGTGCGTGTGCACGTGTGCGTGTGTGGGTGTTGTGTGGGTGTGTGTGGGTTTCAGGGCGGCTCCAGGCAGGCATGCGAGCAAGCAGGCGCGGCGGCTGCACTTGGCAGCAGCAAGCACGCGTGAGCAGGCGCATGGGCTCGCCCTGCTTGGGGGGCGGCACCAAGGCGGCGGCGGAGTGCCCACCAGCAGCTCCCACGAAGCGGGCTGGTTGGGGGCGGGGGCCGGAGCGCCTGCCAGCACACCATCGTCCGCCTCTTCGTCTGCAGAGTCGTGGGACCGCGCCTGCACACGCTGCCCTCGCGCCAGGCCCGCCAGCTGCATGTAGCAGCCCTTGACGCCTGCAGGCGGCAAGGGGAAGCACCAACTTGGGTGTGGGTCGCGGCGCTCGGCAGCGGTTTGGGCCCGAGCGATGCGCAGCGGTGTTGGCAGGGTCAAGCCCACCTGCGGCTGATTGGCTGAGGAGGAGGGTGGGGTTGCGCCAGTTCATTTTAGACAGCTGGGGCGAGGTTGGGCGGCTGCTGCTGCCGGCCGGCGAGGCGCTGCCGCTCCTGCTCATGGCGGCGGCGGCGACGCGGTGGGTGGGCGTCGGAGCTGCGGTGCGGGGCGTCGCGCTGCAAGCTGCACGGGCTCTCAGGCCGCCCTGCACCAGCATGAGCACCGCAGGAGGGGACTGAGCCCGCACTGGGCGCGTGCTGATCGCCCCGTGGTGCTTGCTGGTGTCGCCGCTCCTTTGCTGAAATCCTTTGCTGGATGATCAGCGATGTGATGTTTCGGAGGCCCGAGGAGTCGGGCGGGGTGCGCTGGAAAGACGCGGAAGAATTAAACGCCGGGCGAGAGATTATAGCCACCCAGGGGTAGGGAGCAATCCGATGGAACACTAGAGAACCGCTGACAATCGATAGAAGGTACAGGAGGCAAGTTTGGCGGAAGGGAGTAGCATCTGCTCCAGTCGCCGCTGGCGCTTTCGCAAAATGAGTGCTGGCCATCATGCATCAGTGATCTGATCAGTCTCCAGCAGTTTGGGGGCTCTGGATAGGAGGAATTCCGTGCCACGCTGGACGAGGGTAATAGTGGGTAATAAGGGGCCGTGGTGCCGGGTAATAGCACCACGGCTAATAGCACCATCCCTGTTCAAGTTTGAAGACGCCTGTTGACATCACATTGGGGGACCAGGCTGCGGTGAGGCGTCCTCCTCCCGTACATACGCCTGCACCTGGAGTTGTTGCCGCCGCCGCTGCTTCCGCCTCCCCGCCCTCTTTTTGGCTGTTTGTTACAAGCCATGTGAAACAACGCACAAAAACAATAGCGAAACTCTACTGACAGCTCAGATCTCAGTCGAGGGGTTTCGAGGAAGCTAAAGGGGAAAGGTCGCATGCTCGGCGCCACGCTCAGAGCGGCAGGACGGACGAGCTCGTTGCCAACGAGGAGATGAGCAGGGCGACTGCTGCCACAATCAGCGTCGCCATGCCGCACACCACGCCGCCAGCGATGAGCCAGGTGGGAATGGACAGCACCATGCGCTCCGTGCCCTCTGCCGCCAGCATCTCGCTGGCTGCCAGGTAGGACAGCTGGCCGGTGGCAGCACCGGCGGTGGGCCCAGCCAGCAGCTGGCGCCCGGTGAGGCGAGTGGGCGCAGTGCGGGCGTAGAAGTTGGCGATGAAGGGGCTGGCGCCGCTGCTGTCGCTCATGGCCCGCACCAGCGGCTCCGGCTCCTGCGGGGAGGCCAGCGGGCAGCACAGGGCGGGGAAGCTTTGGAGCGGCGCTGCGGAGAGCAAGTTTGATCAGCAAGCCATTGCCGCTGGCTGGCAGCGGCCCGCCCCTTTGCTCACCGAGGCGGTCAGGGGCGCAATGGAGACGGCCATGTTGCGGACGCACAGCCCGCTGGGTGCGTGGCGCGACCAGCCATAGGCGCAGCGCTGGCAGCCGTCGCCCGCGTACCCCTCGAAGCACAGGCAGGCGCCGGTGGGCGTCAGGCAGGAGCCGCGCCCGGAGCAGAAGGCTGCGGAGCCTTGGGAGGTGGGGCACTGGATCCACGGCAGCGGGCAGTCGGCGATGCAGGAGGGGGACGGGGGCAGGCCTGGCAGCTGGGCCAGTCGCTCCCCGATCTGCATGGGAGGCAAGCAGCAGGGAGGGGATCCTGCTCAGGCTGGTGAGGGGGGACAAGGAAGAGTGCAGCGCTGCAGCTGGCCTCAGGCCCCCAGCTTTGCTGCCCTGCCCCGCCGCGGTAGAAGCAGGCGGGCTGCCAGCCCCAAGGCCCAGCCCAAGCCCCACCCACCTCGCAGATGCCGTTGCCGCAAACAGGGTCATGGCGCGGGTCGGCGACGGCGGCGGATGCCCAGGCCCCCAGCGGAGCCGCCTTGGAGCTTGGCCAGCACAGAGGAGAGGGTGTGGGAGGGGCTGGGCGGCAGCAGCGACATGGCCAGGGTGGCGGTGCCGGGGCCGGAGGTCTTGTTGAGGGACGCGGCACGCAGCGCCAGCTGGGGGATGCCCAGCAGCACCGCCACCGAGCGCTGGGCGGTGTAGAGCAGCTGGCTGCCGGCGCTGGCGTTGCCGAGGCCGGCGATGGACAGGGAGAAGGCGATGAGGCAGCTGGTGCCGTCGCCGTCGCACACGCCGCACTCGTCAATGGCGCCCGAGGCGCAGCAGGCTCCGGTGGCATCCAGCGGGCCAGGGCAGCAGGCGCCAGAGGCGTCGACAGTGGTACCGGTGCCGCCGCACACTCCGCAGACGTCGACGGCGGCGGGGCAGCACTCGCCAGCGGCGTCCAGGGAGGCGCCGGCAGGGCAGCAGGCGCCGCTCTTCGCGACGATGCCTGCAGACAGGCATGGAAGGGAAGGGCAGAGTGAAGCAGGGTGCACACCCTCTGAGGGTCATTGGAGAGGCATGTGTGTGGCGTAGTGCAGGCCGGCAGGCAGGCAGGCAGGCGGGGACGCTGGACCATTCAGCCCACCTGAGGCGCAGGAGGAGGCGGGCAGAGGCGGAGGGGTGGTGGCGCAGGACTCCACGGTGGCGGGGCTGCCCAGGCAGTCGTCGGCGGCCTGGCCCAGCTCGGTCAGGCAGGCGGCGGAGCGGGTGCGGGTGGCCGAGGCGCCGCAGGCGCTCCAGCCGCTCAGCAGCCAGGTGCGGGCGTGGCAGGGGCTGGAGTTGCACACGCGCTGGGGGGCGGGGCGCGGCAGGCCTGCGCAGGCGCTCTCGGCCACGGGCTCGGCATCGGCCACGCAGGTCACGGGACGCTCCTGGCTGCCGCCGCCGCAGGCCGCCGAGCAGGGGCCCCACTCGCCCGCAGACCAGTGGGCCCCCAGGCAGGACGGCTGCTCGGCAGAGCAGGTGGCGAGGGAGTAGAGGCTGCGGCAGGTGGAGGTCCCAGCTGGCAGCAGCAGGCCCAGCGCAGCGCACTGGCTGTGCAGCGCCTGGGTGCCGGTGCCTGCAGACAGGGAGGGCAGGGCAGGGCAGGCAGCGTTCCTGGGAGTCAGCACCATCAAGCCGGCCTGTCTCCATTTGTCTGCGGCTGCTGAGACGCCATTTCCCGCATGCCTGCTGCCCACGCACCGCAGGAGGCGGAGCAGGGAGCAGCAAACCGAAGGAGCACAGGCTCGGTGGCGGCAGGACGGTCGGCAGCAGGCAGGTCTTCGGTGACGGGCTGGGGTTCTTTGGCGGCAGGCTGGGGTTGTTGGGCAGCGGGGCTCTCAGGCACGGGGCTCTCAGGCAGAGGCGCGGGGCTCTCAGGCGCGGGGCTCTCAGGCAGGGGAGCGGGGGTGGAGGGCGACGGGAAGAGCGGAGCGGGTGTCTGCGCAGGTCCTGCAGCAAGGCAGACAGCAGCGCGTCAGCCAGACGGTGGTTGAAAGACAGGCAGGGCTGGCACAGGCGTTGGGACCCGCACCTGTGGCGGGCGAGGGTGGGGGAGACGGGTAGGCACCGGGCTGGCCGTAGCTGCCAGGCTCAGCGGGAGGGGTGCCATACTCGCCGCCGTCGCCAGGCTCGGCAGGGGTGCCGTAGCCGCCAGTGGGCGCGGGGCTGGCGGCAGGCTGCTCCGTGGCCGGGGAAGGGGAAGCGGGCTCAGGTGAGGGCGGCGATGACGGCTGCTCGGTGGGCGGAGCGGGCGACTCAGGTGAAGGCTGGGGTGGCTGCTCCTCAGTTGGCTCAGCAGGGCTGGCGATCGGCTCTGGGGATAGCAGGGGGGAGAGCTCGGGGGTTGACGGGCTCTCCGCCGGCACCTGCTGCGGCTCCTCCTCAGCAGGCGGAGGTGTAGCCGCCGGCGAGTCGGAGGGCGGGGCGGGTGACTCTGGCAGCGGCGCAGCAGGGCTCTCCTCTGCCGGTGAAGCAGGCGGGTCAGTTGGAGGCGGGCTGTCGGGCAGTGCTGGGGACTCTGGCGCAGGGGAGGCGGACTCAGAAGGCTGCTCTGTGGATGGAACGGGCGACTCGCCTTCGGCAGGCATCGGGGTGGCAGGGCTCTGCTCTGCAGGTACCACCACAGCCGGGCTGGATGGCTGCTCTGCCTGTGGGGAGGGCGATGGCTCGAGGATGGCCGGGCCAGGGCTGGCAGGCGGCTGCTCCTCAGCGGGTGGCGACGGGCTGGCGGGCTGCTCGGTCGGCAGGGCGGGAGATTCGGGCGCAGGTGGCCACGCCTCTGGCAGGTCTGTGGGCAGAGACGAGGGCTCGGGAGAAGGTGGAGACGGATGGGGTGGGGGTGGCGTGGGCTGAGGCTCCGGCACAGGCGACAGCTCCTCAACAGGTGTGGCGGGGGTGGTTGGGCTCTCGGATGGCGTGGGCTGAGGCTCCGGCACAGGAGACAGCTCCTCAACAGGTGGGGCAGGGGCGGCCGGGCTGTCGGGAGCTGGTTGCGGCTCCTCGGTTGGCGGGGCGGGGCTGGGGGTTGGCGCCGCCGGCTCGCAGTAGCCGCAGGAGAGCGGGCAGAAGGCGGCGGCCCAGGGCTGGTCACAGAGGGACTGCTTCTGCGGTAGGGGCGGCAGGAGAGGCGGTCAGCCAAATGCATTGAGGCAGCACAGCTGCACAGCCGCAGCAGCAGCTGGGCTCTGGCAAGGGTGCTAGTGCGCCAGCGCCACTCACCAGCACATTGGCGCATGCGAAGGAGCTCGTGGAGATGTCCATGCAGCCGCCGCCAAAGCCGGCAGCGGGCGCTGGCTGGGGGCTGGGAGAGGATATGGGCGGGGCGGGTGTGGGAGCGGCGGGCTCGGGCTTGGGTGTGGCGGGGGAGACGGCGGGGGAGGGAGACGGAGAGAGTGAGAGAGCGTCGGGCTCGGGCTCGTGTGTGGCAGGGGAGACGGCGGGGGAGGGAGACGGAGAGAGTGAGGGAGCGGCGGGCTCGGGCTCGGGTGTGGCAGGGGAGACGGCGGGGGAGGGAGACAGAGAGAGTGAGGGAGCGGCGGGCTCGGGCTCGGGTGTGGCGGGGGAGACAGCATCGGGAGGCGACAGGGAGGGCTCTGCAGGCTGGGGCTCGGGTGGCGGCGGGGTGGCGGGGGAAGCGCTGGGGGCGGCTGGCTCCGCTGGCGACAGAGGGGTGGAAGAGGAGGGGCTCGGAGAGGCTGGCTCCGCCGGCGAGGGTGCTGGGGCGGGCGAGGCGGCGACAGGTGAGGGCGCCTCTGCCTGGGGTTCTGTGGAACAGATGCCGCAGGAGGTCTGGCAGTTCAGGCTGCAGCGCAGGCGAGGGGAAGCATGCCGGGGCCAGGAACAAGAGGGGCCGGGGATCAGGAGTGCAAGCGCCAGAGCTTCCCTTTGACGTGCAGCGCCAGCTGGCCTGCATAGCACTACCGAGAGAGTCCTGTCCCAGGCACGCCCACCTGACGTAGGAGCCGATGAAGGAGTCGCCTGCCGTGTCGGGAGAGCAAGGGTTGGGCAGCGTGCTGCAGCAGCGGCAGGGGAGGGCAGGTCGGGGGGTGTTGCGGCGCCACGTTGCGGCGCCACGGGGACAAGAAGGAAGGGCAGCATGCATCCAGCTGGCGTGTGCCCACCTGAAGAAGAAGCCGCAGGCGGCGCCGGTGTCAGGCTCCTTGAGGCAGGTGGTGGCGGTGGGAGGCAGCGGTGCCGGTGGCGGCGAGGCGGGGTCGGCGGCGGCCTCGGGGACGCAGTGCCCGCACGTCTTCTCGCACTGCATGCTCATGAAGACGGTCAGGAAGCCTGCAGACAGCGGGTAGCAGGGCAAGGAGGCATGGGTCAGGGCGTTCAGTCATGCAGAGGAGGTCCATCAGGGCCCGCGGCAAGCCCGCGACAGCACAGCGTGACAGCTGCCCCCCCCAGCAGCGGCCCCGCTCACCCGCGGTTGAGCAGGCGCCCTCTGCCTGCTCCAGGAAGAATGCACAGAGGTCGCTCTTGTCTGCAGCCTGGCTGCATCGGACGGTTGGGGCCTGGGTGCCATTGGCGGCGGCCTCCGCCAGAAGAGCGCGGCCGGGGGTTGGAGCGCAGGCGGGACACAGCGACCTGCACAGGCGGGCGGGCAGGCTTAGGGAGAGGGTAGAGGGTGAGAGAGGCTCGGGTGCTGACAAGAGCCTATTGTCAGAGCCTCAGTCAAGAGCCTCAGCAGCGCTGAGCGCTGCTGAGGGCGTGGCCAGCTCGCCTCCTGGTGCCGGCAGGCTGCCTCGCCACCCGCCGCCAACCAACCAAGCAGTCAACCACCCGCCCACCAACCAACCTGGCAAACTCGCCGGCGGGCGAGGGGGCGGAGCAGACGGTGGGGTCGTCGACCAGCAGGACCGCGCAGAAGGGCAGCAGCTTGCTCTCTTGGGCGGGAGGGGCCGTGCCGCCGACGCTCTGGACAACAAAGGGGTTGGGCAGGAGGGCCATGGCCAGCGCATCCACGGTTGCCTGCGTCAGGGAGGGGCAGGCGAGCAGGGGCGAATTGGGGGAGCTTTCAGCTGGCGTTTTGGGCTGCGACAGCAGGGGCCTGACCTGCGACGTGCCGCCGCTGGCGGGCAGCGCCGCCGCTGGCTGGGCGGCGGCAACCGTCGCCAAGAGGGCCGCCGCGAGGAGCAGGGCTCTGCAGCAGCATCGAGGCAATCCGCAGTAAAGCGGAGGGCTGGCTGGGGCGGGCAAGAACGACCTTCGAATGGCGAATGGCGCAGGCAAGCGCGGCCCCCCGCATCCCCGCCCGCTTGCCTGCCCCAATATGACTTCATGTGCGATGCGGAATCGTCGGAAGCAGCGCGAGAGGGTTCCGCGGCCGGTCAGCGCAGGACAACGAACGTTGGGATGGCAGGGGCCTGGAGAAACAGCTCCAGTAACAGTTGGACGGCCAGCCGCGGAGAAACTTCGGTGCAGAATGACTGAGAGGGCGGGGATGGCCGCCATGAAATGGAAGCTGGCGGCATGAGTTGCGCGCTGTGGTTGTGCCTCTGCGACAGCTGGCTGATGAACGGCACACCTTTCTGTCAGCTTCAGCAGGAGCCGCGCCGAGAGCACGGCCAGAAGCCCGCAACGTCGTCTGCCGCAGCTTAGCCCTCAAGTGGATGCGCCGCCGCCGCTGCCACCGCCGCTGCCGCCGCCGGAAAGACGGGCAGCTTGTTGCAGCACGGGGTGCACCACCAAAATGGCAGTGCAATGCCGAGAGGCGCTGTAATCTAATTGTAGGATTGAACCAAAATGCTGGGGACAGGGGTGTATCTGAGAAAAGTATTAAGAGGTCTTCAGTGGGAAGCGACGCGTGGACTTCAGAGGGCTGGCCGGCGGTCATGGCCTGAGCAGCAGACACTTTGTCATGGGTGATACCACCATACGGGTAGAACGATCATCGGGGCTTCGCTGCGTTGGCGGCTGGCCCCACGCATGAGCTCAGCGGGAGGTGGTGGCGCACCTGTCGAAGCCGCGAATGATCGTGGCCTCGTCAGCTGCGGCAGCGGCAGGGGGACGTGGACTTGAGTGCGGGTGCCTTGCGCTGGCCGGCAGGCCGCTGCGGCGGCAAACAAGCAGGCGGCAGCGCTGAGCACCGCGCCAGCTCTCACCCGCGACGGGGCCGTCGTCGGTGTTCCGGTGCCAGCGCCAGACGGCCACGCTGTCGCTGAGCAGCTCCAGGGTGCCTGCAGGGATCGTGTGTGGAAGTTGCAGGTGAATCAGAGGGGTCAGCATGGGCAGCAGCTGTCTCCTGCCACTGCTCGCCCTGCTGCCAACTGCCACATGGCACTGAAACTACCCGTCGCTGTGGGGTCTCCTGCGAGCACGCACCGTGGCCGAACGAGGGCTGGCGGAAGGCCGACCAGGCGGGCTGCTTGGAGGGGCAAAAGGCGCCGTCCTGCAGAGTGATCACCGTCTCAGCTCTGGGGGTGGGCTGGTACTCAGGGAGCTGCGGTGGGACGAAGGGACGGTGGACGAGGGATCATAATCAAGGGGCCCAGGGGCAGCCGGGTGGTGCAGCCAGAGGCACGCCCCTTCCAACACCGTTCCGGACTAGCTGAGAGGGGAGCTGAGCGGCCGCAGCCCGAAGCTCCTGGTGCGGGAGGAGCTGCCTGCTGAGGGCTGCAACCTCCCCCTTCCCCCATAAGAGGCCCGGCGGCGCACCTCGAACAGGGAGGTGTTGGAGCAGAAGGCGTCGATGGGGGGTGTGTTGATGAAGGCCTTGTACTGCAGCAGGTGGGGCAGCCGGGGCCCATGGTGGGGTGGAAGGCGCTGCCCAGGCAAGTGAGGATTCAAGCGCGCGTGCGCCTGCCATCGCCCTCAAATCGCCCACTCCAACCTTGCGCGGCCCCTGCACCAGCCAGCCACGCAGCTCACCAGCCCCTCAACATTGCCGCCGTCGCCGATGGTAGTGTACATGGGGCCGCACTTGTCCCGCTGGTACTTGTAACTGCAAGTGACTCGGGGTTTGCCGGCAGTGTTAGCAACGTTGGTGTCGTGTGTGTGTGCCAGGGCAGGCAGGGGCACGGGCAGGGCAGTGGCGGCGCGGGAGGCCAGCAGGCACGGCGTCCCCAGCATGCACGCCGTGCCGCGCACCGCCCGCCGCTCACACAGGGTACGTGCGCTCGTCTGCGGGGCAGGCGGGGAGGGCGGCGGCAGCGAGAGTTTGGTCTGGCAATTGTAGCACGGCAATACGAGAGAGAGAGGCAAGGGCAGCCTGAGAGAGGCTCCTGCCATCCCTGGCGCCGCCCTGCCAACAGAAGGCAAAGCATGTAGCTGCCAGCGAGAGAAAGGATTTCAGGCTACGGCTGGCCCACTCACATGCATGCACGTGGCCGTTGAACACCAGGTCCACTTGGTGCTCGTAGAAGATGTCCTCCACCACGGTCATGAAGGTGTCGCTCTCCTGCGGGACGACAAGAAGAGCTGTGTGCTTGCTTTTCTGATCGAAAGCAGGCCAAGAGGTGACAGGAGCCCCAGCTGAGCACAAATGGAGGTGGCGGGAGCTCCAGGGGTCCTTCCCGAGCACCATGCAAAGTGCTGGCCCCAGCTCCCAGCCGGCCAGCCGGCCCAGCCGCCCACACTCGGCCTCCCATTGCCCACAACGGGCCTTGCCTTGTAATGCGTGTTGTAGGTATGATAGGGCGGCACATGGAATATGACGATCAGCCAGGGCGTACGGCCGCGGTCAACTGCGTTGTACAGACAGGCAGGCGCAGCGGCTTGACCAGGCAGGCGGGCAGGTGGGCGGGCACTGGCACGCGGCATCCGGCAGGCGCCGCCAGGCAGGCAAGGCGGCAGCAGCAGCGCCGTCCCCACGGGTGCTCACCCTTGGCCAGGTCCTTCCGCAGCCACCTGACCTGCGCCGAATGGTTGCCCCAGGGGATCTGCAGGCAGGCAGGCAGGCAGGGTTCAGGCAGGCAGGCGCCACGCAGGCAGGCAGGCAGGCGGCATAGAGGGTGCGAGCACATGCACGTGCACAGCATGGGTGTGAGCAAACATACACGTGCTGCTGGCGAGCAGGAGCATGCGCCGCCGGGCTGCAGAGCTAGAGGTGCGCATGCACGCCAGATGGCGCCAGCCCCAGCCCAACACTTACGTAATTATTGAGGCTCACGATGTGGGCGATTCCTGGCAGATCCAGAGAGTAGTAGGCAGAGGAGGGCTGGAAGCGCGACTCGTTCAGAAACTCGCTGCAGGGCCAAACAGCATGGCAGGACGACACGGCATGGCAGGCAGGCAGCGGCTGGGAGCAGCCCGCCCACAAGACTGGCGGCGGCAACGGCGGGTTGGCACCACCATGCCAGCAACCCGCAGCCCGCTGCCAGCCGACAGCCGCGGCGCCCGACCCCGCAGCTAGCGCTGCTCAAGAGGGCTCACCGCGGGTTGGTGAGGTTGAGGTACTCGGCACCCACGTTTGAAGAGGTGTCGATTTCCGAGGGGTCCTGCAGGCGCAGGCGCAGCGGCGGCGGCAGCAGTCGGCAGCGCCGGGCAGCGGGCTCAGCAGGGCGTCACATGGCAGCAGCAGCCGGCAGCAGCACGGTAGCTGCGCAGAACCAAGGCGCCAGCTCCATGCCACGGCGCAGCACCAAGGCGACGGCTTCATGCCACGTCATGCCACAGCACACCACACCACACCACGCACTCCACACGCCGCGCCTGAGGGTATGGGAAGCGCGCGTTGGGTGCCACGAATGTGTTGCCTCGATCCAGGAGTAGCGGCTCCCGCTCGTGGTTGCCTGCGCCCGTGGGGGGTGTGGCAGCAGGGCGAGAGCGGCGTGCGGCGCGTTACGAGGCATGCCAGGCATCTGACAGAGGGATGCCGCGGGCCGTCGCTGACGGCCGCACGGCGCCCCGCCCCGCTGCCCATCCAGCCGGCTGGCTGTGCACCCCGCAGCGCACGTGCGGGGCGTGCCCTCCAAGCGAGGCGTGCCCCGCCAAGATGCAGGCACCCACCTCTGCACGAAATCAGGGGCAGCTTGGACAGCACTGGCTCCGCCAGGCGGGCCCAGGAGTCCCAGCGCCTGCAGACGCAGCAGGGCATTGGCAGAAAGCCTGCTCTGCAACACCTCTAAGGCTCCAACCGTCGGGTGCCCCTGCTGGGCTGCAGCCAGGAGCCTCCCAGCTGCGGATTCATGCATGCGCCAGCACGGCGGCAGGCAGCCCGGCGGAGCGTGGCAGCGTGTGGGCCGCTCGCGGGCGGCGGCGGGCGCTCACGGCTGGTCGCTTGTGGGTGCGTTGTCAGTCCCGCCGGAGAATTCGCCTGAGGAATCTCCGCTGAGGTGGTCGTCGGCATACTGCATGCCAGGTGGGGTAGTACCGGGTGGTGTAGGGATGGTACAGGGCGGTACCAGCGGTGAGGCTGGGCGAGCAGCAGGGACGTGCTGCGGCGGCGGCGCGGCAGGCTGGCGCGCCTGCCAGCCCGCAGCCAGCCAGCCAGCCAACCAGCCAACCACCCAGCAAGCCAGCAAGCCAGCCAGCATCAATGCTGCATGTGGGAAAATGTGATGAGGCATGCATGCAGGCCGCCACCCACCGAGAAGTCCCCTGTGAGCACCACCATGTCTGGCTTGCTGCCCACCAGCTGCTGCAGCGTGGTGCTGGTGTTGGAGGTCTGGCCTGCGGGGCAAGCGGAGCGCGGGCGGCGGCGCGGCGTGGAGCGGAGCGCGGGCGTGACAGCGGCGCCAGCGGCGCCCCGGCCAGCGGACGGCAGGTGCCTGGCAGCAGCGCTGGGCATTGGGCAGGGTACTGCCAAGGTGGTGGGCGCTGTGTATGCGCCGCATGCCTACGGATGGAAGCTCCCCCGTCTGACTGGGCATGTCCCCGCAGCTGGCAGCCCTCCCAGGCTCTGCCACTTCCGAGGCAACCCACCCAGGTCTCCCACCAGCCCCAGCCGGATCGGGAACTCCTGGCGAAGCGTGGTGAAGTTGAACTCCTGGCTCCAGCCCTGGTCTTCGTTGCCTGCGGCCACACGGCACACACACCGGGGGAAGGGAGCGGCCAGGCATTGGCGGGATGGGCCAGAGGGCGCACGCCCGCAGCCACGTCCTGCGCACGCTGCTGCTGCCGCCGGCACTGCGCCCTGCTGCTGTCACTCCTCCCCAGGTGGCCACACCACCTCGCCCTCCCGTGCACACCCCCTCTCCATCCCCTCCACACCCCCTCCACATCCCCTCCACATTACCCCAGCCGCTCACCCACAACGTAGAAGTACGTCTTGCCGGGCTTCAGGCCCCGCAGCAGCACGTGGTGCAGGATGGGTGACTGGTAGGTGGTGTTGCCAGCATCTGCAGGCAGCGCCCCAAGGTGTGGGCCAGGGAGGGCCGCGGGCATGCAGACTGGGGTGTGCTGGCCACCAGCCTCAGCACTCTGCCGCCTGCGACCGATGCAACGCCTGCGGCTGGAAAGAAAGCACCAGGTACCAGCTGCAGCACCACAGCTGAGACCGTGCCATTTAAGTTCAAGTGCTCCGTGTGGGGTGGAGCAGATGGGCAGACCAGCACCTGGCCCGTAGACGTAGCGATAGACCAGGCTGTGCTTGCCCTTGGCCGTCTTGTGGTAGCGGCCCGGGGCGGTGCCCAGTTTGACGTAGGCGGCCACTGCATGGCAAGAAAGAAGGCTAGGCAGAGTGTGAGCGTGCGTTTGTGTTTGGGGTTGGGCTGGCGGGCTGGTTTGGGCGGAGCTGGGCAGAGGGGCTGGTGCTGCCGGCCCGCGGCGGGCGGCAGAGGCTTGCCTGTGGATGGGTCGTACGGTTCTGGTGGGTTGGAGTTGTTGGCAATCAGCCCCTCTGCGGGGCAGGGGCCAGGTGGGATCGGCGAAGACCAGGCTCGCGGCTTCCCACCACATGCACCGTGCATGCAGCGGCAGCTGGCCGCAGCCGGGACACAGGGCCCACCGCTGGCGGCCGCTCGGCAGCTCACCGCCCGTCTGCCAGGACACCAGGATGCTGCTGGCGGTCCACTGCGTGAGGTGCACGCCCTCAGGCTGGAAGCCAGTCACGGTGCGGGCCTGCACACACCAATGGGGTGGCGGTAATGCGGAGACCAGGCGGCGGCGCAAGCATCCGGCGAGTGCAGGCGCTGCTGGACGGTGCCCCAGCGCCTGTGGTCGACATGGCAGCGCTGGGATGATTCACGCAGGCAGTCCTGGGCGCTCAGATGGTGCAAGGTCTGGCCGTCCTTGTGGGCGCCGCAGCCAGGGCGCCGCCTCTCACCAGGGGCGCAGTGTCCAGGGGCAGGTCGGGGGTTCCCAGCCCCAGCGCTTCGTCAAGAGGAATAGATGTCTGCGGCTCATTGCTGAACACCCTAAACCCTAAATTTTGCCACCGACATTCTTAACTACAATTTTGCCACCGACATTCATTCATTCATTCATTCAGCACACAGCCCGGCCGCCTCTTGCTCGAGGGCGGCCCACTTTGGCCTGGGCAGCCCGGGCCGCCCTCCCCCCCGGGCGCATGTTCGGTGTTGGAGGGGTGTGCCCAGCGATAGGGGGCCCCTGAAGGCATGCGCCGAGGCCGGGAAGCGTGGTTCGGCGCTGTTGCACGCTTGGCGATTTGACCAGAACCACGTGCCGCCGAGCTGCGGCCGCAGTTTCCGGCCCACGGTCTACGGTCGCAGCCACGGGACTCGGCGGCACGGCGTTTGGGCCCAAGCTTGCTGCCGCCGCCGCCGTGCCCGGGGGGGCAGCGCGGCGGCGGCGGCGGCACGCTGCGACGCCCCCGTGCTGCCGAGCTGCGGCCGTAGTTTCCTGCCAGAAGCCCACGGCCACAGCCACGGGACTCGGCGGCACGGAGTTTCGGTCCACGGCTTGCTGCCGCCGCCGTCGCAGGGGTGCTGCCTGCGGCGGCGGCGGCACGGCGTTTGGGTCCACGGCTTGCTGCCGCTGCCGCCGCCGCAGGGGTGCTGCCTGCGGCGGCGGCGGTAGCGCACGTGGCACCCCCCCGCGTTTCCTTGCCTCCCATCCACCGGACCCCGTCCTGCGCTTCACTTTGTTTAGGGAGGGGCTGCTCACTGCTCATTGCTCATTGCTCATCGCACACTGCTCAACGCTCATTGCCCTATATCCCACCCAGCCGCAGGACTCCACTGCCGCCCGCGCCCCGCCCCATCTGGCCGCTTGCGCGCCCCATCCCCCCTCGATGGGGCCCGCCCACACCGGGGCCTCCCCCCTCCCGCCCACTGCTTTCTCAACGGCCCCGAGCCGGGGCTGCCCTCATTGCATACATAGTGCGCCTTTCCCTGCTTTTCTAGTGACCTAGCGTTCCGCACTGCCGTTTGGCCAGCCCATGCTCCCGTACCGTTGCGTTTCTCCCCAATGCGCCATGCCACTTTGCCAGTCATACACACGTTTCGATGCGTGCCCTGTCAGCTGCTTGCGTTGCATGTCGCCTTGCTCCACCCCTGTTTTATTGCTTTCTCTGCTTTCGCCCGGTTCCCGTCCCGTTTCGGCGGGGAGTCTATGTTGCAAGCTAGTTCTTGCTTTACCAGACTTTAAGCCCACACAAGCACAAGCACAAGCACACGCGTACCGCATGCGCTGGGGTCGCCCATGCCACCGCAAGCAGCATGAGAGACACGAGAGCCATGTCGCCGCCTGCCTCTCGGCCCTGGGCAGGAGGGGAGGAAATGCAGCGACAGCAGCATCTTCGCCTGGGGGGAACAACCAGAAGGAATCCACCTGGCGGCCCGGCCACCACCTGGATGGCCACCTATGTTGCCGCCTGTGCCTGCATCGTGTTGTAGTACCCCCCAGGGTTTGCCCATTCATGATCACCTGTTCACTACACTGGTCTGTCTCTCTCAATGAAAACATAAACGGGCAGCGTCAGAGGAATAGGGGCAATAAAGTGAGGGGCGCCCGCGCCGGGGCGCACGAGCGCGCACCCCAAGCAGTGTGCAGAGGTGTGGCAGCATTGAACACAGGTTGTAGCAGACAATGCATCAGCATGCAGGGCAGAGGGAGCAGCAGGCTACGCGCTGTGCTGCTCATCTAGCGCCATGGGGCTGCTGTTGCGGGTGCGCATGCGCGTGGCGCGCCACAGCTGGCCCGGCGAGCCAGCGCTTGCCTCGCGCAGCAGCTGCTCGTCCTCCACCAGAAACGCCTGCCGCGTGCCCAGCATCAGCACCTGGTGCTCCCCGCTGCCGCCACCGGCGTGCCGTGGCGAGATGCCCAGCCCCGCGCCGCCGCCGCCGCCGCCGTGAAGCTCCAGCTCCGAGCCGCTGCCGCTGCCCGCGCGAGACAGCTCCAGCTCGCCGCCGCCGGCGGCTACGCCGTTGGCGTGCCCGCCCGCGCCAGCTCCCAGCTTGCCGGGCTCTGCCGCCGCCAGCTCCTCCTTCAACTTCTTGAATTTGAGGTAGTTGAAGAGCACCACACCCGCTATCAGCACCAGCAGTCCCATTGCATTAATCCACGTGAACTGCTCCCCCAGGAACATCACCGCCGCAGCCACTGCACACGCAGCGCAGGCGGGCAGGTAGGCGAGGGTGGGATGCGGCGGGGTCGGGGCAGGCGCTGAGGGCACAGGCTGGCAGGGTTGGGGAGCGCAGCGGGAGACCGCAGCTGGGGAGGCAACACGCCGGGTGCATGCTGGACAGAGGGCTCCCAGCCCCCAGCCTGCCGCTGCAGCCCCCTGTTTCTTGTCGCTGCCGCCCCACCTGTGACTATCTCCTTGAAGGTGCCAGCCACCATGAAGGTCAGGGCCGAGGTGTTGGCTATGAGCGCAAACTCGGCCACCACCATGGCAAAGGCGATGATGGCGCCGCCGAAGATGATCAGGCAGGACAGAAGGCCCATGCCGACCGTGGCAAAGTAGGGGGAGGCGGGCAGGCGCTCCCACAGCTTCTCGTGGCCCAGGCTGAGCAGCAGCAGGGTGAGGCTCATGACGGGGGTCAGCTGGTACAGGACCTCCACGGGGCCGCCGTGCTTCTTGGCGCCTGCGGGCGGCGGCCCAGGGGCGTGGACATGCGCACTCAAGGCGCCAGCCAAGGCAATGGCGTCCCCCCATGATGGAGGAGCGCAGCGAGGCCGATCCTGGCGGGCGGCAGACTCTGCGCGGATGCACAGGCGCGGCGCCATCCTCTGCACGCAATAAGCAAGCAATGCGCCGCACGGGCCGCAAGGCACACAGGGTGGGCCGGGACCGGGCACACCCACCGTGCGCTGCGCCGCCCGACTCGGGCGTGCCCTGCAGCAGGACTTGCGTGATGGTCCAGCGCAGGCCCGCCAGCATGGCCGCCGACATGACCAGCAGGAAGCCGACCAGGTGGAACTTGGTCTCCCCATACACCAGCAGCAGCAGGCCAGCGGTGATCACAGACACCACCGCCGCCAGGCTCCTGCACGCGCGGGCAGGTGAGCTGGTGAGCTGGCGAGAGCTTGTGCAATTATCTTGCGCAGTCTTTCTTCCTGCCGCGCCGCTGCTCCACATCGCACACCATCGCCGCCGCCGCACGAGCCATCGAAGCCGCAGCGGTGCAAGATGCAGCAGCAGCAGGGCAGCGGCAGCAGCAGCTGCGGCGGCGGCAGCACGGCACCGCACGGCGGCAGCACGGCACGGCGGCAGGGCCCACCAGCTGGGCTTCTCGATGCCCCAGGCGATGGCAAAGACGAGGAGGAAGAGCGGGGTGGTGGACTTGCACATGACGTAGAAGGATAGGGTGATGTAGACCAGGGAGTAGTTGGAGAAGCCGATGTCGAGCCCCGTGGCGACGCCGTTGGGCACCACTGCGCAGGGGTGGCACACCGGGAGGGCGCGTGGTGGTTGGGCACAGGGGTGGGATGCAGGGGCGCGTGTGGGAGACGGCGAGGATCGCCAGGGCGGTTTTGGTGTTAAGGTTGGTGGAGGCTGAGGGGCACAGCTGGCACAGCTGGCACGAGGGGTGCGGTTCTGCTCCTCCCGAAGCAGCTGCTCGGCATAGTCTGCTGAGCTGCCGCAGAACGCCAGGTAGAGCCCCACCTTTGCGTGCATAGTCGCGCCACGACTGGCTGCCGTCCGACTTGCGACGCACCCAGCCCGACATCAGCAGGGCGTGGGCGATGACAAACTGGCAGAAGAACTGGACGCTGGACATTAAGAAGGGGGCTGCAGGCATGGGAAGCAGCGAGGCAAGCAGGGGCAGGGCTTCAAGGGGGCAGGTGTGAGGCACGTCAGCGCGAGATGCATCCATCTGAAACGATCGCTCCTCTGCGTGCCCCAGACGGCCAGCCAGCCAGCCACACAAGCAGCAAGCAACCTCCCTCCTGCAGAGTGGCTGGCGGTTGGCAGGCAGGCGTGGCACTGGCAGCCTACCCCAGATCGCCCCACCTGGGAACGCCCCCAACCCCATCAGCCCGTGCTCCTTGCCCACCACTATCTTGTTGAACAGGCTCAACAGCGTGCTAAAGAAATACCTGCAGGCAGACGCCAGGCACGCAGCAGCATGCTCAAGTGGTTGCCGCAAGCGCCTGCGGTTACCACGACGGCTGGTGCGGCTGGCAGCGGGCCCTCACCAGGTCAGAATGAGTGCCAGGTTCACAGCTGCCGCCCTGACCAGCGGGTCTGCTGCAAATTTGCGCAGCCGGGCCCTGAGCGTGACTGGCTCGAGGCCGTCGTGGCCGCCGCCGCCGCTGCTACGGCCGACCACGCCGTCGAGGATGGGCTGCGCCTCCAGCGCGTCGCCCCCACCGTGCGAGTTGCTCTCCATCCCGGCACCTCCCATGGCCCTGCCGGTTTGCTTTAGGCTGCTGCCTCTACCTGCTCCTCCCGCAGCTGGCTGCTCTGTAGGTTGGCTGGATGATAGCGGCCCTGCTCGCTGCTGACGAGCAACAGGGAGCACACATTCACGCTGGGAGGGACAGGCAGCACAGCGACACACACGCTGCGAGAGACTCAAATTAGGACGTGGGGCAGGGCACAGGGACAGCAAGCAACCGATGTGATCAATGCAGGCCACCCAAATGGCGTGGAATGGCCCGCGTGGAAGAAGGGAGGGTTCCTCACACATGCAACCACCTGGCGGGCGGTTGAGCCGCCTCAATCGCCCTGTGTGGCGCCAGAGGAGGTGTACCACCACCAGCGTCAGCATGATGGCTGAGACATAATCCAGCTTGGTTGCGGCATGCACTGGCCGATGCTGGTACCCACAAATTGGTGCCGACTGTGAGCCTCCGGCCGCTGCGACTAAGCACGTCCTGTCAACGTCTCAGCTTCATGCCTGCAGAGAGCTCCTTGAACCCAGAGATCGTGACTCGAACCAATAGGCAGCACTTCTGCCTGTCGAGCTGCCTGAACCTCCAAAAGACGACCTCTCGCTGTCGGCGCCCGCATGGCTCCCGCTGGCGGCGGGGACAGCCCCTGCGCCTCAGCCCGGGCTCCCAGGTTACTTTCGACCAGGTTTCGTCTTCCCAGCGGTTCAGTCGCTCGGCGTTTGAGCCTCTCGGACCGCAATCAGCAAGCAAGCAATGTCAAAGTGCGGAGCCCTATTCTCGCACCTTTCTGCTGCTGAAAGTGGTCAATACATCGCTGAGCAGCTGACCATGCCTCCTCTGAGAGTCATGTCCCACCCTGTGCAGAAAAGCCTACCTGGACGCCCTGGCGGGGCTTTCAGACGACAGCGAGGAGGGCAGCAGCAGCAGTGGCAGTGATGCAGAGCAGGAAGGCGGCCCCGGCAGCAAGGAGGGCGGCAAGGGGCGCGCCGCCGCCGACGCCGCAGGCCCCGCCGCCAAGCGCCAGAGGCAGCAGATCGATTTGGAGACGCTGAAGCAGCATGGGTACCAGGGAGGGCCCAGCGTGCTGTTTGTGCCAAACAAGCACGACGATGGAGAGCAGAATTGGGCTTGGTGCGCTGCTCAGCTCAAACCACTGCTGCTGCTCGTTAACTTGCGTCATGATGGCCTGCTTTCGGCAGCCCAGGCCTTTTGGCAACCCCGCTTTGCCTGCCTGCTCTGTCTGCAGGGGTTCAGGCACAACGCACAGGGGCGGGGAGGAGCAGGAGGAGACCTTTGAGGAGCGGGAGGCCAACCGCGAGGCAGTGACGCTGCGGGCAGAGGAGTCTGGTGAGCGAATGGCCACAGGCTGAAGCATGCCGGCATTTCGATGCGCCGCTGGCTGCCGACCGCCGCCACGCTCCCCTCGCTGCCCCTCCCGCCCTGGCCTGCCCGTGTGCAGCGATGTATGCGCGGCGTGCGGTGGAGCAGGCGGAACTGCTGCGGCAGCAGAAGCGGGAGGAGCAGCAGCGGCTGAAGGGGGACAAGAAGTTTAGCTGGAATCAAAAGGTAAACGTGACTTGTGTTTTGGGGTGCATCAGTGTGGCAGCCTGCAGCACATCTGCTGCCGCTGCCTCCCATTCAGCGTGGTTGGCTGCATGCGGCAAGCGCTCATCCATCGCCTCCACTTGGCCTGCCCGTTCGCTGCAGGAGAAGAAGAAGCGGGACGAGGGCAAGGCCAGCCGGGGCAAGAGCTATGTGGAGGAGGAGAAGCGGAGGGCGAGAGAGTTTGGCATCGTGTCTGGCTTTGACTGAGTCACGGCCAGCCAAGCTGAGCAGGATCCGCTGTGCATGCTGGGAAGGCCCAGGGCTGCTCGGCAGTTCCAAGACACACTGTAATCCATGAGAGCTCTGTTTTGTCAGTGCCGCTGGCTGTGGCTCTCCGCGTGTTAGCTGCGGCTGTCGTTTGGGCGCCGGCAGGGCGTCCACTCCATCCCTACCCCCAGGCACCTTTTATTTAATGTCTAACCTTGCTCTAGATACTGCTGTCAACTAATAGGCTGGGGTGTGCTTACAGTCAGCAGGGCTTCACACAGAGAGCATGCGGGCCCCGCGGCTGTAGCCGCCACTGCCGCCGTCGCGCGCCGCAGCGGCGCCACAGCACATGCGCTGGCGGCAGCAGGCACGGCCACGCGCCAGTCTCCTGCGCCGCTGCCGCGCCTCAACAGCCGGAAGGAGGGCCTGGCGGGTCGCGCTCGCACATCCCGCCGGGCCCGAGCCCTCAGGCTCCCGCTCAGGCCTTGAGGCTGCAGCAGCACAGGGAAGAGCCACGGATGCATCGCTCAGCACATGCTGGTACAGCAGGGCGCAGCAGCTCGCTGCAGATGCAACCGCGTCGCTCCTGCTGTTCACGGCTGTTGCGCATTGGCTCATGCCGCTCATGCAGCTGCTCATGCTGCTGTTTGCTGGCTCACGGCGCTGCCTCACCGGCCCAGCGTCTTGGCCTTCTCCTCGGAGGTCTGGAAGCGGCCGTTGCCGAACTGCAGGGAGGGAGGGAGGAAGGGAAGGCAGAGGTCAGCACACGGGCCATGCCCAGCATCTCCCCAAGTGCTTGCCCGACGTGCTCCCTGGCAAGACACGGGCATGCGGGCATGGAGAAGGCGGCCGGCAGAGCAGCACGGCAAGGGCGGTACGACATGGCGGTACGACATGGCAGTACCGCACCTTGGAGGCGGTGTCGATGAACTTGAGCTTGACCTCCTGCAGGGCGGCGGGACGGAGCGGGCAGGCAGGCAGGCTCAGCAGGCGCAGCGATGGCTGGCAGGCAGGCAGCAGGCTGTGCCCAGCCCGCTCCACAGGCAGGCAGGCAGGTAGGCAGCGCACGGGCCGGGGCGCAGGCGGCCGGCAGCAGACCAGCCAGGTCCCGCCAGCACGCACCTCCAGCGCGGAGCGCGAGGTCTGCTTGAACAGCGACTTGCGCAGGGTGATGACGCGGCGCTTGACGCCGGGGCAGGCCCCCTTGATCATCACATAGTCCTCCTTCACCACGCCGTAGTGCGGGAAGCCGCCCATGGGCGTGATGTCCTTGACCGTCACGTCGTGCTCTGCATGGTTGGCGGGGCGCGGTTGGGAGGGGGTCGGTGTTGGTGGAGGGGCAGGGGTGTTGGGGTGTGGGGCGGAGGGCAGGTGTGTGAGGTTGTGGTGCAGGCAGGACAGGCGCGATGCAGGGGGTGCCGCGGCTGCTGTCAGTGTACGAATACGATTGATCGATCACGTGGCATCAGCAGGGGAATCAAGCTTTTCATCACCCAGCAGCCGGGGAGGCGAGGCGCGGCAGCGGCGGAGCAGTGGCAGGCCGGGGCGGATGCGCAGCAAGCCGGCCGCCACGGCCAGACCAACCAACCAAAACGGCGCAACAAGCTGGCGCCAATGGCTGTAAGCCCTCACCGGTGGTGGCCGCGTGCGACTCCTCGCCCTTCACGCCGATGCGGTACACCTTCTTGTTCATCTCCGTGCGGTGGTTGAAGCCCATGGCACCGGAGCGGGCCACGGTCCAGCCCACGCGGGCCGGGTGCCAGGCGCCGATGCAGGCCACCTGGTGGCGGGGAGCGGGGGCGGGGGGCAGGCAGGCGGGGATGACGGACGCGCGGGCGCGGGCAGCAGGCAGGCTGGCGCAGAACCCAGGCTGCAGGCAGGCACAGACGCAGGCTGCAGGCAGGCACGCGCCAGCCCGCCAGCCAGGCCCAGCCAGGCCCGCCGCCCCGCCGCACCTTGCGCAGGCCGCGATGCGTCTTGCGGGGCAGGCGCGACACGCCCCAGCGGGTGACCACGCCCTCGGTGCCGTGGCCCTTGGTGATGGCGATGGCATCCACCATCTCGCTCTGGTTGAACACGGTGTTGACAGACACCGCCTTCTCCAGCAGGCCGTAGGCAAAGTCCACCTTGGCCGCCACGCTGCCGCCGTTGACCTGCGGGAGGGCAGGGAGGGAGGGGCGGGGCGGGGTGGGGCGGCGGCGGTCGCTGCGCTGTGGTGCTGACGAGGCGTGACTAGGCGTGATGGTGTGACTAGGCGGGAGCGGAGGAGGGGGCGTCGAGGGAGGGGCGGCGCGGCGCGCGGCTGCGCCAGCCCGCTGCGCCGCCCCGTGCGGAGCCCCGCTCAAGCCGCCGCACACGCGCGCGGGCCCGCCTGCTCCCACGCGCAGTCCCTCACCCGCTACCCGTGCTTTCTTCCCTGGCCCGGGCCCTGACCCTGCCCACCTGGATCTCCATGAGGTGCGCCTTCTTCTGGCCCACCGGCACCTTGCGGATCTGGGTGTGCGCCAGCACGCGGATCACGCAGCAGTGCTTCTTGAGCTCCGCCACCTCCGCCTCCACCTCCTTCTTGCCGTCGGCGTACTTCTTCACGTACCTGCGGGCGGTACGGGCGGTGCGGGGCGGTACGGGAGGCGCCAGTCAGAACAGGCAGGCTCTACGCGTGGCGGCCACGGCAGGACGCGGGGCGAGCGGCGCGTGGCGAGCCGTGACCTCGGCCCTCGCTGCAACCCACCGAGCGCAGCCCTCCCGAGCGCAGCCCACGCGCCAGGCCCCAGGGCCGGCCCTCCCGGCCCCAGCGCATGAGATTCCCCCTGCATCTCACTTGGTGAAGGCCTTCTTCTTGGACTTGTACCAGCTCTTGTAGAAGCGGCGCTTGACCTCCTCGCTGAGGTGCTCCGCCCACACGGTGTTGAGGCTGCGCATGCCGCGCGTGGTCTGCGCGAGGAGGCGGGCAACACGGGGGCAGGGCGAGGAGCAGCAGCGTGAGCGGCCGGCCGGTGCTGTAGCGCCGTGTGGGCATGGCGGCGCGAGGGTGCGGCTGTGCTGCCAGCTGCCAGGCTGACTCGGGCCTGCGGTTTGCCGTCCCCAAACAAGCGCGCCAGGCGGCCCTCTGCCCGCCAGGCAGCCTCCATGGCGCCCTGCACCAGAACCCCCAGCGCCTCCCACCTTGACGTAGCCCACGATGCCCACCACCACCATGGGCGGCGTCTCGATGATGGTCACCGCCTCGGCCGCCTCCTTCTTGTGCAGCTTGGAGCCAGGCTTCTCCACGTCGCGCACGATGTGGGTCATGCCCGCCTTGTAGCCTGCAGGGGGCGGGGGGCCGCGCAGCGGTGGTGGTGGTGAGAGGAGACGGCGCAAGCGGGGGCGCGAGCGGGCACCAGCCGGGCCCCAGCCGATGCAGCCCCCTGCGCTGCGGCGCCGCCGTGCCGCAGCCTGCGCGTGTGCTCACCCATGAAGGCCGTCAGGTGCGGCGGCTTGGTCTGGTCATCCTTGGGGAAGGACTTCACCTTGCCCTTGCCGCGCTTGCAGCGCTTCTTGGGGAGGAACCCCAGACTGCCGTGGCGCGGGGCCTCGAACTGCGCCAACAAAGGTCATGCGGCATGTCTGTGAGCCCCCAGCGAAGGAAATCAGTCGTGGCAGGACACAGAATCAGTGTGAGACAGCAGGCCAGCCTGCCGCGCAACAGGAGGCAGCGGCGGGAGAAGCGGCGGCGATGGGCGATGGCGGCGCCGGGGCAGGCCCCCTGCGGCGCCCCCGCCTCCTGTACGCTGCCTGCTGCCTGCTGCTGCATGCCACGGGCCGAGACTGGGCTGCTGGGCGATGGAGGCACTGGGTGAGGTGCGGCATCATGCACGCCGCCGCCCTCCCTGGCGGTGCTCCCGGTCATGATATTGATGCTGCTGGTGCCCCATGCTTCTGGGCCAGCGTGACGCCCGACATGCTGCTGCAGGCGGCAGGAGGAGCGGCATGCCGCAGTGACTTGCCTTCCTGTGACTCATCGGGCCTGCAATCCACACGAGGGGCTCCACCGGGCAGTGGAAAAGGACAGAGGCGGGCGCAGGCAGCACCTTGAGCGCCCATGCAGCCTGCTGTGTGCTGCGTCCCAGCCGTGCAAGACCCTTGCGGGCGCTTCCCACGCTCCCCGCGCCACTCCAGCGTTGTGCAACCCAGCCCCGCCCGGCAAACGCGTCCAGCAGGCCGTCCTTAGAGCCCCAGTGCTTGCCCTCGTCGTGGCCCAAAACCCCTGCCACCCGCCGCTCGGGGTGCCAGACGCGGTGCGACCGACCTCTACCTCTTGCGATCGTGCCACCCCCAGCCCTCGGTCTCGGGTGGCGGAGACCAAAGCCCGCACCAGCGCGATCGAGGCGCCGGTGGGGACTCGCCAGCACCAGCATCCAGAACAGTAGGGGCACGAGCGGCGAGCGGGCGCCATGGAGGTGTCAGCGGGGCAGGACGGCATCCAGCGGCTGCTGGCGGCGGAGCAGGAAGCGCAGGCGATAGTGGCCAAGGCCAGGAAAGGTGAGGGTGGCAGCTGTATGTGTATGTCTGGTGCTGCGGCATGAATGGCAGCCAGTGTGGGCGCAGCAAAAACAGGCAAGATGCGCAGCACAGTGCTGGCGCTGTTGCTGGCAGCCCGCCCTTGCACGGTGCCGACCCCCTGCCCCCTGCCTTGCCCTACCTTTGCGCCTGCGCCGGCCTGCAGCCAAGACTGAGCGCCTGAAGCAAGCCAAGACCGAGGCGGAGCGCGAGATAGCGGCGTTCAAGGCTGAGCGGGAGGCTGAGTTCAAGCGCAAGGTGGGGCGCAGCTGCTGGCTGCCGCGCGACCTGGGTCCCGCTCGCTGTTGGCGCCCACGTGCATGCAGGCTCTTCCTGGCGGGCTGCACAAGAGCTGGCCGCTGGGCCGCTCCGGTGCTGGACCAGCCTGTGGTTCCCCTGGCTGCTTCTGTCGCCGCCGCGCAGCTCTCAGCACATCCTGCGGGCCACGTCCTCAATTCCCCCTGCAAACCCTAGGCCCCCGCCGCATCCCCCCTGCCATGCCTTCACATCCTCACCCCACCCCCCGCGGTCCCTGCCTCCCGGAATCCCTCCCCCTGCGCAGGTGGCCGAGGACAGCAGCAGCTCCCAGGGCAACGTGGCTAAGCTCACCGAGGAGTCGTCCAAGGCGGTCACGTCGATCCAGAGCAGCATCGCCAGCAAGAAGAAGGAGGTGCTCGACCTGCTGATGCACCATGTCACCACCGTCAAGCTGGTCAAGTGATGGGAGGGCCCAAAGTAATGTCCAGCTGGACAAGTTATGAAAGGGCTTTACGCGACGGCTGGCCCACCAGCCTGAACCCACCGCCCACCTGACCTACCCACGGGGATAGCTGCCGCTGCTGAGCCGCGTGCCATCCTGTGCTGTGTTGCCTGCCCACTCCCCCTGCACTGTATTCTTCTGTCTGCTGTATCCTCTTTTGGGAACCACCAATGATGTCAACAGCCCTGTGTTGACGTAATGTGAGGTCCTAGGCAAATGCAGGACGGCTTCCCAAACTTCCCAAACAGGCTAGGAGCCTGGCAGGTGGTTGCCTCGCGCGGTTTGTGCCCAGCAGCCCACTTCCATCTGCCGTGCCTGCCTCCCTGCCAGCGCGCTCAGCTCAGGGGCTGCGTTCATTACACTATGTGCGCAACAGGTGTTGGTGGCAGCTGAGGTAGTGAATAGAATGGCGAGCGGTCGGCCGCAGCTGCCCCAACACGAGCGTCAGCCCTGGCTTGCCCCGTAATGCGCAGGGGACCGGAAAAGGCGACGGGGCGAAGCGCAGGCCGTGGGGGCAAAGGTGGAGGGGAGGGGGTGCTATACACGGGGTGCTACGGCAGGCTGTGCGTTGCCGCATCTCAGGGAGCTGTCGGGTGCCAGCACGCTTGGCGGCGAGGCTTGCGGGGGCCGTGTGTGGTCGCCTCCACCCAAGCCGCGGGCGCGTGCCATGGGCCGGGCTCAGGCCTGGAGGCCCATGAGGTCGGCCACAGGGATGCCGCGCAGGTCAGACACCTGCTGGAAAGTGCGCATCGACTTGATGCCCTCCAGCGTCGCCCGCGCATTGTTCAGCGGGTTGGCGGTGCCCAGCTGCTTGCCAAAGCCGTTCTTCACGCCCGCCAGCTCCAGCACCACGCGGACCGCGCCGCCCGCAATCACGCCCGTGCCCTCTGCCGCCGGCCGCAGCATGACCTGCGCGCGAGCGAGGTGGCGGGGCAGGCAGTGAGGCAACGCCTGGGGCTGGGCAGGGCAGCGCATGTAGGCATGTCTTTCACCCCGCGGGCTGCATGCATGTCGGTGCGGCTGCCGGGCACCACGCACGCGCGTGAGCGCGGCAGCTGCGCCTTGGGCACCGCGCCCAGGCCATACGCCCGCATGCCCGCGGGGCGCTGCCAGGCCAGGCTGGTCGACCCGACCCGCACCTTGGCCGCGCCGAAAATGCCGTCGACCTTGTGCGGGAAGGAGTTGTTCTTGTTGAGCGGCACCGACACCAGGTTGCGCTTGGCGTCCACCACCGCCTTGCGCACCGCCTGGACCACCTCCCCCGCAGAGTCGCAGCCCACGCCCACGGTGCCATTCTCGTCGCCCACCACCACCTGCGCCGCACACGGCACGGCGCGCGGGGAGTGGAGGAGGTCAGGGCAGGGCTCACGGCACACTGCACCGACTGGTGGCACTGTCGCACAAGAACCAGCCGGCAGGTGGCTCGTGCCGATTGGCGAGCAGGGGCATGCATGGCGCACAAGCCGAGCCGCGGGCGCTCACCACGGCACGGAAGCTCAGCTGCTTGCCGCCCTTGACCACCTTGGTCACGCGGCGGATCTGCACCACGCGCTCCTGGAAGTTGTCCTCCTGCAGGATGATGGCAGCAGCAGCAGGCTGTGGCTGATCCGTTTCGCTGCGACCAACAGCAGTGCCGCCCACCCCCGTGCCCTTGGGCCGCCCACCACCCAAGCCTCGCCACAGCCGCTGCGCCGCCACCTACCTTCTCATACTGCTCCTCTTCGTCCGCTGCAAAGGTGGCGCGGGCCAGCACGGCGGCCCGCTGGGCGCGAGCCGGGCTGCGCTGCTGCTGGAGGGCCTGGCCGCGCACCGCCGTGGTAAAGCACCGCAGGTTGCAGCGGATGGCGCTGCTGGGGGTGCTGCGGGAGCTGCTGCTCACTGCTGGGGCCGCAAGCACTGCTGCATGGGCCACCATCGCCGCCATGCCTGCTTGTCGCCACACACAATTGAAGGGCGATGTCAGGGGCGGTCGCTGGCAACGCACATTGTACCACAGGGGCCCCACATTAGCCGCGATGGGGCGGAAGAAAGCGGGACCGGGAACATGCATGGGCTGCTGGCGCAAGGGGCAGGCGCGCTGCTGCACCTTGTTCGGCGTTGAGACGGGCATGGCGGGTCTCGCAGCTTGAGCACAGCAACTATGGCGGTCGTGGTGCCCCGCGCGCTCCTTGCGTTGCTGCTGCTATCGGTTAGCGGCCTGGTCGCCGCACAGCGAGATTGCTACGGCGCTGTGGTGAGTCAGAGGGATCCTCAGAGGGCTGTGGGTTGTCAAGGTCAGCCCTTGCTGCCCCCGCGATCTCATAGATGTGAAGCAAAGCTTGGCTGGCCTTGGCCGACCGGTGGCAGTCCCATCTATTGCCTTGGGTTGGCGGTTCAGTGTCCCGCCTGCCTGCAGCGGCGGCAGCACCGACGGCGGCACCGGCGGCGGTTCTGGCAGCGCGGACCTCTGTGATGGGCTGGGCTGGGCTGCAAGTGGACAGCCCTGCTGATTGGCTCTGGCCTGCCCGCCTGTGTGTGTGCGTGCAGGTGGAGGTCACGGTGCTTTCCGACGATGACTCCACGCCCCTGGATGCCTTCTACGGCTACCCGGGGCCCTTTGGGATGGCCCTGAACGACACAGCCACCGAGCAGTACCCCGTGGCGGTTGCCGACCCGGTCAACGCCTGCGGCAAGGTGGCGCAGGCGCCCACGCCCGGCGCCGCCGCCGTGGTCGCCCGCGGCAACTGCAGCTTTGCGGACAAGGCGTGGGCGCTGCAGCGGGCTGGCTACGGCGCGATGCTGCTATTCAACAATGAGGAAGGTGCGCACGGTAGCGGGGCGGGGCAGGGCGGAAGGGTGGAGGGTGCTGGGCCTGCCTGCGGGCGACACGCACCTGTTGCAAGGCGGAGGGGGCACCCAGCTGTGCACACCAGTCAGCTGCAGCAGTGCAGCAAGCCGGGGCTGCTCGCTTTCCCGCCCCCTGCCCTGCAGAGTGTGTGCTCATGTCGGCCAACCGCACCGAGGCGCAGGGCCTGACCCTGGCGGTGGCCAGCTTGACCCAGGAGACCGGCGCCCTGCTGCAGCAGCTGCTGGCGGAGCACGCGGCGGGCGGCTCCGCGTGACGCTGCGCATGCCGGCAGAGGGCGCGGTGGACTGGTCGACCGTGGCCCTGTGGCTGATCGCCACCGGCACGGTGGCGGTGGGGGGGCTGTGGGCGGGCCACGGCCACCTGGCGGGCGCGGGGCGCGACTCAAGCACGCCCACAGCGCGCAAGGCGGGGGCGGGCGAGATGCCCAGTGTGACCATCAGCAGCCGGGCGGCCGTGGGGTTTGTGGTGCTGGCCTCTGCCATGCTCCTCACCCTCTTCTTCTTCCTGGACAAGTGGCTGGCGTATGTGCTGGTGCGTGGGGTGTGCGTGTGCATGCCGCTGCTGCCGCTTGGAAAGGGGATGCGCAGCAGCGGTTCCCGTGGCGAGGAAGCTGCCTTTTGGCTGGGCTTTGCACTGCTGTGCAGGGCATTGCGGCACGCTCGTGGCCGGCTGCTGCCTGGCGTGCATGCCTGCCTGGCAGTCCCACTCGTGCGTTGCCTGAGTCCTGCCCCGCTGCCGCCGCCGGGTGCTGCCGCAGGTGACCCTGTTTGCGCTGGGCGCCTGGCAGGCCTGCGGCATGATTTCCTTCGCGGTGCTCAACCAGCTCAGCTCCTCGCAGTGGCGTGGCAGCTACATCCGGCTGCCGGCTGTGGGCGTGGTGCCCGCCAACGGCGTGATTGCGGCCGTGCTGGCGGGCGGCCTGTGCGTCACGTGGGCCGTGTGGCACAACGCGGTGTGGAGCTGGCCGCTGCAGGTGGGGCGGGCACGTGGTGCAGTGTATGGGCACTTCCTTCCGCACTTCCTTCCTTGTCGAGGGTTGAGAGGAGTGGATCAGCCCGCTGCAGCTGCTGTCGTCCTGCCGGCGCCCGCCTTCCCATTCCGTCCTGCTCCCTGCGCTCCACTCTCCCTCCACCACCGCAACCCTGCAGGACATCATGGGCGTCTGCTTCATGTTGGTCATCCTCAAGCAGTTCTTCCTGCCCAACCTCAAGGTCGCCTCCACCCTGCTCTGCCTCACCTTTGTGTACGGTGAGAGGCCTCGGGGCTCGCGGCCGGGGAGACAGCTTGCAGGCGCCGGAGCCCCAAATCCTCCCCATCCCTTGTCTGCCTTTCGCACATTGTGCGCCCCGGACCTTCTTTCTTACCCGCCCTTCACTCACACAAGTTCTGCTGCTCACTGCCCGCTCGCCTTGCAAACGTGTGGTGGGTGTTCATCCAGCCGATCGTGACGGGCGGCGAGTCGGTGATGGTGGAGGTGGCCACAGGCGGCGCCAGCCACGAGCAGCTGCCCATGGTGCTGCGGGTGCCCCACCACGTGCTGGGCACCAACCCGGCCTTTGCGCTGCTGGGCCTTGGTGGGCGGCAGCGGCGCGGCCGGCTTGGCTGGCCAACTGGCTTGGCTGGGCTTGGCAATCCAGCCGCTTCTTTCCGGGATGCATGCCCATGCATTTGCTTTCCCATGCTGCGGCGGCCTCGTCCCTTTCAGCCATGCCCTGCACCCGCTTCTGCCCATGTGCCGCAGGGGACGTGGTGCTGCCTGGCCTGTTGGCCGTCTTCTGCCGCCGCTTCGACCTGACCCACCGCCTGGGCGTGGCCCGCTCCTACTTCCTGCCCTGCGTGCTGGGCTACGGCGCGGGCCTGCTGGTCACCTATTGCGCGCTGTGGTTCAGCTGGTTTGGCGACGAGGGGCAGCCCGCGCTGCTCTACCTGGTGCCCGGCACGCTGGGCACGACGTCCCTGCTGGCGCTGGCCCGCGGCCAGTTCTCGGCGCTGTGGCACAACGACTTTGAGCTGGCGCTGGTCGGCGGCATGCTGCGCGGCGACGCGGCGGCGCGCGAGGCAGCCGAGCGGCTGGAGGCAGGCCTGGAGCGGCTGCTGCCGCCGGGCGAGCAGCGGTAGCGGCGGCGGCTGTGTTCCTGCGCTCGCAAGCCCCGGGCATGTGCGTTGCCGGCTGGCGCTGGCTCCCTGCACAGCTTGGCGCACGCCTGCAACGCAACCAGCGCCGCACCCTGCAGCCCGCAGGCAGCGCTGTGCCGTGCCATACCCTGACGACTCCTGTCCCGATTCCTGATTGTTGACGCTCCTTTCGCTGCCTGCCCACTGGCCATGTACACATCCCTTTGCTGTATTTTTTCACCGATTTGTAAATGTTGCAGCTGCGGGAGGCATGGTGCAGCAGGCAGGAGGTGAAAATGCGGCGGCCAGATGCAGGGGGTGCCGGGCAGGCACGACGGGGATGTGTGCTGGCACATGGCTCTTTGAATTGCTTGTCCTCCCATTGGTGCTGTAATCAGATGTCTGCAATGCAGCACTTGCAATTGGCCTTTGAAATGTGGAAGTCAGCAGGTTGGCCGCCATGCGGCAGCGGCACATCCCGCCGCCAATCTTTCCTCCTCCGCCATCCCGTCCATGCGTGCATCGTTCATTCATTCGCCAGCTACTTCGAGTTTATCTTCTGCAAGAGAGGAAGAGAGGCACCAGCATGGATCACGTCCAGGCCGACCCTCTCCTTCAGGCCGTAGCGGCCTGGCTGGAGACTCAGCCTGTGCAGCAGCACCCCACCGACGGCTGCCTGCTGCTGGGTGTGGACGTGGTGGAGCTGGCGTGCAGCCAGCAACACCCGGAGGTCGTGGAAGCGCTGTTGACCGACCCAGGTGCGCCTGACTGTGATAGGTGAGGCACTGGCCGGCTGCAGGCAATGTGGGAGACACCGGCTGCCCCGCGCCCTGCCGCCCGTAGAGGTGCTGCGCCAGGCGGTCATCGCGGTGCTGGAGCGGACGGCGGCGCTGCCCCAGGGCCAGCGCCTGTGGCTGCGCCCGCGCCAGCTCATTGCCGCCGCCGAGCTGAGCGTGAGGGAGGCGCAGGACTGCATGCGCAGCGCCCCCGGGGCCCTCTTCTCGTGCCACGGCGTGTGCGTGGCGGCCAGCGCTCCCTTCCAGCTGCCCGCTGCCCGCACCTTCCGGTGCGCCTGCTGCTCAAACGAGTTCACGCAGCACAGCCACGGCGCTGCCGCATCGCCGAAGCCGTGCTGCACTGAGGCAGCACTGCTAGAGGTGGAGCAGGCAAGGGTCATGGTGCAGGTGGGTGTGAGAAGGTGGATGGGCACGCTCTGTGGGTGCTGGCAAGGGCCCCAGTGTCAGGCAATCTTGGCCCTGCAGCCGCTGCAGCACCCGCTCGCTCCCTTGACACATGCTTGACAATTGCTGCCGGTCGCGACGCTGCCTGCCTCCTGCTGCCTGCCTCCTGCCTCCTGCCTCCTGCCAACTGACGCAGGGCCAGGTAGTGTTCCTAACCGGCGATGTGCAGCTGGGCGCCTCCCTGGTGGCTGTGCACCTGGCGGATGACCTGTGCGGCCGTGTACGGGTGGGCGACCAGGTGCTGGCCACCGGCTGCGGCCGCTACTATGACGGGGATGGCGCCATGTCTGGACCGCAGGCGGGGCAGGTGCCCATCATGCTGAGTGTCAAGGTAGGGTAGGGAGAAGAGGTGATTGGGGCTGCTGCGCATGTCTGCTGGCTGCACAGGGGCAGGACAATGCAGCAGCGCAACCGGCAGCCCACCCAAGCTGCGGCCTTGCTCTGCCCTCTGCCCCACCCATCTCTTCCCCGTCTCATCAGATGGAGGCCTGCAACGTGGAGGTGCTGCGCCCCGCTGTGCTGGGCCTGGCCGGCCAGCTGGGTGCTGGCGCGCGGAGCCACCTGGCGGCCATGGCGGCCGGCAGCCTGGAGCCCATCCTGTCTGTGCTGGACACAGCGCTGCCTGTGGCGGCCACCCCGCTGCTGAAGCTGGCGGTGCTGCTGAGCGCGGCGGCGGCGGGCACGGGGAGCACCCAGCTGGGGGAAGGGGAGCAGGAAGAGGAGGACCCGGAACCGCAGGCGGTGCTGCAGCGCCGGGCCCCCACCAGCAGGAACCAGGTGGGTGCTGTGCGTGGGTGATGCCTTGGCCCTTTCCAAGTGGAGTCAGCAAATCGCAGTAGCTTTGTGGCCTGCTATGGTTGTTTTAGCACAAATCAGCTCAGTCAGCAGCTGACTGTGCCTGGCCTGGCCGCCCACTCACCCCGCCCCGACCTGCCACTCCCGTCCCCGCAGGTGCACGTCATGCTGACGGCGGCGGGCCCCGAGCCGCACATTGACCGCTTCCTGGATGCGGCGGCAGCCACACTGTGCGACCACAGCATGCACGCAGACCCCCGAGCCCTGCTGCCCAGGCTGGATGCCAAGTGGGTGGAGCCCTCCCTGGGCCTGCCCGTGCCGCTGGCCCTGGGTGGCCAGCTTGGCGAGGCGGCGCCCGGCCTGCTGCTGCTGAGCTCCTCTGCGCTGGACGCCAGGGCAGCCATCGGGCTGGGCCAGCTGCTGGCGGCGGGGGAGGCGGTGCTGTGCCCCGGCTGCCTCGAGCTGTGCGTGTCGGTGGGGGCCACCCTGTGGACCATGGTGCAGGAGCAGGGTGAGTACGGGTGGACAGCGAGCCAGCTGGCCAGCTGGGCAGCCGCTGTTCCGGCTGTTGCCGCCACGCCTCCTCAGCTCCCTGCCTTCCCTGTGTGCAACCGCATTACAGCTGCCAGGGGCCCTCGGTGCACTCTGGGCCCTCATTGCGCCTGCCATGACCTCCATGCACACCAATTGAGATGTCCGGCCTGCCTGCCTGCCTGCCTACTTGCCTCCTCCCGCCTTCAGACCTGTCCAAGAGCGGCCTGCGCGGCGGCGCCGCTGCGCTGTCCATCACCCAGCGCATCATCAACCGCTTCTCCCACCCCTTCTTCTGCCACCACGACCTGCTGGTCGGCGCCAGCCCGGAGACGGAGGAGGAGGTGGAGGCGGTGGTGGACAGCATCCTGCTGGCGCATGCGGCAGGTGGGCGGGAGAGCCCTCCTTGGCGCTGGTGGGAGGGGTGCCGGGGCTCAGTTGGGATGGGATGGGAAAGCCATGCTGAGATGCTGGGAATTTGCTCCCCCTTCCTGCTTTCCCACCTGCAGGCCCGCCGACAGGCCCCAACGCCGCGGAGCGAGCCGATGCGTGCTGCGCGCTGCGGCACCACCTGCAGGCCTCGCGGGCCGCCGCCCAGCCGGTGGTGTCGTTGGCGGCGGGGGCGCTGCTGTCGGCCTACTTCCAACACCTGCGCACCCACCAGGACGCGCAGCAGGGGGTGCTGGCCAGCCTGGTGCGTGTGGCGTGCGCCTGCGCGCGGCTGCGGCACAGCCCACGGGCAGAGCTGCTGCCGGATGCGGCGGTGGCTGTGGCGTTCGTGGAGGAGAAGCTGGTGGCGGCGGGCTCGGAGCCGCACTTCTGGCCGCGCTGGCGCGAGGAGCTGCAGCGCAGCACGGAGCTGAGGGAGTGCCTGCGGGGTCTGGTGGAGGACTGCGGCAAGGGGCTGGGGCTGGGCGCGGCGGCAGAGGAGCAGGAGTGGCTGGCAGCAGAGGAGTGAAGGGCGGCGGAAGGCGAGGCCGGCGGCAGGAGGCGCAGGCAACAAGCGTCCCTGATGCCATTGTAGCTATGCACCTGCATTAAAAACTGGTCTTATATGATTTAAGGGGCCAAGCATTGATGGCTGCAAAAGACAATCAGCGGGTGAGCCGCGCTGTGTGCTCCGCACGCCGCCGCCCGCTCAGCATCGGGGTTCTCCTTGGCACCACAATGGGCGGCTACCACACTGATCACCGTTGCCGACACCTGGTCCGCTCCAGAACGCTTGAATACAGCCCCTGCAGCCTCGCCAGTGGAAGTCTGCACACACAGCAGCATGCAGCAGGTTGCGATCGCGGGGCCCAGCGCCCTCCGCGCCACCCCCTGCATCAAACCATCGACCCCACGGAGGTTCCGTCTGGTGGTGCGGGCGGCCAAGGAGAAGCAGGAGGTCGTCACTGGTGTCACCTTCAAACCCTTTGAGGAGGTGAGCGTCTGCAGCTGCGTTGTATTGTGTGGCGGCAGGGGAAGCCGCTGGGTGGCGGGAGCGGCCTCTTCCTCCACCCCGCCGCCGCCGCCGCTACCCCGCGCAGGTGGCGCCCGTGCTCGCCTCCACGGCGGGGATGCCCAGCGGCGGGTCGCAGGCCTCCTTCGCCCGCTCCAAGACCTTCCAGCCCAAGGCGGAGGCAGCCATCAACGAGCAGATCAACATCGAGTGAGTTTTAGTTTAGTTGGCATTCATCTGCTATTTCGGGTGTACCCTCAGTCAGTCGGTCGGACTGTGTGCGGCGCTCGGGCAGGGAACACCTCTGCTGCAGGGGGTCCTGGCTACCTTGAGCTACCTCCAGGCTTTCCCTGGCCCAGCTGCGTGCCCCGCTTCTCACCTCCTCCTCTCTCCACTCTCTCTCTCCATTTCTTTCCTCCTTTCCTCCTCCCCTCCTCCCAGATACAACATCTCCTACGTCTACCACTCCATGTCCTGCTACTTTGACCGCGACACCGTGTCCCTGCCCGGGTTCGCCGAGTACTTCCGCCGCAGCAGCCTGGAGGAGCGGGAGCATGCGCAGGTGGGGGGAGGGGTGGGCGGCGGGGTGTGGGGGGGGGGGTGCCTGCACGCGTGGAGCCAGTGGCGGTTTGTGGCATTGTGAGCCAGCGCTGGCGCTGCCTGCCGGGCGGCGGGGTGTGTGGGGGGGGTGCCTGCACGCGTGGAGCCAGTGGCGGTTTGTGGCATTGTGAGCCAGCGCTGGCGCTGCCTGCCATCTGCATGCCGGCCTGCATGCCTGCCCGCCCACATCTGCTGCCGCGCAGCGGGTCGGCGCTGCCTGCCAGGCCGCACCCAACCGCTCCCCTCCCGGCCCTGCCCCCGCCCGCTTTCCTCCCGCCCCGCAGAAGCTGATTGACCTGCAGAACACTCGGGGCGGGCGGGTGAAGCTCAACGCCATTGTCATGCCCGAGACCGAGTTCGACCATCCGGAGAAGGGTGAAGGGGCAGCGGGGCTGGGCTTGTTGTGGTGTGTGGCGGCCGCCGCCGAAGGGTGAATGGTGCTCGGGTTGGGCTGCACTGAAGGCTCAACTGGGGGGTGGGGATCTTAAGCCGCCGGGGGTGACCGCTGCCCAACCAGCAAGTGGACTCTGCCTCTCCGCTTTCCATTTGTGCTCATCTGCCCGCCCCCTGCCCTGCCCGGTCCTACCTGCCTTGGCCCTGCCCTGGCCGGGGCCCCAGGCGACCTTTGGAATGCCAGGGAGCTGGGCTCCACCTGGGAGAAGTCAACCTTTGACAAGCTGCTGCACTGTGGGGAGGTGGGGAACCGAAGGCAGGGAGGGGGGGTTGCCAGGCGCGCCACCAGGCGGCATCCGCGGCGCGCCCGGCCGCCTCGCCCGGCCGGCTCAGGCCCCAGTATGCCCCCGCGCTTGGTGATGTGACCCCGTGTGACCCATGTGCCTGTGCCGCTGCTGCAAGGACCGTCACATGGACACTCGTCTCTGGCCCCGGCTGCAGGCGGTGGACCAGAGCGGCGACCCGCAGCTGACGCAGTACATCGAGGACATGCTGCAGGACCAGGTACTGGCTGAACAGTACCAGTGGTACCATAGGGTGGCGGCACTGCGCAGCAGCCAACAAGCACAGTCGTTAGCGCGGCACCGGCTGGCGCTGACTGAGGAGGAGCTGCTGAGACGCGGTGCACCCCCATGGCACACACTGCTGCAGGTGGAGGACATCAAGAAGGCGGCCGACTATGTGAGCCAGCTGCGCCGCGTGGGGACGGGCCACGGTGAGTGTGGCGCCAGCCGAAAAGCTGCCGCAGCCGCTGCCGCAGCCGCGCAGGCGCAGGCACCGGCTAACCCCTCTGGACCCTGCAACACTTCCTCTGGCTACAGGCGTTTGGGCGTTTGACCATGAGCTGTACGAAAACGAGGTGCGCGCACGGGCCACTTGAGCCTGGCGGCGGTGAGTTGGCGCCGAGCTGGCGCCAGCAGGAGCGTGAGAGACGGGCCTGCCTTGCGGGAGGCCTGTGCAAACAAACGAAACCCATCCTCCTGTGTGTGGCCTCTACTAAGCCGTACCTTAGTATCATTCATCGCTCTTTGAAGGGCGCGCCCAGGCGGTTATTTTACGCCATCGGACTGCCCCTCCCCCTATCCTGCCCCCCCTCCCATCCTGAGTTGGTTTCCTGTGTTTCGGTTTCCTGTGTTCTGTTCAGCTGCTTCAGTGGGTGCCGAGTGTTTCATGTAACAAACAGCATGCAAACGTGCCGCTAAACATGCAAAGCGATTGTAGGCTGGCAATGTACATGTGATGTCTAATGTGTTCGTCACACGCGCTGCTCAACCCTATCTACGATCGTTGCTGCTCACCAACCCTCTACCGATGCAGCGCAATTGCATGCACAGCAGCATGACGGCGCTGGCGCGTCGGGAAGCTGGCCGGTGTTGTCTGCGGCCGCCCACCGTGCCGGTGCTTGTGCACCAGCGGGGCGGCTGTCTCACGTCGCCCAGCCGCCGCCGGGGTGCGGAATCCAGCACCTGCTGGCGCCCTCGCCAGGCGGATAGGCCTCAGGCAGGGTCGACTTCACAGGGCCAGCATGCTTCATCATACACAGCACCTGCAGGGAGGGGAGCAGGCCGTGTGGAAGGCGGCCGCAACGCTGCGAGGTGCATGCAACAGGCAGGCGCAGGGCGGCCTCCCACCGGTGCGCATCTCCGCTGTGCCGCATGCATCAAGGGCAGTGCTACGCTTCGCAGGCCTACCCAGCAGCACTGCTTGTTGTCGTTGTGGATCAGTTCGATATCCCACTCCCCGCCCAGCTGGGGCTCCAGCATTCCTGCGGCACAGCAGGCGCCAGCAGCAGCACTCCACTCTCACGTTCGAATTCACGGACACAGCCGCACAGCCGCACCGCTGCACCAGTGCAGCATGGGCTGAACTTCGGCTTGAAGCAGCCGGGGTTGCTATGAACAGGCCAGGGCATGCGGCGGGGCAGCCGGTGGGCGCCCTCAGGGCTGTCCTGGAGCTGGCTGCCCTGCTCCTCACCCTCGTCGTCGCAGCTCAGCCTCAGCTTGCCTCGCACCCGCTGGCCGTGGACCGCGCCAAAGTCGGCCACCGTCTGCAGGCTTGTGAGCAACCATGCAAGCCAAAGCCTCTTGCAGCTGCCCGCATGGCGACGATGGGATCGTCCCTTGATGGCGTGGGAAGGCAAGTGCCCAGCGGCGGGGCCCGCCCTGCGAGCGCTGTTGTGGAGCGCATTGCTGCCACCAGCTACGCACAGTGTCTGCAGTGTGGACCCGCCCGCAGGCGCAATTGCTGATGAAGGAAGGCGGCAGCGCGGGCACAGCGCTGCGCGTCTCTTCCAGCTGCTCGCTGCTCAGCTCCACCTCTTGGCCGCTGTATGTGGCATACAGGCCCGGGGGTGGCGGCGGCAGCACCTGCCAGGTGGATAGGCAAGCAGGGCAGCTGGAGGGTGACGGGGAGCAGGTACAACAGATGTGCAGTGCTGCTACGGCTGGAACTAAGACGGGCTGTAGTCCGCCAAGCGGTGCAACCTTGTTCTTGCTGAAACCAGACTGGAAGCCCACACAAGCAAGTAACAAGCAAGGTGGCCTGCTTGCCTCGGTCACGTGCCCAACCATGCGCGCCCAGCCACGGTAGGTGTACGGGTGGCTGCCGTCGTGAGCGTAGTGGATCTGCGAGGCGGGGAGATTGCCAACAGCAGGTGTGGTAGCTGCCCCACTGCGGCGTCCTACCACAACAGAGCCACACTACATGATAGATGTTTCATGGCATGGACGAATGGTTCATGGCATGACCACCGCACGTTCATGTACAGGCGCTGGCCTTCGCGGGGCGCCACGCCAGTGCGGAGGAAGGGCCAGGCCTGGACGCTCTCGCACCTCGCCGCCATCTCGTCCCTGTGCGCACGAACAGTGAACAGACGTGCGACTCCAGAGGTCTGCTGGAGCTGGCCACATCTCCTTGGCGGCCCACCTCTCAAAGCCATCATCGACCCAAGGCGGCAGCTCCCAATTGGCGGTGCTGCGGCTCAGGCGGCCATCTGCCGGCACTGGCGTCTCTGGCCCGACGGCAGCGGAGAGCTTGGCGCCGACGTGCCCCATTGGTGCAGATGTGGTGTGTTGGGAGCAGCCGCGCGGGGCAAGCTGCCTCGATGATGGACGCCTAGCCCCTGATCGATGGCTTGCCGCCAAGGCTCCTCAGGCCTGGACTGCAGCTGGGCTCCAGCGATCCAAGAGTCCACAAAGATTGCGGGAGGCGGGCGAGGTGCCAGGCGCCTGGCAGGGCTGCAGGCGGAAGCGAACAGAAGAAAGGCGGCTGCCATGTGCTCCTCATGCCGCTATTCGCACATGTGCGCGCTTCAGCATTGCTGGCGACTGCCCCAGACATCGTCAATACACCACCAGACGCTGCAGCGAGACGATAGGGTTCTTCAGGAAATTTCCTCTTGTGAACTGCGCAGCGGGGGCCGCAACGGGCGCAGCACAAGCAAACGAAGCCATCGAACTGATGAGGGAGGTCTGCGGTGCCGGTGGGAGTGTCGGCAGGGGAAGTGGTGCCTTGCCGCCGCTGACAGCTCTCCGCCTGCGGCAGAGGTTCCAGCTGGCCCCTATGGCCTCACATGCTGCCATAGGCACCAACCGCAGCTATCAACCGGCGGGCTGTGGCGGAAGCACATGTGTCCCTGCCCCGCCCTGCCTCGACGATACCGCCTCCAGCTGCCCGCCGCCCATCTGTAGGTACGTGCTGGCCAACATTGAGGGGCGGCCCGGCGGCATGTGGCAGATCGCCTGTGGCTCCAGCTTCGGGTGCAACAGAGCTGTGTGGCGCGCCTGCGCACCGTGCGCGATGCCCACCCGGCCTGGCAGGCCGATGCCGAGGGCTGCGCCACAAGACTCGCCACACACCGCACAGTGCCTGCTGCACTTCTTTCCTTTTGCCACCTCGCATGACACATGCCAGATCAGCCACAGTAGGTACACACCTGCACACACCTGTATTATACAATGTAAGAGCCGCTGCGAACAAAGTGGTGCACAAAAATGGGAAGGCAGAGCCGCTGAGCGGGAGATCTCACACGCCCCGATACCGCCGGCAGCGGCATCAGCGCGTCGCCCGAGACCGCCGCCTCCAGGCTGCGCGCCCCCGACAGCTGCGCCTCCTCGCCACCCTCCTCAGCCAGCGAGCCGAGGCCGTCTGCCTTCGAGAGGTGCTTTACCAGGCGCGCCGCACGCTCCGCCTCTGCCCTCCAGTCAAACCCGCTGACCAGCGCCACCAGCACGGCGGCCTGGAGGAGGGAGGCGGCGGCGATGCCCCACCACAGCCCCTCCGCGCCGCCGTGCAGCTTGAAGGCAAAGAGCAGCATGAGCGGAAGGCCCAGCGCATAGTTGGCTGCGCCGTTGACCACGGCGCCATGCTTCTGGCGACCGCAGCCGTGCAGGATGCCCGACTGCAGCGCCGTGGTGCCGTTGGCTGCACGCGGCGCAGCACAAGCAAACGAAGCCATCGAACTGATGAGGGAGGTCTGCGGTGCCGGTGGGAGTGTCGGCAGGGGAAGTGGTGCCTTGCCGCCGCTGACAGCTCTCCGCCTGCGGCAGAGGTTCCAGCTGGCCCCTATGGCCTCACATGCTGCCATAGGCACCAACCGCAGCTATCAACCGGCGGGCTGTGGCGGAAGCACATGTGTCCCTGCCCCGCCCTGCCTCGACGATACCGCCTCCAGCTGCCCGCCGCCCATCTGTAGGTACGTGCTGGCCAACATTGAGGGGCGGCCCGGCGGCATGTGGCAGATCGCCTGTGGCTCCAGCTTCGGGTGCAACAGAGCTGTGTGGCGCGCCTGCGCACCGTGCGCGATGCCCACCCGGCCTGGCAGGCCGATGCCGAGGGCTGCGCCACAAGACTCGCCACACACCGCACAGTGCCTGCTGCACTTCTTTCCTTTTGCCACCTCGCATGACACATGCCAGATCAGCCACAGTAGGTACACACCTGCACACACCTGTATTATACAATGTAAGAGCCGCTGCGAACAAAGTGGTGCACAAAAATGGGAAGGCAGAGCCGCTGAGCGGGAGATCTCACACGCCCCGAACCGCCGGCAGCGGCATCAGCGCGTCGCCCGAGACCGCCGCCTCCAGGCTGCGCGCCCCCGACAGCTGCGCCTCCTCGCCACCCTCCTCAGCCAGCGAGCCGAGGCCGTCTGCCTTCGAGAGGTGCTTTACCAGGCGCGCCGCACGCTCCGCCTCTGCCCTCCAGTCAAACCCGCTGACCAGCGCCACCAGCACGGCGGCCTGGAGGAGGGAGGCGGCGGCGATGCCCCACCACAGCCCCTCCGCGCCGCCGTGCAGCTTGAAGGCGAAGAGCAGCATGAGCGGAAGGCCCAGCGCATAGTTGGCTGCGCCGTTGACCACGGCGCCATGCTTCTGGCGACCGCAGCCGTGCAGGATGCCCGACTGCAGCGCCGTGGTGCCGTTGGCTGCACGCGGCGCCAGGGCAGGGGAGTGGGGCAGAGAGTGGGGCGGGGCGCAGGATGCTCCTGTGCTGCAAGTGCCGCTGCCAAATGCCCGGGGACAAGGCGACACAGCCCAGCGTCGCGGCAGAAAGGCCAGGACTGCCGCCGAGCTGCGCATCTCCGCCCCCCAAACCGCCCCGACACTCACTCAGCAGCAGCGCCGCCAGCGGCAGCATGAGGGCGGCGCAGGCCTGGATGACGGCGGGGTCTGTGGTGAACAGGGCGGCGGCGCGGTGGCGCAGCAGCAGCAGCGCCAGCGACGCCAGGGACACCACACCCACGCCCATGGCGGTGCCAACCTCGGCTGCAGGCGGGGCGGGTGAGCGGGCAGGAGTGGCGTGAGCAGGCAGGGCAGGCAGGAATGGCAGTGTGCAGGCAGGGATGGCAGCCGAGCAGCACTCTTGATTTCAGGTGGCTGCCCTCCTGTCAACGCACCCGCCAGCTTGGCGCCTCGCGGGTTTTGCTGGCCCAGCAGCGCCCCGACGCGGGCGCACACCGCATAGGCCAGTCCGTAGGGCACCATGAAGACTGCAAGATTTGGAGGCAATCGGGTGACCCACCCAGACAGACAGAAAGCCCGCCAGGGCGGCAGCAGGCGGGAGGCGGCGGGGCTGGCTGGCGGGCCGGCATGCAGGCGGCAAGGCATGGACGCCCACCTGTGGTGTTGATGTTGTAGATGACGCCAGTGGCGGCCAGCGCGACGTCAGGGGAGGGCAGCAGGCCTGCAGGGGGCAGAAGGCGGAAGCGCGGAGGTGGGGCGGTGTGGGGGTGGGGGCTGCAGCCCGCTCACGGCACACCACCGCGACGGCAGGCCCTGGGAGGAATCTCGAGGCTGCTGAGGCGTGGGTGTGCGGTTCTCCACAGCGGGGATCACCTGCCAGCAGGGTTACGATGTCGTACAACCACCAGTCTTGACGAAGGCAGGGTCGGGGTGGAAAGAAACGGAGCGAAACGGCACAAAATGTGAGCACCGAGTCGCAAGTACACACCATGCCCCCGGGCGTGCAGCCCTGCCCTGGCCTGCCCTGGCCTGCCCACCCTCCTCACCTGCCACAATCATGGCGGTGGCGGCCAGGGTGAGGCGGAGGAAGGGCCCCCAGCCGCGCAGCGCGTCGCGGCTCCACCCGCGCCACCACCGCTCCTGGGGGGGGCGCCGCGCGTTGTGCAGGGCGCACAGGGCCAGCAGGCAGGCGATGTAGATCAGCTCGCAGGCCACAAAGGCCAGGGCCGAGCCGTCCAGGCCCATGCCAAGCTTGAAGATGAGCAGCCAGTTGATGGGGCCGGTGGCAGCGAAGAAGACGGCGCCCGCCGCAAGAACATACATGGTGGCTCCTGCACGGACGGTGGGTGCGCTGGCGGGGTGAGGGAGCTGGCTGGCGCTGCCTGGAGGCGGCACACGGCGCCAAGGGGCAGCAGGAGCAGCAGGGGGACTGCATGGGAAGCAGGCATGGCAGGCTGGTCCAGGCGGGCGCTGGCCGAGGCGCCGCACCCTGGCTGGCCAGTGTGCGGTACAGGCAGAGGTTGATGGCGTGCAGCGGTACGACTGGGGCGAAGAGGTGGATGTACCGCGCCGCCGCCGCCGCCAGCGCCGCCTGCTGCCCCAGCGCCAGCAGCAGCGGGTGGGCGCAGGCGTAGAGGAGCATGAGCGGGGCGCAGGTGGCCAGGGAGAAGGCCAGAGCGCGCTGCAGCACCAGCCCGATGGCGGCGTAGGAGCGGGAGCCGTGGGCCTGGGAGCCAAAGGTGTCCACGGCCCCCGTCACGCCGTTGAGCAGGGCGATGCCTGCAGGGGGGGGAGAGCCGGGCAAGGTTAAGGGACAGACGAATAGGGGGAAAAGGGAACAGGAACAAATAGAAGTCGAGCGGGGTTTGGTGGAGAGGTGTGGAGCGGCGCAGGAGACAGGCGGGCACGCACCGGTGATGTTGGTGATGCTGTGGGCAAGGGTGTATGCTCCCAGGGCGCTGGCCCCGAGGCGCCCCACCATGCCCATGGCTACCAGGGTGGAGGCATAGGACACCACCTGCGGGGATGGGAGGGACGAGCAGTTGAGGATGGGCATGGGCCATGGGTGGCATTTGGGCGCGGCAGCAGTGGCTAAACGTGGAGCACACTACTGTGCTGCTTGATCATCCAGCATCTGCATGACTAGCGGCACTCTGCGCACCTCCTCGATCACCAACGGCCCGCCCAAGAAGAGGATGCTGCAGGTGCCGGAGGAATCAGCGAGGGGTTGGTAGGGGAGCGGGCTGCCGTCCACAGCAGCCCATCAGCAGGCCCTCGGCCAGGGGCAGGACTGTGAGAATGTGCAACATGCACACGGGACGAGATGCACACCATGCACACGGGGGAGGCCCCAAAAGTTTCGCACCGCTTGCTCTCAGCAACCGCCGGCGCCTCGCCGCCGGCGTCCCCACCGCCAGCGGCGGCGGGAGGAAGCAGGGGCTCCTGCAGGTCGGGAGTGGTTGGACCGGCCGGCGCATCAGCAAGGCTCCCATTCAGCGGCCGCTGGAGGTCCGGTTGTGGAGCACTGGCTCCGGAGGCCATGGTGCTGCAGCCAGGGTTGGGGTTCTACGGCTGGGACTGCCCTCTATTGATGGGCACGATCCCGAACAGCACCGATTGCACCGCAGGCAGCTTATAGCGGCCCTGGTTGGGGAGGTAGTCGAGTGCCAGCTGTCACTGGAAAGGAGCAGGCCTAGTCGGTGAAAACCGGCTTGTAGAGGCCTCTGCACTGCATAGGGGAGCGCCGGGGGCGCTGTGGACAATGAACCCTCTCGTTAGAATCGCCCTGCAGGCGGAGCTGGCGGAGAATTGCAAGATCGTCAAGGTGAGGCGGGGGTGGTTGCCCCATACCAGCTTTAGATATGCAGCGGCGCAGCGAGGGCTGGTGGGGGCCCGAGGCGCAAGCTGTCCCGTCCTGGCCTCCAGCTGCGCCCGTCTGCGGCTGGCCTTGCCGTGGTGCTCCCTGGGCCGGGCAGTGGGCAGGCAACATGGGGCTGCGATCGCCGCCATATCGGGAGGCCTGCCGCGCGGGCAGCGGGCCAGAGGCGGGGGCGGGGGCCGCCTGCCCGCCAACAGCTCACGCTCTTCCCAACGGTCACCCACGCTGCCCGAGGCTCGGGCCAGGCTGTTGCTTCGCTGCCGCCGCCACTGCCCACGCCTGTCCCTGCCTTGCACGTGCAGGAGGCGCATGGGCGCAAGATTCTGCTGGCCCGCACCGGCGGCCAGCTGTTTGCCACGGATGCCCACTGCTTCCATATGGGCGGCAACCTGTGGGAGGGCGACATAGAGGATGTGGGCGGCCACCCCTGCGTGGTCTGCCCGCTGCACCGCTACAGGGTGGGTGCTGGGCTGTGCCTGCGGGATGTGGGTGCTGCCGGAGCCGCCTGCCTGCCTGCCCGCAGCCCGCTGCTCGCCTGCTGGGTTGCTCCACAGCGCAATTGTCCGCTTACCAGCTGCTCCGTGCCCCGCCCCGCCTCTGTACGTTGCCCCAGATCGACATGAGGAGTGGAAAGAAGGTGGACACGATGCTGGACGGCTGCGTATCCTGTGGGTCGGACCAGCAGCAGCGCACATACGCCGTCCACGCCGACGACGAATTCATCTTGTGGGTGCTTGCAGGGTTTGGTGGTGGCAGCGCTGTGTGTGTGTGTGTTGGGTGCTGGCCGATTGGACGGCAGGTGGGTGCTGTGCTAACAGTCGGCTCCTCCGCTGCCTCCCTTGCTCCGGCAGGGGCTCTTCTGCTCACCCTGCCCCGCTCCCCTGCCCCGCAGCGTCCACATCCCCGAGCTGCACAGCCAGCCTCAGCTGCCCAGCGACCGCTACAACCAGGCCGCGCCGGCGCCGGCGCCGGGCGCCACCCAGCAGCCGGGCGCCACCCCCGCCCGCAGTAACTACGGCCTGTTTGGCAGCAGCAGCCGGGCCGGCGGCGCGACGGCGGGGGCGCCAGAGCTGCTGGCTCCTTATGCCGGCATCTCGCAGCGCGGCCTGGTGCCGGCCACCCCGGCCAGGGACGCTATGGAGGATGAGCCGGCCCTGCAGCTGAGCCAGGAGGCCGGCATCCAGCTCAGCCAGCCCTCGCCCGCCGCCCAGCGGCAGCAGCAGCAGCTCATGCAGCAGCAGCAGCAGCCGGTGCACCACACACAGGTGGGCGCCGCTGGGGCGAGCCCGGCGGGAGCAGGGCTGCTGTGGGTGCCTGGCACTGGGCAGCCAGCCGCGGCTGCCTCGTCTCTGTGGTGTGCGAGGGTGACCAACCTGGCCTGCCTGCCTGCCTGCCTCCTTCTCCGCTGCAGGGCCACATCCCTTTTGCCCAGTCACGGGCCGACACAGCCCACATCGCGCGCCGCAAGGCGGCCACTGCCGCCATCGCCGCACGCCGCTACACGCCGCCCACCGCCCAGCCGCCGCGCCCGCCCGCGCGCGGCCTGCTCAGCTCAGGGGCTGCGCCCTCACCGCAGCTGCAGCCGCAGCCCGCCGCGGCGGGCGGCGGCCAGCAGAGCCTGCTGTCGTTCGGATTCACGGTGCAGCAGCACGGCACGCCGGTGGCGGCCAGCGGACCAGAGTCGATGGATGTGGAGTGAGCGGTGCTGAGCAGTACAGGGCTTAGCGCGAGCCCGTCAGCAACGGCAGCCAGTAGCAGCTGCCAGCAGCTAGCATGCTGAGCATGGCAGTCGGTCGCCTCAGCAGGGGCCCACCAGCGGGTGCCAGCCAGCGTCCTCGCCTTGATATAACGAGCATTTTGACTGAATTCCCTTCAAGCACCGCAGCTAGATAGCTAGCATTCTCCCAACCGCAGCATTACCACACTTTGATCGACCCTTGCACCCTCTCGTGCTGCACAGCGCAGCAGCGCTCTGCTGAACCGGAGCGCCCCATCCCACACCTCTTTTGCTTCCTACCTTCGGAACTTTATTTTTCACCAACCGACGCTCTATCCACGATACAAGATTTTGATATGCCGACCCTGGACCAGCTTGATGCTGAGTCCCTCCTCCCCTGGGCGTGTAAGGGACACTTGGGGTAAGGTCCTCAAGGCTATGTTACAGTTGGGCAGGGCGGAGTATAGTATGAAATGGGCTGCCAGCGCTAATGAAACAGCAGAAGGGTAGCACAGGGAGAAAACTGAAGACAGCGCAGCAGCGCATGCACAGGAGCGGAGCAGGGCAGGTGGTGACAGAGGAGGGACAGGAGGAAAACTGGGGCAATGCAACGAGCAGGTGCGGAGGCAGCTCAAGCGCCACCCTGGACATGCGGGCGCGGCCCGGTCGGGCGCAGTCTACGTTAGGGTCATGACCGCCAGCACGACGGTCAGGTACAGGCAGTACAGCCCCACCATGCCCCACCCGCACCAGGCGGGCAGGTACTGGCGGTGGGCGAGGCTGATGCCCACCAGGCAGGCGCAGTTCACCAGGATGAAGACGCAGCCCACCAGCACGACGGGATCCATCTCCACCTGCGTGGCCGCCGCGCCGCTCTCCCCCAGCAGCGCCCAGAAGCCCAGGCCCAGCCCCACCAGCATGTTGAACAGCGGCCCCGCGAAGCAGGCGGTCATGGCCATGGAATTGCCGCCGCGGCTGCGCCCCGCCATGGCGGTGTTGTTCATGTAGTCCATCAGGCTGTTCCCCCACGCCAGCAGCGTCACGCCCAGCACCGCGGGGTCCAGCTTGCTGCGTGGGGGGGGAGCAGGGGGAGAGCAGGGGGAGGGCAGGGTGGGGTCACAGACGGGAGGAGAGCAGGAGGTGAGGCCAGAGGGGGAGAGCAGGGGGTGGGGGCCACGGGTGGGAGGCCAGAGCGGCGGGGCCCAGCAGGAGGCAGGCGAGGGGCTGGCACGCCCGGCACGCCCGGCATCGAAACGGCGAGGCGGCAGGCGTGCAGGCGCAGGCTGCACCTGGAGCGGAGCACCCCTCCTGAACTGAGCCGCACCTGAGCATGCCGAAGAACTGGAGGAGGCCCACGATCTCTGAGGCGAACAGGGAGATCCACATGGCGGCCACCGCAAAGCCGTAGACGGCCACCAGGGCGGCGCCTGCGGGCGGCGGCGGGCGGAGGGGCAGCGGGGCGGTTGGCGGGGGACAGGAAGAGAGGGACGAGAGGGATTCCAGCCCATCAGGCGTCGGGAGATGCAGTGGGGAAGAAGACGAAGGTAGAAGGTGGAGGGATTGCGAGTGGGCGTGTGAGCAGAGGCGCACACAGCTGAGCCCGCAGGCCGCAGCTCCACTTGGTGGTCGTTTCCTCGCGGCCGAAGCAGGCAAAGCGGGAGGCCAGCGGCAGGCGGCGCGGCGCACCTATGGGGTAGCTCGTGCCGCACGTCCACACGGGGGCCTTGCCCTGCAGCCGCTGCGTGCCCAGGTGGGCCGCCGCTGCCAGGCTGGCGCCCACCCCCGCCGCCGCCAGCAGGGCGTACCAGTGGAAGAGGCGGAGGTAGGCGCAGATGAAGAGCGGGGAGGCGGCCATGCTGCGCAGGAACCAGCTGCGCTGGTAGCTGTTGACCTCCACCAGAGGGATGGTGGTCTGTGGGAGGAGGCGGGGGTGTAAGAGTGAGGGTGGAGCAGGAGGGCAGATGGCTGGTGTGGGCGAGGTGATGCGAGAGGCACAGCAAGCAGCAGCCCCCGCAGGTGCCCCGCAAGCGGCTGCTGGCTGGTGGTGCCGTCCCGGTGGCAGCCGCAACACCAGCGGCGGCACAAAAAGAGGGGTGAGCAGCGTGCGGACCTGGAGCAGGAGCAGTACGGGCCACTGTACCGCCTCCAGCACGCGCCGCACCCGCCCCGGCGGCACCTCAGTCTCCCACTCGTCGGCGGCCAGGCCGCAGCCGCCGGCGGCGCCGCCCGCTGCGCGCGCCTCGGCGTCCACCTGAGCCACCGCTGCCGCCGCTGCGTCTGCTGTGGTCATGGCCATTTCAAATGAGCTGTGGGGGGTGGAGGAGGCGGAGGGGCGGGAGGCCGCTGAGCCTGGCCGCTCCGCTTGCGGCAGGAGGTGGTGGTGGGGCTGGGGGGCGAGCCCCGGGCCCGCGGCGCCCAACCCGCCACACTCAGCCACCTCTGCCACCGCGGCTGCCGCCGCCGCCGCGATGTCGCCCGTGCTGCGGGGCCGGGCGCCCAGCATGGCGGCGTTGAAACCGACCACGGGAGGCTGGTAGGCGCCGCCAGCGTCCCACTCCGCTGCAGTGCTGCGCCTGCGGCCGCCGGGGCTGCCCTCCCAAGACCTTTCTTCCTCCTCCTCTTCGTCGCTCGACTCGCTGTCGCTGCACTTCTCCCACACCTCCCCCTGCCGCTGCTGCCGCTGCTGCTGGCTGGCCGCCTCAGGTGGCCCCTCATCCACGTCGCGCTGGTCCCGCACATAAAAGGAAGTGGACTGCAGGCAGGAGGGCAGGGCAGATACGCAGGCGGAGCAGGCATGCAGTGAGTGCAGAAGTCACATGCAGGCAAACAAACGCGGCTGCGTGCCCAAAACCTGAGCCCCGGCATGCCCGGCGTTGATGGCAGCAGCAGCGCCACGCCAGCTGCAGCAGCAGCGTCGCCGGAGTCAGCAACAGCAGCAGCAGCCGGCCAGGTGGCCGGCCAGCCGCACCTGCGCCATCTCTGCCAGCGCGCGCCGCCTATACTCCTTGGCAGGCATCTGCACTAGGTCGCTGTAGGCTACACGCGGCTGGAAGCGCGCCACTGGGGGGGCCAGCCTGCGCAGTATGGGACGGTGGGGCAGAGCCGAGCTGGCGCTTGGTGGAGCCAGAGCGCGCCTGCAGGCCGAGGCCGGAGGTGCACGGCTGCAGGCATGGTGGGCGGCCTGCTGGGGAGACCTTGCGGAGCAGCCACGCCTACCTATGGGGGTGGTGGGGGTGGGGGTAGTGAGCTGCGAGTTGCTGCTGGTGCTGCTGGTGCTGCTGCTGTGCGTGCCAGTACGATGCCTGCTGCTGCCGCCGCGCCGCCGTGGTTTGCAGGTCGGGCAGGCTGGCAAACCTGGTGCGCGCGCCGGCCGCGGCCGGGGCCGACAGAGCCGCTGCCAGCTGCGGCATGCTGCCAGGCGCCGGCGCCGGCGCATCGGACAGCGGCGACAGACGCCCGCTGGGCAGGCTGCCAGCCGCCTCTGCCGCCAGATCCAGCTCTGGCGAGGGCAGCAGCCTGGTGCCGGCCGCGCCGAGCGCCTCGCCCTCGACTGCCGGCCCCTCTTCTAGGATCGTCTCCTGCTGCTGCTGCTGCTGGCGCGTGGCTGCTGCCAGGCGGCCGGGCGGCGGGGCGCCGTGGCCTGTGGCGGCTGCGGCGCCGTGGTCCTCTTGAAGCAGAGGCGCCACCATCTCCACCCGCCACCTGCAGCCGGCCAGCAGGCACAGCAGGACCGGGGGCGCTCGGCGGCCGCAGGCGAGCAGGGCGCAGCAGGCAGGCAGCACGGCGCGGCACGTGGCACAGGCAAAGCAGGACGTGACAGAGAGGGAGCGGGAGCGGGAATGGAATGCTAGCCAAGCCTACAGCCAGCCCAGCCAGCCCAGCTCATTCAGCGCCGGCGCACCTTCCAGACATGCGGCGCGACACCTTGCGCGCCACCTCTCCCCACTCCACCCCCGCCCGCTTGGTGAAGTCTGCCACCGCCACCACCACCACATAGCCGGCATAGATGGACAGCAGGGTAGCCACGCCGCCGTACGTGAACCAGCCGCTGGCAACTGCAGGGCAGGAGGCGAGGGGGAGGGCAGGAGAAGTGGTGGGGTGGCGGTGGGGTGGCCACCAGTCTGGAGGGCTGCGTGGAGGGCTGCGTGGAGGGCTTCTGTGTGCGCTCTTGGTGGCGGGGCTCCTGGTGCGTGCGAGGTGGGTGAGAGACAAATGCGAGCGACCCGAGGCCGCAGCGCAGCCCTGCGGACCGACAGAGGCGCAACCGCATGCGGCCCTGCAGCGCTGGTGGCCCAGCCGCAGCCGGCGGCAGCTGCCGGGAAGCTCCTCACCGATGCCCGTCACCACCGCCACCGTTATGAACTGCGTGGAGATGTCTCGCAGCTGGGCGCCGCGGGCCCTCACCCCACCGCTCAGCGTGATGATGCGCCCCGCCACCACGCCCCCCACAAACATGCCCGCCCCGGTGAGGGCGCCCATGGCGAGCTGGTAGTTGCCTGCGGCGCGGGAGGCAGCAGGCAGCATGCGGGGATGTCAGAAAAGGCAGGAGGAGGCGCAGGCATGCAGGCAGCCTCGCAGGCTGCCTCGCAGGAGCCCCACAACGGGGGGCCGCCTCTGCGTGCCCACACCCACAACCCACCCACCTGTCTTGACGGCGGCAATGGAAGCCGACAGGTCGGGCGCTCCATTGCCCAGTGCCAGCAGCGTGACGCCGCCCAGCCGCGGCGGCAGGCCCAGGTCTTGGGAGATTTGGGAGAGGATGCAGGAGAAGAAGTCGTCGGCTGCGCGCGCGATGATGCGGAACAGCAGGCCCAGCAGCACGGTGCAGCCCAACTGCGGGGAGGGACGGCCGGCGGCGGCGAGGTGAGCGTGGCGAGCGGTATGGCCAGCGAGCGGCGGAGCGGGCGGCAGCCAGGACGGTATTACTTCTGGTTCAAAGCAGGCCTGCACCCTCGCCTGTTGCCCTGACACCCACACGACAAGGCGCAGACACCCCACCACCACCACCCCAGAAACCACAGCCCACCCACCAGCATGACGGCGGTCAGCAGCGCGCCGTGCGGCGCCACGTGGCAGTAGTACAGCTGCGGCCAGTTGACCAGGCTCTCCGCCTTGCAGTGGTTGCGCACAAATGTGCAGAAGTCGTCGCCGGCGTCCAGCTTTGTCACATCCTCGCACACCAGCTCCCCTTCGTCCAGCCGCCCCGTGGCGGGCTGACCTCCAGGCAGCGGCGGCGGCTGCTCGGGCGGGGCTCCCTCCCCCGGCTCCCCTGCCAGGTCCGGCATCTGCAGGAGGGAGGTGGGATGGCGGTGGGAGCAGCGTGGCGTTGGCGAGGCCCGCCCTTACAGAGCCCCGCGCCGCTGTCCCCCGCTCGGTGCCAGTACTCTGCGTGGCATTCCTGCGGCCCACGCACCTGCGCCGTCCCTCCCAGGTCGTGTCTGCCTGCCCCCTGATGGCACCCAGCCAGCCGCAGCAGGGCCAGGCCCGCCACAAGGGCGAGCAGGGCCCGAGTCGGGGGCATGGCGGCGCTGTGTGCCCAGGCGCGAGTCTGTGCGTGATCAGCACATGCCACGCTTGCAGCTGCCCGCTCCTCCCTTGCCGCTCTGCAGCGCGTGAATGGCAACCGAAGCTGCACGAGTTGCCCAAAAACGCTGCCAACCTTCCATGAACAACCAAGATCGCTTGAGAGCAACGAAGCGGCTCAGGGGTTCAGGGGAGCCGAAAGCTGGCAAGGCCAGGGCGCGCTGCGGTGCATGCTGGCTCCCAGGAGCTCTCAGGACCCCATCCGCGCGCCCCAGATCAAACCTTAACCCGGCAACCTCTCTGCTTGCCAGCAGGTGCTGCCCCGGCCCTGTGGCACGGCGGGCACCCCCATCAGTGCCCTTAGACTGCTGGGTTTGGGCTCCATCGCGTCCATTCAATCGCCGTAGGCAGTTCACACACGATGCAGACACAACAGCTGCAGCGGCAGATGCATGCGGGCCCTGGGGTGTTGCGGCCGCGGCACCTGGCCGCCTGCGCATCCCCGGTCCCCCTGGTGCACCCGGCGGCCTGTCAGCAGCAGCGCGCCCGGCGGACGCGCGCCGCCGCACCCCTGCGCTGCCAGGCGGCGGCACCGGCAGTGGCCGCCGCGCCGCGCCCCGAGGGCAAGTTTGAGCCCCAGGTGTGCGTGGTGCTGGGCACGCAGTGGGGAGACGAGGGCAAGGGCAAGCTGGTGGATATCCTGGCTCAGGAATACGAGATTGTGGCTCGGGCGCAGGTGAGCGGAGCCACGGGGCGGCGGCACCGCCCAGGGCGGTGTTTGCCGGCAGGGACGCGACGGCAGCCTGCTTTTCCCTTGCATAAGCAATGGTGGTCAATGCCGTTGGCAGCCGTCTGGAAGCAGCAGGGAGTATGGACGTTATTCCGACCGACCGGCCGCCTGCCCACCCACCTACCCACCTGCCCTCGCTCTTGCCAACCCTGTGCCCTCCTTCCTCCAGGGCGGCGCAAACGCTGGCCATACCATCTATGACAGCGAGGGCAACAAGTACAAGCTGCACCTCATCCCCTCGGGCATCCTCAACCCCAAAGCCACCTGCGTGATCGGCAATGGCGTGGTGGTGCACCTGCCGGGGCTGTTTGAGGAGATCCGGGGCATGAAGCAGCGGGGCGTGAGCGTGGAGGGGCGCCTGCTGATCAGCGACAGGGCCCACATGCTGTTTGACCTGCACAAGGAGATCGACGGGGCGCGCGAGGCGGAGCTGGCGGGCGTGGGCAAGCAGGTGGGCAGGCGGGCTGCAGGCAGGCAGGCAGGCACGCGGCCGGCGGGCAGGAGCGCAGCGCGGGGCAGGGCCCGGGCTGGGGAACCGCCTTCCTGTTGCTGGCCCGCCACTTGCCGGCTTGCGTACCGGCTCGCCTGCGCCGCTGCCTGCCCGCCTGGCCACGGCTGCCGCTCTCGTCTGCCTGCAGATCGGCACCACCAAGCGCGGCATCGGCCCGGCCTACAGCTCCAAGGCAACCCGCAACGGCGTGCGGGTGGGCGACCTCAAGCGGCCAGAGGCGTTTGCCGGTGCGTAGATGCGCACGCAGCCGTGCTCTGCCGCACCAGCCGCTCCTGTTGGCTGCTCGATCGGGCGTTCAGGGTGCCGGAACCGACACGACTCTCCCGCTGTTTTCAGCCAACCAGAAGAGAAACCAGCACCTCCCCACCACCTCACCCACCCCGTCCCTCCTTCGTCCTCCCTGCTCCCTCCTCCCTCCCTCCACCTCACCCACCCTCTCCCTGCTCCCTGCTCCCGCGCCTGCAGACAAGCTGCGCAAGCTGGCGCAGGATGGTTACAAGCGGTTTGAGGGCTTTGAGTATGATGTGGAGGGCGACATCAAGGCATACCAGGAGATGGCCGCCACGGTGGCGCCCTTCATCTCAGACACCGTCTACCAGATCAACGAGTGGTGAGACCGGCTGTGCTGCTCAGCTGTGCTGCGGCTGGCTGCCTGCTTCTGCCTGGGGTGGCTGCCTGCCATGGGTGGGTGGTCGGGAGGGCCGCACGCGGCTGGGATGGGATGCGGGGTGGGCCCTGGCTGGGTGTCCAATGGTGCTGGCAGCCAAGCGGCCCCCGCCGCTGCTCCCGTGATTGCATCAGCTCGCTGTGTGCCACCTGTGCTTCTGCATCGCTTGCTGCATCGCCTGCACCTCCTGCCGGCTGGCCAGCCGCTGATGCTTCAATACACGCATAGTTCATCCGCAGCGGGCTTACTCCCCGCGCTGAGGAAACATCAATACCGAATGTCTTTCGCTCCTATCTGAGGCTGGCCGGTCGACCTGCAGTCCCCTGCCTGCCCACCCTGCACCCCAGCTGCCCATGGCACAGCATCCTGCACCCCCGCTACACCTCCGCACACCGCATGCACCTCCCGGCGCGCCACCCACACCTGTCCGCCAGTGTCGCCACCCGTGCCGCCTGTACTGCCTCCTGGTACCGCACCTGTACCGCAGGTACGACGAGGGCCGCAAGATCCTGATCGAGGGCGCCAACGCCACCATGCTGGATATCGACTTTGGCACCTACCCTTACGTCACCTCCTCCAACCCCTCCATCGGCGGCGTGCTGACGGGGCTGGGCGTGGCCCCCAACAAGCTGGGCGCCGTGATCGGCGTGGTGAGCCTCGTGCTGGGCGGTGTGCATGTGTATGGGGGTGCCGGGGCAGCGCGGGCGCGGGCTCGGTGCTGCGCGGCGAGCTGGCGGCAGCGCCGCGGCCCGCTGCTCAAACACCCCCGCTCTAAACCAGCCACACAGTGAGTGCCAGCCCGCCAACCAGCCCCTTCACCTGCTGCCACCCTCCCTCCCGCAGGCCAAGGCTTACACGACTCGCGTGGGTGCCGGCCCTTACCCAACTGAGATCTTTGGGGAGCTGGCCGATGAACTGCGCGAGGTGGGCGCCGAGTACGGCACCACTACGGGCCGCCCGCGCCGCATCGGCTGGCTGGACATGGTGGCCCTCAAGTTTGCCTCCCGGTGAGCTTGAGGGGCTGGTGCACCGCCAGAGGGCCGGCGTGCAGCAGCAGGGGAGGAGAGGGGTGAGTTGGGGGTGCGCCGGTGAGAGGGCCGAGCATGCCTGCTGCCGCTCCTGCTTGCCGCAGCATCAACGGCCTGACCCACATCAACCTCACCAAGCTGGACGTGCTGTCGGACCTGGAGGAGATCAAGGTGCTGAGCTGGCGCCGCTGAGCTGGCAGGCGTAGTTTTGGTCGCGCCACCCCCTTGCTCCTGGTCTTGGGAACAAATTTCCTGCCACCTGCTGTGCCTGTCATGCCAGCGCCGCCTCCCTGCTGCTGTCACCGTCCCCTCCGCTGCCGCCCACCGTGCTGAATTGCTGCACTGCAGGTGGGCGTGGCGTACCGCCAGCCCGACGGCCAGCTGCTGCACACGGTGCCCGAGGACCTGGATCTGCTGGAGCAGTGCGAGGTGGGTGCCCAGTGTGGTGGCAGGGCAGGGCTGTTTGCAGCCAGCAGGCTGGCAGGCTGTGCCGCAGCCACCCTGGACTCCACGACCAATAGATCCGCGCCTCGCCAAGCTGCTCATCCCCTGCCTAGAGCTTTCACGCCGCCGCCGCCGCCACCTGGATGTTGCTGGCGCTCGACCGGGACCGCCTGCCCCGTCTTGTCCTTGCAGGTTGTGTATGAGACGCTGCCTGGCTGGAAGCAGGACATCAGCAAGGTCCGCACCTGGGAGGACCTGCCGGAGAATGCGCGCAGGTGAGCGTGGTGTAGTGTTGTACACACACACACACCCATTGTTGGCTTGCTCGGGCCCGGTGCTGGAGAACCCAATTGGAGGCAGAGTGTTGTTCCTTTTTTGTTGGCGTGCTCGGGCCTGCTGCTGGAGAACCAAAGTGGAGGCGGGGTGGCAGGAAGAGATCGCCAGCAGCTGCTGCTGGGCGGGCCTGCACCGTCGTGCGTGGGAAGCTTGCTCGATGCTGCTGCTGGTACTGATCCGGTGATTGCGTCGCCTCGATCGTCCCCTGCCCCGCAGCTACGTGCGCTGGGTGGAGCAGGCGGTGGGCGTGCACTGCAAGTGGATTGGCGTGGGGCCGGGCCGCGACGCCATTGTGATGAAACCTCTCGAGGTGCCCGTGGCGGCGGCGCGGTAGGCGGCTCCCAGACCCAGCCTAACCCCTGCAACGCATGGCAGCTACCAGCGGCGGCAGCCAGGGATGGCCGCCAACCGCTGCGCCGGCAGCTGCCCGCTGCACCTGTACTGTCTGTCTGCCCAGCCCGGCGCCTCTAGAGATCTGCTGGCGCCAGGCGAGCTTTTTTTCCCATACCGTGAGTGTGTGCGCTGCTCCTTCCGCTATTCTCTCTTGGTTCCATCACTCCCAACCCTGCTCCTCCCCCTCGCATGCATACTCCCGCTGCTTGTTTCTAGGGCCCATGGCATGGCCTCTCAGTAGCTTTTCAGGAACCCCTCTTTGCTGTACTGCAACTCTCCCATCAACTCGAGTGCATTACTGCTGTTGTAAGCTGCAAAAGCTCAGATGGACCTGGGGAGTGGCTGCGCTGTCGCAAGGCTTCTCAGAGGCTCACAACGACGGCCAGCAAGGTCGGGCAACAGCAGCGCCAGGCACCAGCATGTGGCTGCCATTGTTTCTCATGTCACAGCGCCGGGCCAGGCCAGCGCCTGCACCGGCTCTATCGTCAGTTCTCTGCCACTCTCGTCCACTCTCAACCGCCCGCTGCTGGGCGCCCATGCCTCCGCTCCCGCTGCTTCTTTCGCCTCGCACTGCTGCTGCCCGCCCGCAGGTGTCTTCTTCCGCCGCTTCCGCTGCTCTGTTGCTTCCTGCTGCGCCGCGGTCCATAACCGCAGAGGGCGGGACACATACCGCGTCATCAGCGTGCCCACCTCCTTCCCCCCCTCAATTGGAAAGTCCCCTTCAAAGTCCACCTGGCACAGCAGGCACAACACAGCGATCACGCACCGACCAGCATCTTTACCAGGCACCACGGGCCAGCTGGCGCAGCTGCTGCCGCCACCAACCCCCGCCACTCAAGCCCAGGCACGCTCCCACGCCCTGCCACGCACACACAGGGACTCCACACACAGACACGCACACACAACACGTACAATCACTCAGACCCGCCCACCCAGCCAGCTGCCCACCTTGCTGGTGAGGAAATCAAGCACCAGAGGGTCCCACTGCAGCCCGCCCAGCTTCTGGCGCTGCAGCTCGGCGCCCCGCCGGGCCAGGTGCATGCCGAAGAGCTGCCGCACGTGGCGGCGCTCCAGCGGGAAGAAAGGGAGGAAGAAGGAGACGAGGCCCACCTGCGGGAGGCCAGGCCCACGGGCCAGCGTGGCGACCAAAGCGCGCATGGCATGGTGTGCAGCTGTAGTGCAGGGCGCCGCCGCTGTCCTTCCCAAGCCTCCCTACCACCGCACTGGCACTACCGCACCTGCCCTGCCCCACACCACCACCCACCATCTTGAGCGTGTCCGACCGCTCCTCGCAGCCCTGCGCCAGCCACCGCTCAAACACCATGTCTTTAAGCACGCGCTGCGCCTCCTCCGCGCCAATCTTGCTGCAAGCGGCGCGGCGGGGAGGGGCGGCACGGGCGCGCGGGCAGGCGGTGGGAAGGTGTGTGTGCGTGGCGTGTGGAGTTGCAGGGTGTGTTTGTGGGTGGCAGGGGTGTGTGTGGGTGACAGGGGTGGCCGCAGGGGCGCCCACCTTCTGTCCCCGGCCCGCAGCAGGAGGTCATGCAGCTCCGTGTAGCCGAGGTTGGATTCTAGCACCACGATGGCCCTGGAGCACGGTGGCAGGAGGCAGGGACGGGGAGGGGGAGGCAGGCAGGCATGTCACCATGCAGGGAGGACCGGGTACAGCCTGCTGGCTGCCCCGGAGCCTGTCCCCAGCCCGGCCCCAACCCAGCTGCCTCACTTGTTCAGGCTGACGTTGGCCACCTGGCCGTTCTCCAGGAGCTGGCGGAAGAAGCCGCGCATGGGGCAGTCCAGCTTGTCATATTCCTCCACCACCAGCACTGCAGGCAGGCAGGCAGGCAGGCAGGCAGGTGGGGGGGCAGCAGGGGGGCGGCAGCGTTGCTCGACTTCGGCCATGCCAGCACTGGAGGGCAAGCTGCACAGGTGCCGCCGCTTTGGCATCGCCAGTCGCGCAGTGCACAGAAGTGCAGATGCAGCAAAGGTGAGGGTCGCATGGTCTCGAGGGGTCGGCCCAGCATCGGCGGCCGCAAATGCAGGCAGGCAGGCAAGCGAGCAGGCAGGCAGGCAGGCAGGCGGGCAGGTGGGCAGGCGGGCAGGCCTCACGCGACTCGGGCGCCTGGCGCAGGTGCTCCAGCAGCGCGGCGCGCAAGAGGGTGTGCTGCCGCTGCCGCTCCTCCGCCGTATAGTCCATCCCGTACAGCACCTGCTCAGCAGCAGAGTGGCGTGGTGGGCGTAGATCTGGGAGAAACAGAACCACCGCCTCCCTACAAGGCTGCCTGGCGGTCATCCCGTGCCGTGACCCAGCCGAACCCCACCCGACCCAAACTCCGCCCAGCCCAACAACAACCCGGCCAGCCCCCACTTTGTATCCCGCGCAATCCAGCCCCGGGCAGCGCAGCGCGTCGTGGATGCGCCGGTTGTACAGGGCCTGCGCCGCCAGGTGGTGGAACATGGATTTGCCCACGCCGGGCGGGCCGTGCAGGGAGAGCACCAGCGGGCGGCGCGGCTCCTGCTGCGCCAGGTGGTCGCAGATGGCGTCGCTGATCTGGCGCAGCGCCAGCTCCTGCCCCACCATCTGGGAGGAGAGGAAGGGCTCCAGGCGCTCGCAGGCGCCCGGCGCAAAGTTGACGTGGCCTGCAGGAGAGGCGGGCGGCGGTGGTGAGCGGCGGGCGGCGAACGGCGGCGGCAGAGCTGCGACGGCGAGGGCGCCGATCGCCACGAATCCTGCATCATGCTCTCACCGCTAAACATGCTGACTATGGCCCCTACGGCAGCCACCGCCACTGCCCAGCCCAGTGGAAGCGCCATGGGCGCAACTGTGGCAGTCTAGAGCGGCCCACCGGACCCTAGACCCCCAATTCGATTGTGGCAGAGCATCAGGGAATGAGCGCTGGCCCTTGGAAAGGCGGGTCCCAAGTTGAAAGTCCTGCGCATGGCGTCTGCAGGCTCCGCATTGTTGTTAGTAACTGAGTATACCGCTGACACACGCACGGGAGCAATGCCGAGGTTCTGAACGCCTTCACACCTCTTCGACGATGTCGGCGTTCCACTGTGCCACCCTGCTCCTGCTGCACGCGCTGGCGTTGGCGGGTGTGATGGCCGTGCAGCCGCAGGCCAACCCCCGAGGCTGGCAGGCAGCGCGGCGGGCGGAGCAGCAGGCTGCTGCTGCTGCTGCCGCCGCCGCCAGCCAGGTGCCGCCGCCTCCAGTTCCCCCCTCGCAGCAGAGCCCGCCCCAAGCTCTGCCCCAAGGCGCAGCCCTGCAGCAGCACACCTGCAGCTTCACAGACCTGCCAGCCTGCCCAGCGCCGCTGCAGGCGGCGGCCTGGGCACGGCTGGCAGCATGCACAGCCGTTGCTTTCCTGGCCGGTGTGGCGGCAGGCATGCTGCTACTGCACGTGTGGCTGCGTCGGCAGCGGCAGCAGCACAGATGTGGCCAGGTGGCAGGTGACAGCCAGACCGGCTTACTCAGCGAGGCCGCCTCATGCGCAGCGGTGGGTGGCGGCGGGCAGAAGCAGCAAGAGCAGCGCACCGTGACCACAGAGCGCCTGGAACCGGCAGGCTCGGAGCAGGCAGGAGATGTAGCACTGGTGGCTGCTGCTGCCGCGGCCGCCGCAGCAGATGCCGCAGCAGCAGCGGCATCGGCGGCGGATAAGCAGGGTGGCGAGCCGGCGGCGGCGGCAGGCGCAGCCCGCGAGGCGGGCAGCTGCCAGGCGGCGGAGAGCAGCGGCGAGTCCCCCGGTGCGGCGCCCGAGGAGGCCGCGGTGGCTGCCGCCGTGCAGGAGATTGTGCTGCAGCAGAGCTCGGGCAGCGGCGCCGGCAGCGCCCCCGCCGCAGCTGCAGGCATCCCTTCCGCGAGTGCCGGCGCTTCCGAGCTGCAGGAGCAGCGCTTGCCGCAGCAGGAGGCGCCACCCCCGCACAGCCAGCAGGCGCAGGAGGCGCGGCAGCTGCCGCTGGCGGCCATGGTCGGGCACGGGGCCGTCGGCGGCGGCGGCGCAGGCGGCGGCGACGGCGGCGCGCTGGGCACGCTGCGTGCCGACGACCAAGCCGACATCCAGGCTGCGGCGCAGCTGGTCCTCACCATGTGTCGCTCCATGCACGTCGACCCAGCCCAGCTGGACCGCGGCGAGCGGCTGCAGCTGATCTACACCATGCTGCACGCCTGGCAGGCGCAGCAGGCGCGGCGCCACACCCACGAAGTGTCCAGGCGAGCGGCTGCGCCAGGTGGACGGGCAGGGTGGTGGGCCGCCGGCAGGCCGGGCTGTGGCAGGCTTGCCAGCTTGGGGAGGGCAGGCAGGCAGCTGGCAGGCAGTGCCTCTTGCTGGCGCAGGCGTGCAGCCCCGTGCCCGCCTGCCTCCCTCACCTCGCTGTGCCCTCCACATGCGTGCTGCATGCAGGCTGGGCTCAGAGGCGAATGTGCTTCGTGGGGAGCAGCGCGACATCGCGGCTCAGTCGGCGGCGCGGCAGGCGGCCAGGGACGCTTACCGTCTGTCGCTTGAGCGCACGGCAGCCTTCCGCAGCATGTGCTCAGGTGCGGGGTCGGTGCTCCGGCTTCAGCGCGGGGCGGTGCTGCGGTGGTTGCTACGGGAGAGGATACTGCTGCGGCTGCTGGCGGGCGCTGGGCGAGGCGCTGCCGGGCTGGGCAGCGGAATCGGCTGCCGCCCAGCGGGGCGCCACTGGCAGCCGCGCCACCCAGCCTGTACGGGCCCTCCACCGCTGCCGCTGCAGACACGCTCACGTTTGGGCTGGTCGTCATGGTGGCTGCTGGCACCTACCAGCTGCTCAGCCGCGGGCTGCTGCTCAGCATCACATCCCACTGCGGCTCCGTGGCGGCGGCACTGGGAGGGCGGCGCTGGGGCCTGTGGGCCACCTGGCGGGCAGGGGAGGCGCTGGCCTGCCACGTGCTAAGCGCGGGCGACGCGCTGCTGGGGCTGGCGGTGCTGCTGGCCGCGCCCTGGCTGGTCTACCGCAGCGGGCTGCTCAGGTGGGTGTGGTGTGGTGGGTGGCTGCGGGTGGCACGCGTGCCGGTTCAAGCCCTCTTGAGGGGGCCATGCCTCGAGGTCCTTCTAATTGGCTCCTCCGCCTGTCACCTGCCGTGCTTCATGCCCGCCCTGGTCTCGCCCGTTTCCTGCCGGCCCTGCAGCGACTATCACACCATGCCCGTCACCAAGCTGTTTGTCGGGCTGGGCCTGATTTGCGGCCTGGCCGGCTACCTTGCGGTGGGCAAGCTGGGGGGCAGCCGCGGCGCCTGGCTGGCGGCCTGGGAGGCCTGGGTGGCGCTGCACATCGCCTTTTCGGCCGCGGCGCATCGCATGCAGCGCATCAGGCTGCGGGTGGAGCAAGGCGGCGGCGGCGGCGGCGGCGGCGGCGGCGGCGGCGGCGGCGTGGAGGCCGCGGCCATGTACGAGCAGGGCGGCGGCTGGCTGCCGGGCGTGATGTGGGTGGCGCTGGGCCTGGTGCTGCCGGTGCTGGCGGGCACGCTGCCCTTCCGCGCGTGAAGCTGAGCTGTAATGCAGTAGCGCACATCAGCGCCCCACCTTCAGCCATGCCAGCGCACGCCCCGCTGGCGGCGTGAAGCTGGAGGAGCACTGGTGCAATATGCACGAGTTTGTTGTAGTTTAATGTATCCAGGTAGGTTGGGGAGTTTTCATAACTCGCTGGTTTGGCAGCGAAGGGCAAAGTTTTGCAGGCATCTGTGCGTGCAATCCTGCAGCGCTAGGAAACACGTGTCGGCTGATGCTCCATTACGAGTATCACATCTCTGACTCCCCCAAGCCAATTGCATGGCACCCTGCCCCTCTGTTCCGCCACCTTCTGTTCCGCCACCTCTCGGACCCAACCCGGGGCTGCCCATTGCTGCCGCAGCATGGAGGACGATAGCAAAGACCTGGAGCAGCAGCTGCTACTGAAGGAAGAAGAGCCGGCGGGGCCGCCGCCGCCGCCGCTGCCGCCGCTCACGCGGCGGGACGCCGCCGGCGAGGCCAGGCGGCGGCAGCCGCCGTCGCCCAGCGGCTCCACAAGCCCCACCGCCCCGGCCATTCCCCGCGGCTCCCCGCCCGCCGGCTGCTCCACCTGGGGCGGCGTCAGCAACCTGGTTGTGTCGGCGGTGGGGGCCGGCATGCTGGCGCTGCCAAGGGCGCTGGCCGAGACAGGCGTCCTGGCGGGCTGCCTCCTGTTCATCTTCGTCTGCGTGCTCACCTTCTTCTCTGCATCCATCATCGTCAGGTGGGGGCGGCGCTGGGATCTGGGATCTGTGGCAGGATCCAGCACTTGTCAATGCCTGGAAGGTGCACGTGCATCCCAGTCCAATGCACCCACTGCCCCTAACGTCACGGCTTCAGCAGCCACGCAACCCACACACCAGCACGCCCCACCCCCCACCCCCAGGCACGCCACCGCGCTGGGCACCCAGTCCTACGGCGAACTGGTGCGGGCCAACTTTGGCGGCGCCAGCGCCCTGCTGCTGCAGCTCTCGATCGTGACGCACGTGTTTGGTGGTGAGCGCCCGCAGCATGCCGCCCTGCCCGCCCGCCGGCCGCCAAGGGTGCTCCGTGACACTTCTCAGATCTGGTGATACTGTGAATCGCTTACTTTCTTTCTTTGCCTCTGGTGCAGTCATGGTCGTGTACCTGATAATAATCCAAGATATGTTGGTTGGCTCTGTGCCTCACTACCGCGGCGTGCTGCCGGAGCTGCTGCACCGCCACGACGCGCCCTGGTGGCTCACCCGCCCGGCGGTGGCGGGGGCGCTGCTGGCGGCCGTCGTGTGCCCGCTTCTGGTGCCGCGCTCCCTCACCGCCGTCGCGCGCTGCTCCCGCCTCAGTGTGCTGACGATCGGCCTGCTGGCAGCCACCATCTGCGGCCTGGCGGCGGCGGCGGTTGCCCAGGGCAAGGCGGCCGCCGTGCACTTCCTGCCACCCGGCCTGGGCGCCGCCGCGGCCGGCGGCGGAGTGCTGGCCCTCATCAGAAGCTCCGTCACCGTCCTGGCCGTGGCCTGCCTGGCCATGACCGTGCACTTTGTGCTGTGCCCTGTGGTGAGCGGAGGCTGCGCTGCGCTGGCGCTGCCAGCCTGGCAGCCCGTGAATCTCTCTGCCGCCCGCCCGCCCGCCAGCCAACCGAAGGGCAGGGCCGCACGTGCGACTGACCGCTGCCGTCGACCGCCCCTGCTGCCGCCGCGATGCACTGCAGCAAGCGTCCCTGGGGGAGCAGGACTGCCGCAGCATGCTGCGCGTGCTGCGCCTCGCCAACTCGCTGTGCACCGCCATTTACGCCGTCGTGGCGATCAGCGGTGCGCCTGGGGACGCTGCTGCTGCGGCCTGTTGTTGGTCCCTATGTGGGGCTGTACGTGCCTGCCTGGATACTGCCACCCCTCCCAGCCCCGTCCTGCGCTGAGCCAGCTGGCTCAGCCTGCCACCCGGACACCTTGGCGCTCTTGTCGTGTCCGCTCCCCTGCAGGCTACCTGCTGTTTGGCGATGCCACCGAGGGCGACGTTCTGAAGAACCTGACCGTGCGCTTTGCCAGCGGCCTGGTGCCGCACCGCGTGGCGGTCGTGGTGATCAACGGCGTGGTGCTGGCCTACACCTTCAACCTGCTGTGCAACTTCGTGATCAAGGCGAGTGGGCACGTTGCGCGATGGCCGGCATGCCGGCAGGCTGCCAAGCGTTGGGAATGCGGTCATAGCAGGCGCGCAGGCAGTCAGTCAGGCAGGCAGGCACTTGGGATGCCCTCCCAGCAACTGCTCACGCTGGGGACCAAGCAAGCGTCCTCTGCACCGCCTGTGCAGGTGTGGGCGGTGCGGGAGAATGTGTGTGAGGCGGCGCTGGGCAAGACCGACCGACTCCTCGGGCCCGCCACATTTTACGGCATTACTGCGGGGCTGGTGCTGCTGGCCTATGCCCTGTCGGTGTGGATTCCCTCCATCTACAGCCTCATCGCGATAGTAGGCGCCACCGCATGCGTGACATTCAGGTGCGGCCGGCGGCGGCGGCACGCTGCGCTGCTGCTGGCGCCGGCGGCGCTGGCGGGAAAGAGCTGCGGGTGGGCCTGGATGCGCCTCTGGCCCTCTCACCCTGCCCGCCTAGTCCCCACCCTGTTGGGCGCAGCTACCTCTTCCCCGGATTACTGGTGTTCAAGGAGCGCGGGGCAGGGCTCGGGAGGCGAGTCACGGCAGGCGGCATGCTGGCGCTGGGCGTCTGCATGGCAGCCGTGGAAACTCTCAATCATGTGGCGGGAGGGGGTGGCGGCGGTTGAGCTGCCTGCAGGCAGCAACCACACAGTTGAGCACATGCACAGCCCAGCGTTGTGTCTTCGAGATCTTGCAGTTACATTTGAATTTCGAGTGCTGAGTGTGTTGTGATCGCCATCAACGAAGCAAGGCAGCTAGTGAATGCAGCAGGGCAGGAAAGGCAGGTATGTGCTCTCCATCACGGGAGCTGCTAGCTAGTGCGCTATCTATCTGAGCAGGGCAGTCACGGAGCGCAAGCTGAGGGGTACGATGGGACAAGGCAGGGCAATTCGCTGAAACGATTTCGGCTGGCAGGGCCCGGTCACGCGATGGGAACATTCCGGCAAGGTGTGCTGTGTTCTGCAGCAGTAATGTGAAGTATTGATCATGTAGGCGGTACCATCGCTGCGTGGACAGCGCTAGCCCTCCTCTTGCGCCAGCAGGCAGTCTAGCGTGGACAGGACGGAGGGGAAGTCGGGGCGCTGGTGGCGGTCTGTGTTGAGGCAGGCCTCCACCAGAGCCTGCAGCACGGTAAGCAGGACGAGGGCCGCCAGGGCGGGGCCGCAGCTTGCGTCAGCAGCTGACAGCAGATTGGCCCGCTGCTGATGAAATCCATCTTCTCAAGCCTAGGCCTGGCCCCTGCCTCCCCACCTTGAAACCGGCGGGCGCATCCGACGGCAGCTCGAGCCTGCCGCTGCCGCTGGTAACGCGATAGATGATGTTGGGCAGCGGGAGGCCGGCAAAGGCGCGGATGCCGCTGTAGGCCTCCCAGCAGAGGATGCCGAAGCTCCAGACATCTGAAGCGGGGCAGGCGCTGCTGCTCGGTGGCGTTTTGCAATGAGCAGGCAGGCGCAGCAGCAGCACCAGCTGCAGCAGCGCAGTGGCGCCAGGCAGATTGCCCACCTGCTGCCGGGCTCAGCTTGCCGTCTACCAGCAGCTCTGCAGCAACGGGCGGCAGCTGAGTCAGCGCCAGCTCAGCAGTCCCGCTCTTTGCGCAGTGTGCACCCGCTGCCACTGCCACTGCCACCGCCAGGGCCTGCCACTGCCACTGCCCCCCGCAGGCTCACCAGGTGACATGTGCGTCACGGTGCCGAAGCTGCCCGTGCTGATGCTCTGCAGCTGCGCCAGGCGGGCCATCCCAAAGTCGGCCAGGCGGCAGGTGAAGCCGCGGCGGTCGCTGGTGCTGGGCTCAGCCTCATCCAGCAGCACGTTGTGGCCTGCGAGGCCAGGGCAGGGGGAGAGCGGGTGGCCTGTCGGACAGCGCAGAGTATGATGCCGAAGTGCCGGCAGGGCTCGAAAGGGAGCAGGCAGCAGCTGATGCATCTGAGCACCGTACTGCGGCGGCGTGTCCTGCAGATCTGCTCAGCAGCACCGTGCTGCTGCTGCTGCTGCTGCTGCTGCCTTCGCCGCCGCCGCCCCAGCCGTTGCCAGTGACAGCAGAATGCACTATGCCTGCCAGCAGCGGCCACCTGTAAGGTCTCGGTGCAGGATGCCGCAGCCGTGGAGGAAGGCCATGCCCGCCGCGACCTCGCGCAGCGTGCGCAGCACAGCGCCCATGTCGGGCGCGGCCACCAGGCTCCTCTCCTCCCGCAGCAGCCCCGCCTCGGCTGCAGGCAGGTAGCATACGGACGCCCGGGCAGGTCTGCGGCAGCCCACGTGCCGGGGTGGCTTCCAGCACTGAGAGGCAGACAGAGCCATGCCTGCATGCCATGGATCGTCACCCCCACCTGCTTGAATGAGGGTGCCGTGTGTGCACAGCTGCTGCACCAGCCAGAAGGTGCACTCTTGGTCCAGTGAATCGCACTGCAGCGCGTGCCTCAGGGTCTGCACACACCCCGGCAGGCACACCAGGGCTTGTCAGCACCAGCAGCTGCTGTTGGGGAGGGGTGTGTGGGCGCGGGCTGCGGTCCTTACCGCATCGAATGCAGCGGCAGCTGACGGCATGCAGCAGCACTGCTCCGGCACACCACACCTTGACCAGGTGAGGGCAGTCCAGTCCCTCGGTGAGCACCGCCTCGTTCAGCGCCTCCCGCGCCTCTCGGCTGTCCTGCCGACACTCCACAACCTTCACCGCCACGGCCCTGCCCTCCCACAGGCCGCGGTACACTGCAGGGCCGTGTCACACACGTTGGGCAGGATGGATGGAGGCGGGCAGGCAGCACGGGTGGGCAGGCAGGTAATGAGGAGGCGGCAGCTGCAGCAGCAGCAGGCTGGCATGCAAGAGCGCCAAGGTGGCGCATCTCGGGCAAAGGCCCCCTTGCCGATCAGCGGCCCCATGCACAGCCCGTGCAGCTCGCAGGGGATGGTGTAAAGGTAAAGGTGGGGAAGAGCCTCCACAAGCTTCACTTCCCGGTTTTAACGTCTAGCTTTAGACCATTATTTGATCTGCCCGACGCGCCAAGTGCAGTACCCCCCACTAGTAGTGAATGGGTCCCGGGGAGGCCTGTGCCGAAGCCTTGGCGATTCTATTAGGCGTTCCCGAAGGAATTGGCTTGGATTGGCGCTGAGCCGGTCAGCTATGCCGCGTTTGTCCTCACAAAGTTTCGACATGGGAGGAATCGAACCTGTGCCCTCTCGGAGGGTTTAGACACTAGCTCCAGCGCCTTCAAAGAAGGCCTTTCTTAGCCGCGGCCTAAAGGTGGGGACACTCCACCTCTTGGCCGCTGTATGTGGCATACAGGCCCGGGGGTGGCGGCGGCAGCACCTGCCAGGTGGATAGGCAAGCAGGGCAGCTGGAGGGTGACGGGGAGCAGGTACAACAGATGTGCAGTGCTGCTACGGCTGGAACTAAGACGGGCTGTAGTCCGCCAAGCGGTGCAACCTTGTTCTTGCTGAAACCAGACTGGAAGCCCACACAAGCAAGTAACAAGCAAGGTGGCCTGCTTGCCTCGGTCACGTGCCCAACCATGCGCGCCCAGCCACGGTAGGTGTACGGGTGGCTGCCGTCGTGAGCGTAGTGGATCTGCGAGGCGGGGAGATTGCCAACAGCAGGTGTGGTAGCTGCCCCACTGCGGCGTCCTACCACAACAGAGCCACACTACATGATAGATGTTTCATGGCATGGACGAATGGTTCATGGCATGACCACCGCACGTTCATGTACAGGCGCTGGCCTTCGCGGGGCGCCACGCCAGTGCGGAGGAAGGGCCAGGCCTGGACGCTCTCGCACCTCGCCGCCATCTCGTCCCTGTGCGCACGAACAGTGAACAGACGTGCGACTCCAGAGGTCTGCTGGAGCTGGCCACATCTCCTTGGCGGCCCACCTCTCAAAGCCATCATCGACCCAAGGCGGCAGCTCCCAATTGGCGGTGCTGCGGCTCAGGCGGCCATCTGCCGGCACTGGCGTCTCTGGCCCGACGGCAGCGGAGAGCTTGGCGCCGACGTGCCCCATTGGTGCAGATGTGGTGTGTTGGGAGCAGCCGCGCGGGGCAAGCTGCCTCGATGATGGACGCCTAGCCCCTGATCGATGGCTTGCCGCCAAGGCTCCTCAGGCCTGGACTGCAGCTGGGCTCCAGCGATCCAAGAGTCCACAAAGATTGCGGGAGGCGGGCGAGGTGCCAGGCGCCTGGCAGGGCTGCAGGCGGAAGCGAACAGAAGAAAGGCGGCTGCCATGTGCTCCTCATGCCGCTATTCGCACATGTGCGCGCTTCAGCATTGCTGGCGACTGCCCCAGACATCGTCAATACACCACCAGACGCTGCAGCGAGACGATAGGGTTCTTCAGGAAATTTCCTCTTGTGAACTGCGCAGCGGGGGCCGCAACGGGCGCAGCACAAGCAAACGAAGCCATCGAACTGATGAGGGAGGTCTGCGGTGCCGGTGGGAGTGTCGGCAGGGGAAGTGGTGCCTTGCCGCCGCTGACAGCTCTCCGCCTGCGGCAGAGGTTCCAGCTGGCCCCTATGGCCTCACATGCTGCCATAGGCACCAACCGCAGCTATCAACCGGCGGGCTGTGGCGGAAGCACATGTGTCCCTGCCCCGCCCTGCCTCGACGATACCGCCTCCAGCTGCCCGCCGCCCATCTGTAGGTACGTGCTGGCCAACATTGAGGGGCGGCCCGGCGGCATGTGGCAGATCGCCTGTGGCTCCAGCTTCGGGTGCAACAGAGCTGTGTGGCGCGCCTGCGCACCGTGCGCGATGCCCACCCGGCCTGGCAGGCCGATGCCGAGGGCTGCGCCACAAGACTCGCCACACACCGCACAGTGCCTGCTGCACTTCTTTCCTTTTGCCACCTCGCATGACACATGCCAGATCAGCCACAGTAGGTACACACCTGCACACACCTGTATTATACAATGTAAGAGCCGCTGCGAACAAAGTGGTGCACAAAAATGGGAAGGCAGAGCCGCTGAGCGGGAGATCTCATGCAATGAGCGGTTGGTATGAGCGGTTCATTCATTCATTCAGCACACAGCCCGGCCGCCTCTTGCTCGAGGGCGGCCCACTTTGGCCTGGGCCGCCCGGGCCGCCCTCCCCCCCGGGCGCATGTTCGGTGTTGGAGGGGTGTGCCCAGCGATAGGGGGCCCCTGAAGGCATGCGCCGAGGCCGGGAAGCGTGGTTCGGCGCTGCTGCACGCTTGGCGATTTGACCAGAACCACGTGCCGCCGAGCTGCGGCCGCAGTTTCCGGCCCACGGTCTACGGTCGCAGCCACGGGACTCGGCGGCACGGCGTTTGGGCCCAAGCTTGCTGCCGCCGCCGCCGTGCCCGGGGGGCAGCGCGGCGGCGGCGGCACGCTGCGACGCCCCCGTGCTGCCGAGCTGCGGCCGTAGTTTCCTGCCAGAAGCCCACGGCCACAGCCACGGGACTCGGCGGCACGGAGTTTCGGTCCACGGCTTGCTGCCGCCGCCGTCGCAGGGGTGCTGCCTGCGGCGGCGGCGGCACGGCGTTTGGGTCCACGGCTTGCTGCCGCTGCCGCCGCCGCAGGGGTGCTGCCTGCGGCGGCGGCGGTAGCGCACGTGGCAACCCCCCGCGTTTCCTTGCCTCCCATCCACCGGACCCCGTCCTGCGCTTCACTTTGTTTAGGGAGGGGCTGCTCACTGCTCATTGCTCATGCTCATCGCACACTGCTCAACGCTCATTGCCCTATATCCCACCCAGCCGCAGGACTCCACTGCCGCCCGCGCCCCGCCCCATCTGGCCGCTTGCGCGCCCCATCCCCCCTCGATGGGGCCCGCCCACACCGGGGCCTCCCCCCTCCCGCCCACTGCTTTCTCAACGGCCCCGAGCCGGGGCTGCCCTCATTGCATACATAGTGCGCCTTTCCCTGCTTTTCTAGTGACCTAGCGTTCCGCACTGCCGTTTGGCCAGCCCATGCTCCCGTACCGTTGCGTTTCTCCCCAATGCGCCATGCCACTTTGCCAGTCATACACACGTTTCGATGCGTGCCCTGTCAGCTGCTTGCGTTGCATGTCGCCTTGCTCCACCCCTGTTTTATTGCTTTCTCTGCTTTCGCCCGGTTCCCGTCCCGTTTCGGCGGGGAGTCTATGTTGCAAGCTAGTTCTTGCTTTACCAGACTTTAAGCCCACACAAGCAATCCAAGGCGAACCTGCACTGCGAACCTGTACAAGTACCTCCAACGCGTGCAATACGCTCTGATGAGGCAAAGGCTGGCAAACCTGGCCCGTGCGGGCGCTCTTCTGCCTATCGGCGATAGTTTAGGAGCCATCAATACACGCATCAGCCAACACGGTCGCTTTACACTACCAAAGCGGCGCCTGCTCTGTGTCCCATGAACGGCGTGCCGCCGGTGCCCCCGGTGCCGCAAGGGGCCGCCCCGCCCCTCGCCCAAGTGGGCGGACACTGTAAGACATTGGCCAACCGGGTTGCTTGGGACTTAGCGGCACGGGCGGGTAAGTGCCAACACCGCAGACGCCTCGCAGAATTGTGCGGCAGGCCGCCCCACCGCGCGGAAGCCAGCTGCCACTGCCGCCGCCGCCGTCGCACCGCCAGCTCACCACAGTTACCGTCCGTGTTGCAGCCGGCGTGCCCGGCATCCCAGATGATGAGCTGGCTACCGACATCTACAATGCGGTTGGGTGGATCGCAGGCAAGAGGAACACCGGTTGGCACATGGGTGGTTGTGTGTGGTGGGGTGTGTGGTGGGGGGGCTGCGATAAGGAGGACACCCAACGCCTCATCGTCTGCTGCCCTGCTCTGCTCTGGTTGTGCAGCTGGACCTGGGCTGGCTGCGCAGCTGCAGTCGGCCATTCATGAGGCGGTGCAGCAGGCAGCGGTGCCCGCTGTGCAGCAGGCGGTGCAGCAGTTGGTGCAGGGGCAGCAGGAACTGCTGCAGGGGCTGCAGCAGTCGGTGCAGGGCCTGCAGCAGGAGGTGCATGGCCTGCAGCAGTCAGTGCAGGGGCTGCAGCAGGAGGTGCAGGCGCTGACTGACATGGCTGTCGCCACCCACAACCTTGCTGCTCGCCTGAACAACCGCAACCGCAGCGCGAAAAACGACCAGCTGCAGCTGCTGCGCAAAGAGCGGCACCCGCAGCCTCTGGCGCCCGGCGCAGCAGCAGCGTTTGGGGCGCTGCCGCCCCCTGGCATGTTTCCGCCCACGACCGCGGCACTCTACGGCGAGGTGGGAGGCGGTTTGGGGAGATGGTGCATGCGTTCAGCTGGGCTCTGGGCTCGCCCGCATGCACAGTGCTTCGTTGTAGCTCGCCTCAACCCATGCCGCCCGCCGCCTCTCTGCTTGCAACCTGGCTGACAGCCATCCTCTTGCCCTGCCTGCAGTGGACGACGGATGCACATGTGACTGCCCTTGCAGCATTTTACGAAGAAGACTTTGGGGCGCCCAACATGCTGCGTGAGTCGCCGCTGGCTGCGAGCGTCGCCACTTGCCGTGCCGTGGAGGGGGTGCTGCTGCAGCATGCCTCCCTGTTTGCACCCTTCAGCCTGGGTGCGAGGTTGAGAGGGCAGGTGCTGCTGGGTATGAGCAGCGCAGACCATCAACCTGCTCGCTCCTCTGAGCCCACTCTCAGGCCTGAGCGCCTCCCTTCCTGTGGTGCCCACAACTTGTGTGCAGTGGACGAGCGCAAGCAATTGCTTAGTGCCTTTATCCGGGAGTCGTGAGCAGCGCCAGAGCGGCGCCGGCTCGTCTGCGAATGCGCAGCCAGCCAGCAGCCAGCCAGGCACAGCTGGCCTGACAGTCAGGCAGGCTGGCAGTGTGACTGCACTGCGGTGGCCACCCGCAGTGGCTAACGGCCATTCGCGCTTGCGTGCGCCTGCCCGATGCCTTCCCTTGTCTCCTGCATGATACCGAGTAGCGACCTCCTGTGCCCTGTGCATGAGTTTTCATGTTTTCCCTATGTCGCTTTCACACGAGTAGTCGCCTCTGAGTGCTCGAGGCTTTTCTCTCAATCCTCTTTGTTGTACAGCCTACCCTGTACAGCGGTTTTGATTACAGACCCTTCCACCTGTTGCATTTAGATTCTGCCAGTTCTGCTTGTTTGTAAACACGAGAGACGCTCAGCGTGGGGCATGATGAAGAGCGGGAAGAAGCCGGCGGCAGCGGGTGGCGCCACATCCAAAGCAGCAACGCCGCCGGCGGCAGACGGAGCGGCGGCGGCTGCTAGCAAAGACGATGCACGCCAGCGGGACTCTGCACTGCACAAGAAGTGCAGAGGGCCGACTCGGAGCCAGCAGGCAGGCCGGCAGGCCCGGCGCTGCGCAGGCGGGAGAGGGGCGCCGCCGCCACGCTGCCGCTGCCGCTGCCGCTGCTGCAGCCTGGGCCAGCCGCGATGCTGCCATCAGCCGCGCCTGGGTGCGCTGCAGCCGCCAGCACTGCCGCCAGGATGCCCTCCGCCTCCACCGCCTCCAAAACGGCCGGGATGCTGCTGCTGCTGCCGGTGCGCCCCGCTGGCAGCAGCGCAGCCTGGCTGGGGTCGCGCGTGGCGGCGGCAGGCGCAGCCATCGCAGCATCCCGCGCGCCGCTGCTGGAGGAGGCGTGGTGTGGGTGTCGGGGTGGTGGGGCAGCGGGCCGCGCGGCGGCAGGCCGGGGGCCAGCTGGCGGTGGGCGGGGTGCGGGTGGTGGGGCGCGCCCGGCAGGCCCGCCACCTGCCCCCACCACCCTGCGCCTCCTCCATGGCCAGCCCCGCACCCCAGGGTCCTCGCTGCCGCGGCTGCGCCAGGGGGCCGGCAGGGGGGGCGCGGCGGCGTGAGCGGTGGTTTGAGCGAACGCCGGCAGGCGCCCGCTCACCAGCCCGCTGAGCCAGGGAAACAAGCAGGCGGCGGCCTGGCAGCAGTTGTGGCAGGGCGGCGGTGTGCAGGCGCTGGGAGCAGCAGCAGCAGGGCTGCGGCAGTGCGGCAGCAGGTTGTTGCAGCCACCCACCAAGCCGCCGGCGGGGCGGGTGTGGTCGGCGTTCTGCCGGGGTTGCTCCAGTCAGCCGCATCCCCGGCCGCGTGGCTGCAGGCAGGCAGGCAGGCAGGCAGGGCGGGGTTGGGGTGAGAGGGCGGCATGAACACATGGGCCCAGGCACTACCGCCCCACCCGCCCACCCACCGGTCAGCGGAGGCGAGTTGGCGCCGGGTGCCTGGCCCCCAGCGGGCACTGCCGCCAGATGTGGCCACAGCGGCGGCTGCAGCAGGAGGCAGGGTGTGTGTGGGGTGAGTGGCCAGCAGCACCTGCTGCCAGGCACGCCGCCCGGCTGGCCAGCTGCTTGGCCCTGCAGCCCGGCAGGAGCAGTGTGGACGGCTGCCAGGCGAAAGGCCAGCCTGCGTGCCAGCCCCGCACCCTCCCCGCGCCCACCTGCAGCCATGGTGCTGGCGCTGGCAAAGCTGCCACCACGCTGCCGCTGCCCAGCCCCCGCTCATGCATGCCGCCAGGCAGGATGCCGAGGCTGTTGGTGCTGCATGGGTAGCCGCTGCCGCTGTCGTCGTTGGGCAGTGTGGCGGGGTCGGCGCCTGCTGCCGTCGTGCCGCCTGCTGCTGCTGTGAAGGAGGGTGCTGGTGGTGGTGGCGCTGCAGGAGGTGAGGGGCACCAGATCGCCACCAGCTGCAGACAGGCGGGTGTGGAAGTGTGTGGCGGGGGCAGGCGCAGGGGGCTGGGTGGGCAGCAGGGCAGGGGGGTGCAGATTGTGGGCACCAGGCTGCTGCCAAAGCCAATACCAGCACACACACACACTCTAACCTCAGAAAGGGCCAAAACATGTGCCTGTTGTGCCGCTTACCACGCATTCCAGTCGCCTCGTTTAACCTTGGATTGCACGCACCCCATCATGGGGAGGGAAAACAGAGCGTCCAGGCAACGCAGTACTGACTGTGACGTCAACGTCTGAGTCGTGTTCTTTCTTCCATTCTCGTAAGTCCCCAACGGCTGCCCATGCTAGCAAATTGCTGAGCCTTGGCTGGGTTTGCATGTCTGCCCTAAGCCAGGCAGGCATTAAACGACTTCTGCTGACCCAGTAGGGTCGGAAAGAGGATGGGCTGCAGCTTTAGCAAGGCAGAGGTGCGTGTCGAGGCCGGGCAGGCTGTCGTTGTGCTAAACTGTGACTGCTGGAAGCCGCGCTGCTTGTGGCCGCGCACTAGGCAGCGGCGGTGTCGGCCATGCCTGCCGCTCTCCCGCCGCGCTCACACCAGCTCCCACGCTGCTGCTGCGCAGGGGGCCAGGAGTCAGAAGAGGGACGACAGAACAACCAAGCAGGCTTCCCTCCAGCAAGGCAGCTCCGTACTTCCGCCCACGCAGCTTGTGGTGCCGCCCTGCCTGCCAGTGGTGCCCAGCGAGGAGGAAGAGCGGCGGCGCCTGCAGGCATGCCTCGCTGGAGTGCCTGCTGCGTTTGCGTGGACCGTGCCTCACGCCTGCCTGCCTGAACCCCCGTCTTGCATCACACAAACCATGTGCTGCACTGAACACTTACCTGCGCCACGCTTTCTTCCTCGTCCCAAGGCGCTGGTGGACTGCCGCGTGCTGGACACCCCCGCGGAGCGACAGTATGACACCGTCACCGGCCTGCTGCAGCAGATCTTCAAGGCGAGGCCATGCCTTGGGGCCAACCCAGTGGCCTGTCAACACCGCCGTCCTCGCCGCGCAGCGCAAGCCTCTGCCGGCACCGGCCGAGGGACGGATGGGAGCCCAGCGGGCACCCCCTCCCAACCATATGCGCTGGGGGATTGGCGGGGGCTGTCATGCTGTCCCAGCTGCGGCGGCTCCTCCCACTGCGCAGGCGCCGGTGGCGGTGGTGGGGCTGATTGGAGAGGACCGGCTTTGGTTCAAATCAATCCAGGGCCTGGAGTCCAAAGGAGGTGGGTCCCCATCTGCGGCAGCCCACACTAGCCTGTGCCTGCCCCTGAGCCGACCCAGTCTGCATGCCGCGATGCTGCGTGCACGCTGCGGCATCCAACCACGGCCTGCCTGCCGATGCTGCCAGGCTCTCTCCTTATAATTACCCTTGTAATTACCCCATGCAGGCCAGCGCCTCCACTCCTTCTGCGAAGCCTCTCTGAGGCTGCCCTGCCCCACGCTGATGGTGGTGCCAGACACGCTGCAGGACGCCCGCTTCCAGCACAACCAGTTTGTGAGCTGTCCGCCTGCCGGATGCTGGTGCTGGCTTGCTTGCCATTGCCAACCTTTTAGGGGCAGCGCGCAGCTGTCTTGTCCCGCCTGCTCCTCTCGGCCACCTCGCTCAGCTGGCCCCGAGCTTGGCCCTGAGGGCTGGGCTCATTTTCTCTGATGTCCTGCAGGTGGTGAACCCTCCGCATGTGCGCTTCTACTGCGGCGCCCCTCTGGTGTGTGCCACACTGCCAGCACCGGCGCCATGTCGTGCTGGTGGGCCAGCGCAGCAGGTAGCCTCTGTGCACCCGACTTGCGAGTTCAGCCTAGGCTCCTTGCCTTCCTCCCTGCCTGCGCCGCCAGGTGTCAAGCGAGGGCTGCATCCTGGGCTCCCTGGCTGTGCTGGATGTCAAGCCACGCACCATCCCGGCAGAGACCGCCAACCTGCTGTGCTCCTTTGCCGAGCTGGTCACCCGGCAGCTGGAGAAGGGCAGGGTGGGCGCCAGCAGTGCCATGTGGGCTGGATGCCCAGTGGGTGCCCACGCCATGCACGCGGAACCTGTTTGCAGCAGCTGCCTGCCCCGCTCTACAGATCTGTGCTTTGGTTCTGGAAAGTGATCCGTGGAGTTCAGCCGCGACGCCACTGCTGATGACTGCAGGTGGAGGCATGGAAGCGGAGCGCGAATGAGGCCGCCCGCAAGCGCACAGGTGATGGCGTGCGCTGCCGGCCCAGCTGGCTGGCGTTGACGGGCAGCCACGACCGGGTGCCTCCTCATCTTCCTGGCCCCTGCAGTGCGTGCACTGGCTTGCTTTGAGGAAGCCGTGGTGCTATGTGATGTCAGCACCCCTGGCTGGCCCATTCTGTATGCCAACGAGCGGTGGATTCAGTCAGTGGGTGAGTGAGGAGGAGCGCATGGTGCCACGCTGCAGGTCCAGCCCCTCTCAAAGGCAGCCCGAAGGCTTCTGCTGCATGGTTGACATCAGATGCTGATGCTCCCTGCTTCCGCCGCCGCAGGGAAGAGCGAGCAGGAGTGCCAGCGCAGCAGCCTGTGGGCAATGTTTCACTTCGTCGCGCCCAGCCATGCGGCCCAGATGCTGTATGCCCACGCCGCCATCCAGGAGCAGAAGCCCTTCACCCTCAGCGTGACGCCAGGCGCGGGAGCACCAGCACCCTTGCGCCTGCTCCTATCCCTGCCGCCTGCTGCCACCCTCCAGCCAGCGAAGCTTCCCTTGGTCTCAACGAAAAATCAGCCCTCAGCAGAGGGTTGTGCGGGCGCTGTGCAGGCCCGCCTGGAACCAGCGGGCGGAAGCTGGTCCAGCTCGAGTTCAAGCCCGCCACCAACGATCACTTGGGGGAGCACATCCCCCTCATTGGCATCCCCTCCCTGCTGCAGCTGGGTGGGTGAATCTGTCTGGCTGCAGCACAGGGTGCACTGGGTGCAGGATGCGTGCAGCCACACGGTGCCATCCGGTGCACTGGCACAGAAGGAGTGGCGTGTGCGCTGAACTTTGCCTTCCAGCCTGCGTTGCCTGCCCCTGCATGCAGGCAAGAGCAGCGGGGAGCCTGTGGATGTGCCCACCGGCTACTTCTTTGTCATCCTGCGGCCCAACACACAGGCCGAGGCTCAGCAGCAGGGGCTGCCGCCGCTGGTCACCATCCCTGATGTCGCACCAGTCGCCGAGAGCACGGTGCTCGCCCCCGAGACCCCCCACTTCTCTCATGAGCCCATGCGGCAGGCAAGGATCATCCAGCGCCTCGCTGCTCAACAGCACACTGTGCCGGTGGCAGACCTGCGTCTATGTCACCAAGCACCGTCCAACTGCACAAGCACTCGCCTGTCCCGCCACTGCCTGCAGCTGCGCCCTTCCGCACTGGAGAGTACCTTCGCACCGCTTTCCCCCCGCCCCAGCAGCGTGGGCAGCAGCCCCACCCCGCGGTTCCCTGGGAGCCCCATGGGCCCCTCCGCTGACATCAGGCCCTGGTCCCCTTGCTCCTTTGGGCAGGCAAGCCTTCGCCTTGCGCGATGGCATGCCCTGGCTGTGCTGACTGCACCTGCTGCCATGCATGATCATGGTAAATGCTCATCAGTGCCAGCTGCCACAGCCAGCGCAACACACTCCCGGCTCTGCATGGCGGCGTGCAGGAGCAGCCTGAGGCGCTGTCAGAGGTGTCGCTGGGGCCGCTGATAGGGGTGGGGGCCCACGGCAAGGTTTACCGCGGCTGCTGGGGTTCTCTGAAGGTAGCAGTCAAGGTAAGGAGGGGCCCTGCATGATGTCTGCAGATGCACCCTGAGGGAGCAGTGAAAGCAGTACAGAAAAGTACGGCCCGCCGGACAGGGTCGGGCGCCACTCACTACCTGTGTGGCTTCCTGCTTCTGCCTGCCTGCCTGCCTGCCTGGGGCCCTGCAGATCCTGGACTGCTGGATGGACGAGGGCGAGGATGCAGCTGACGCCCAGGGCAAAGGGCCCCTGCTGGAGGCGGTGCTCAGGTGCCGGCTGGGCGCTTGGCTTGCATGGCTGTGTGCTGAGCCTAAGAGATCCGACTGAGAGACTACTGTCACAGTACCACGGTGGTCCTCCAGTCTCCTCCCGCTGCATCTACCCCTGCGCCTGGGCCTGCGCCTGCCCCTGCAGCAAGGACTTCACCCACCCCAACATCACACACACCTACATGTACGCCATTCAGCGACACAAGGCAAGGAGGATTCGGCGCTGCCGGCACCTGCACGCGCCGACACGTGCTGCTGCTGGCCCGCCTTGTCATGTGGCCAGCTCGCCGCATCCCCAAGCTTCTGCTGCGCCTCTGCAGGTGGACGAGGCGCCCGACGAGCCCGGCGTGCGCGGCAAGCAGCTGCAGCAGGTGTGGATCGTGAGCGAGTACTGCGACAGCGGCACCCTGAACGACGCCATCGACCGAGGCTGGCTGCGCACCCGGCGGGCCCTGGACGCCCCGCCCGACATGCGCGCGCTGCTGCAGACCGCGCAGGCGAGCTCGGGGCGCGCTGCCTCACAGCCTGCTGCTGGCATTGAACGCTGATGTTGCTGCCAAGGCCGCGGCTCGCTGCTGCTCTTGCTGCCCTTGATTCTCCTGCGCAGCCTCGGCGCAGGACATCGCCACCGCCCTGTGCTTCCTGCACGCCCGCGACGTGATGCACGGCGACCTGGCCGGCGGCAACGTGCTGCTGGCCACCTCTGGCGCAGACAGCCGCGGCTTCACCGCCAAGGTTGCCGACTTTGGGCTGGCCCGCATCCTCTCCGCCACATGCGAGACTGCCACATTTGGGACCGTCAGGCAAGCCAAGCGCGCGGTGCGCCTGTGCTGTGCACGCCCCTCAAGCAAGGCTGCCGGACGCGAGTGTGGGCATGGTTGTGGGTGGAGAACGCCGGTGTTGAGAGCCATCAATGCCGGGCAGCATAGCCTGTGGCACCTTTCACGCCGCCATGCGCCTGCAGCCACATGCCTCCAGAGCTGATGGACCGCAGCCTGCTGAGCAAGGCCACCGACTGCTACTCCCTGGGAGTGCTGATGTGGGAGGTGAGCTGAGTAGGGCATGGCCGGCCACTGCGTGGAGCTGCCTGCCGCTGCACTTATTAGCGACGTGCATGTGGCAATCAGGCGCGGACACACGTTTACATTGTGGTCCCAATGTGTACCGCACAGATGTACTGCGGCCAGCACGCCTGGGCGGGCCGCAAGGTGCCCCAGATCATCCACGCCAAGACAGTGCGCGGCGAGCGGCTGGCGCTGCCGCAGGGGTGCCCGCCCGACTTCAGGGTGAGCTGCGCTGGGCCGCTGCCTCGATGCTTCTCATCAAGGTTCTCTGTCGTCGGATTTTCATGTCGGGTTGCCTCGCAGGAGCTGGTGGATGCCTGCATGGCCGACGACTACGACCAGCGCCCCAGCTGCCAGCAGGCAGCTGCCGCCATCACCCCCATGTTGGCGGCTGCGTGACCGCAGCGGCAGCTGCTGTGTGATTCACGACAGGCTCGATTGAGTTGGGATGCATCCACCCATATGGGGAATTGGATGGCATAGGACTGTTGAGTATTGGCAGCCGTGTATGACTGACTGTATGCCCCTGCTTTTCTCTGCTATGTATGCTTGCTCCCGCTGTTTGTGTGGACCCCACACCTTCGTACCTCGTGAGCACTTGCCTCCTGCAAGCGCAGCTGTGTGCTTCCCGTTGCTTCACCTGCATTTCTTGTGCGCCGCCTGATGCGGGTTCCTTGGCTATGTGCTTGAGATGCGTTGACTAATGTTACACAGCCAGGCACCCACTTGTGCTAACCGGACCGCAGCCACCGCTGAGCTGCGCAGGGCTAGGCAGAGATGCCAAGGTCGAGGGCGATTGTTATTTGGTAGCGGCCTTCGTGGTGGTCGTAGCAGCCGGCAAGCACATGTGTTCCATCGGCCAAGGGATGGAAGGGCAGCACTGGAGAGGCAGGGGTCAGAAGCGTCGTTTCGCAGCGTTGAGCAACGTACATGGTATTGCGGTAATGCTCCAGCGTGACTCGGCCGTGCACCTGCAGCCAGAGTTTGTGCAGGCAGTCGTGGGGCCACCCATGTGCATTCGGGCCCGCTTTGCGCAACAGGAACAAGGACCCTGGTGGCGGCGGATGGCAGGTCAAACGCACCTTCAACCCAGCTGGCGGGAGCGTGCTTGCGTCGGTTTCCACGTACACGGACATCCATTCCCCCAGCCCCGGCTGAGCCTCCACCTCTTCCAGCGACAGTGGGCCCATCACAGCTGCCAGTTCATCTGGCCTGATGCGCAAGCAGGGCACCAGCCGCACGGTCCACTCGCGCCCGCCCAGGCTGCGGTGGCAATGGGCAGGGGTTCAGGGGAGTTTCTGGTTCCGTGTGGCCAGCACGTGCCAATCTGGCGTCTTGAAGGCTGAGCAGACAAGGGCAGCATACAGGAGGAAAGCAGCCACAACAGCGCACGGCCTTGCCTGACTGGGCTGAACACAATCGGCTCATCGCTCAGCTCGGCGTGGTGCACAACTTCGAAGCGGAAGCTGCCGCCCACCGTGGTGAGCAGCGCCATCTCCATGTCTTCCCGGGACACCTCCTTGGCCAGCACCGGCGGATCCCCCTGGACGCCGGCCGTCTCGCGAAGCACGGCTTGCTGCCACTGCCGCCCCCGGGCATCCGCCAGCAGTGTCAGCGCGCCACGCAGCAGAAGCTGGGAGGCCTGGGGGCACAGCTGCCCCAGCGGCAGGTCCGCCCACGGCACGCTGGCAAAGCCCAGGGCGCCGGCGGTTTCTGGGGTGTGGAGATGGTGCTCGGCGTAGATGTCGCATGCCTGGTTGAAGAAGCGCGCTGCGCTCTCCGCTGCCAGGCCGTCCAGCCCGGGCAGGCGGCTGCTGGCATCCAGCAGCCCCAGCAGCACCGGCTTGGAGCAGGTGTCAGGCAGGTCCTCACCTCTCTCAAGGCCGCCAAGCAAGCTGATGGCGCCGACGCGGTGCAGCACAGGGATCAAGGCTGCAGGCAGGGGCGTGGGCGTGCACGGCAGGGAAGAACGCAGCTCACGGCAGGTGGCAGCCGAACGCACTGCTGCCTTCCAACGGCGCACAGGCACACGCCTACCTGGCACATACTCGATCATGCCAGGCACCTGCTGCAGCCAGGGCGCGTCCTCTGGGCGGTAGCAGAGGCGCAGGAAGAGCAGCGCCGCGGGCAATGAGTCCATGCCGAAGGGGTTGTCGGGCAGCTGCCTGGCGCCGTGGTCGATGGCCAGCATGGGGCTGAAGGCGCTGGCGCGGGCTGCCAGGATGGCGGTGTGCACCGGCAGGGAGGCCCCGTTGATCCGCAGCACCAGGTCGCAGGCATCCGCAAAGTCCGGGTCTCCGTTTTGCAGGTAGAAAGAGGATGGGTTGGCAGAGGCCAGGCAACCTGCCAGCGCCTCAAACGGAGGAAGGGACATGGGCTCTGGCTACAGCTATAGCACTCTGCGCTGCTTTAGAGGCGTGCACAGGGCACAGGGCACGGTCCTGCAGCAGTAGAGGTGAGCCGAGGCAGAGGCCCGGCGAGTCGGGGCGGGGCGGAGAGGCGGCGGCAATCTGACACTGGCGGCACTGTGCCTGCCACCACAGCCGGTGTAACAGCGTTCATGCCATCTCGGAGACCGCAAACAGCCGCTTGCAAGCACCTGGGCTGGGGTGAGCAAGAGATAAGCCGCGCTCTTCGCAGCGGAAGACTGGCAGGGAAGACGACGCAGACCCGCACGAGACTCTGTGCACATGCTACATTCGGGCCGGGCAAGAAACGAGGGTTCTGCCCACATGAAGGGTACAGCCCTCAGTACTGGAAGGCGCTCCCGCCTTCGCCGCTGGCGGCCGCTGCTGGCTCCTTGCACGCAGTGTCTCTTCATTCCTTACATGAATGTTTAAATATCTAATATCAATCCATGCATGGCATGCCTCGCAAAATGTAAGGCAGGCACGAGGCAGCGCAGCAAAGCACCGACGGTGGGTGCTCGCCAGCCGTACCAGCAGCACAGCAGGCGGTGAAACACCAACTGTCCCACTAGCCACCTCATCAGTGAAACTCAAGACCACTTGCTCTTGCAGCTGCGCTTCCGCTGGATGCCGCGCTGCAGGCCCGCTGCTGCTGCCGCAGACGCTATTGCCGGCGCCTTGGCCAGGTTTGGCGGCTGCTTGTTCTCCTTTGCCGGGGCCTCGCTGCTGCCAGGCGCTGGGTGGCTGCCCGCTGCGGGTCGGCCCGCTTCTGCTTGCCGCGAGGTGCCAGCTGATGCCTCCTCGCTGCCACCGCCCAGCTGCCCGCTGCCATGTGCCGCTGCTTCCTGCTCGCCGCCCGCTGCAGGTTCTTCGCTGGGCCCACTGCCAGCGCGCTGCGCCACAGCGAATGCCACCCCGCCCCCTTCTATGCTGCGCTTGCCCGCTCCTTCTGCTGCCCCTGGCGGCGCCCCGCTGCCCAGCCACCTGCCGCTCACGGCCAGCACTATTTTCGGAACCAGGCGCTGGCGCCAGGCAGGCCAGCGCCGCGTGCTCTCCGGCACCTCCTCGCTGCCGGCCAGGTAGGCACTCAGCGCCCGAGCATTCTCCTCTGCGCCGCACCCAGCCACGCCAGACCCCGCGATGGGCACGCAGCAAGCAGCAGCGGCCATCTTGGTCCAGAGTTTGCAGGCAGCGGCCGGTCAAGCAGGCAATGGCGGCACCGAAACATGCCGCCGCGCGCCAGGCGGTCCCTCGGCTGCCATCCGGCCGCGGCGCACCTGAGGCGCTGGCCCAGCCCCGCAACGACTCCAGCCCCGCGTGCCGGCTGCCGCCCAGCGCGGTGGTGCGTGCCAGCACAATGGCTGTGGCCTCCCCCACGCCCTCCACCCCGCAAAACTCCTGCGCCGCCTGCTCCTCGGGCGTGGCGGCGGCGCTCTCCAGCTTCTCGCCCTGCAGCATGGTGCAGGGGCAGCGGTAAACCCCCGGTTTAAACCCCAGGCATGACCCTTGCACACACTGTGTCACTGGGGAGAGGACCAGGTGGTGGCCTGCTGCTGCGCACCAGGGCAGGAGGTGTGGAGCACACAGCATGCATGGCTGCCTGCCACACTTCCCTACCTGCCCGCCGCCACCCACCTCCGACGCACCACCACCGACCCACCGCCACTCATAGCAACACATAGATGAGGCACACGGAGGCACACAGACATTCTTTGCCCCACCTGCAGCGCCGCCCTCAGCTCCTCTTGGCTGTACAGGTTGGCGGCGATGGCCCGCTGGGTGAGCGGGTCGGAGAAGCCGAAGAAGAGGGGCCCCGAGATGCGCTGGCCGGTGCGGTGCGCCACGCACACGTCGGTCCAGGGCTTGGTGGGGGAGGAGCCGGCAAACACCGCGCCGCTGTCCTGGTCGATCACCTGCGTGGGTAGATGTGGGTGTCTGCGTGGGGTGTACTTATATGTGTGCATCTGACAGTGTAATGGTGGGGTGGGTAGGCGGGGCAGGGAATGGTGGCAGGCAACGGCAGGCAGGGCGGCAGCGGCAGGCGAGCAGGACGGCTAGCAGCAGGCGCCGGGCCTGGCAGCCACATGCAGGCCGGGCAGCCCGCCGCCCCACCTTGAACAGCGGGCCGGCGGGGCCCTCCTCGATCCGCATCTCGTAGGTGCACCCAAACTGGACCTTGGTGGCGCGGTATCCCACCGGGTAGGCATGGTGGTACAGGCAGCCCGGGGAGGACCAGTAGCGGTGGGCCCACGCGCCGCGGTGCACGCTCCCCAGCTCCCACACAGTCACGCCTGCACGCAGGGCAATGGGAGTGGGAATGGTGGGGGAGGGAGGCAAGGCCCGGCTTCGCGATGGCAAAATTCCAAAGGTGATGCCGCAGCACCGCCATTCATAGCCTGCCGACGACCAAGAGGCGCCATGCAGCGCCAGCCAGACAGCTGCAGCGCAAGCGGCGCGGCGCGGCGCACCGATGGACCAGAGGCTGAAGGGCGCCGCCAGCTGCTGGCCCTCCTCCAGCGCCAGGCGCTTGCGGGTGAGGCCCCTGCGGGCCCGCGCCGACCCCTCTGCCTCCACCTCTGCCCGCGCCTCAGCCTCAGCCGCCTCCTGATCCAGTGCCGTCTCTCCACGCAGGCGCCGCGACAGGCGGGTGGGCTCCAGGTCGGCAGGCGCCGCCTGCGGCAGGCAACCAAACTGGGACGGCAGTGGTTTACGGGAGAAGAATGCAAGTCTCTTACCCACCCACCGTATGTGCAGTGCCAGCAATGCAGGTGCTCCAGGCAGGCCACGCGCCCTGCGCCCAGGCTCACCGGCTGCACCCGGCGCTTCTTGCGCGGCTGGCGCTCCGCCCCCGCCTCGAGCGCGACCGGCGGCGCCGCCGCTGCCGATGTGAACTTGCGGGACGCCTCCACCAGCCCCACCTCTTCCATCTTGCGCCTGTTCTCCGCAATGCGCTGCGCCCGCTGCAGCTCATACTGGCTGACCTGGGGCTGCACCATGGCGCTGAAGGGCCCCTCCGGTCGGGGAACGTGCCGCTGCCGCGCCGCTGGCTGGCGCCGGGCTGGCGCTGCCTCCGGCGCGCCCTCTCCGCCCGGGCGCTGTGAATCTGCTGGAGCGATGGATGGATTCACAGGTCTGCTCCCTGTGCACCCAAACGGCCCGCCAAAAGGGTTTTCAGCAGGCAGCAGGTGGCAGCAGGTGGTGCTCACGGCTAGCTGCAGCGGTGATGCCGGCGATCGAGTTGCTACATAGCGTTGTGCTGCGCGACTGCACAGCCCGCAAATCAAACGCCCGCGGACTTTCCATTGAGGCCCCGTCTCGGTTCCAGAGCGTTCTTGCTTGGGAGCGACCTGGATGGCCTTCCACGCATCGCATCATTTACAGTGGCGCCACTGTAGTTTCACAGCCCAGCCGCAGCTCGTTTCTTTGCGATGCCCACGCTTTGACATTCCAGGCGCCCCCCATTCGTGCCCGTTTCACCCTCTCTCCCCCGCCATACTCTTGGCAACCCAGCATCAGCCCGATTGGGCACAAGAGCGACCCCTTTAGCAGCGAAACAAGACCGCCCGCAAGCGCCCTTCGAGAACCCACCGCTGCCTGCCTAGTGCCCGGGCTCAATGGGAAAGGACGTGAGTTGATGGGACGATGATGGGAGCACCAGTGCGGTCGCAGCGGCGCGCCGTGGGCAGCAGGGAGCCACGGCGGTCCGTTGCCAGTGGCGGCGGCACCGCCTGCCGCCGGCGGACGGCTCATCTTCCTCCTTTGCATCGCTGCCGCAGTATTATTCCATCCTGGGCGTGCCCAAGGGGACGTCAGATGAAGCCACCCTCAAGAAGGGTGAGTGCACAACATGCGGGCTGTTCCTGCACGGGATGCTCGCTCCGAGGCTGCCACCTCATCCGCACACCCTGCCGCCTCTGCCTGCAGCCTACCGCAAGGCCGCGATGCAGTGGCACCCAGACAAGAACCCCGACAACCGGGAGGTGGCGGAGAAGAGGTTCAAGGAGGTGTCTGAGGCGTATGAGGTGCTGTCAGACCCAGACAAGCGGCAGGCGTACGACCAGTTTGGGGAGGAGGGGCTCAAGGGCGGCATGGGCGGCATGGGCGGCGGCATGGGCGGCGGCTTCCACCCGCGGGACGCAAACGACTTGTTTGCCGAGGTACGCGTGGTTGCGTGTGCCCTGTGTGTGGCAGACTGTACTGGATCGTACCGCGAGCCGTGGGCTGCTGTCTGGCACTCATATGTGTGCCCGTCGCGCGCCCTCCCTTGCCTGCCGCAGCTCTTCAGGAACCTGGGCAGCAATGCCGGCAGCTTCCGCAGCAGCAGCTTTGGCGGCCGCGGCTCCGACGGCTTCGCAGACCTCTTTGGCGGCGGCATGGGCGGCGGGATGGGCGGCGGGATGCCCTTTGGCGGGATGCCAGGCATGGGCAGCGGCGGCATGGGCGGCATGGGAGGCATGCCCTTTGGCGGCAGCAACGGCTTCTCAGGTAACCCGCGGCCCCCGCTGAAGCAGCCACACAGTGCTGCGGCACACGCAGCACTACTGCCATGCCAGCCCGCACTTCTGCACCGGCCTGCAGCTGCTGCCCGTGCTCACGCCCCCCTGTGCCTGCCCCGCTGCAGGCATGAACGGGCACGGCTGCGCAGGGCAGCGGCGCCCCAAGAAGGACGCCCCCCACGAGATGGAGCTGCAGTGCACGCTGGAGGAGCTGTACAAGGGCACTACGAGGCGCATGAAGATCAGGTGAGCACCAGAGGCGCCGCCTCCTTTCGTTCTCCCACGCGCCTGTGCACAGCGCTGCGCGGCGCGGCGCGGCGCGCGTGACCAGCGTCCCCGCCCTGCGGCTGCCTGCCGGTGCGCTGAGCATGCTGCGCCGGGCGCCCCGCCCGCCCGCCGGTGCAGCCACAAGCGGCTGGATGCCAGCGGGGCGCAGCGGCAGGAGCAGGAGATCCTGGAGATCAATGTGCGGCCCGGCTGGAAGGCGGGGACCAAGATCACCTTCCAGGAGAAGGGTGAGGCCTGGCTGGCTGGCTGGGCTGGGCCGCCTGGCCCTTGCTTTGGCTGTCTGCCTGCCGGGCAGGGCAGGGCAGGGCAGGGGAAACAGGCTGCGACGTGCCGTGCGGCGAGCAGCCGCGGCTGAGCTCTGTGCTGGCTGGCCGTGTAGCACACCGCCGCGCTGCCCGCCTGCTCGCCCGTCTGGTCCCGCAGGTGACGAGAACCCGGGGCGCATCGCATCCGACATAGTGTTTGTGCTGCAAGAGAAGCCGCACCCGCTGTTCAAGCGGGACGGCAACGATCTTATCTACACGCACAGGTGGGGTGCCGCCGCTGGGCGCTGCCCCACTGGTGTGTGGCATAGGGCAGCTGCTGGGCAGCCATTTCGCCTCAGCTTGCCGCCGGCACGTCCTCACTGCATGCTATGCTGCAGGCCGGCAGCCTGCTGCCGGCTGACAGCTGACCCAGGCCGCTCGCCCAGCCCCGCCCCTGCCCCGCAGGCTGCCGCTGGCCGACGCGCTGTGCGGCAGCGTGGTGCAGCTGCAGACGCTGGATGGCCGGCCGCTGACCGTGCCGGTGCACGACCCGGTGTCGCCGCAGCAGGAGAAGGTTGTGCAGGGGGAGGGCATGCCCGTGACCAAGCACCCCGGCCAGAGGGGCAACCTGCGTATCAGGTGGGCTGGCTGGGCCCCTGATCGACAGCTGCGTGCGCTTTGTTCTGGCCCACAAGGGCCAGCCATGCGGCTTCCTGGAGTTGGCTTGGCCGGGCTAGGCCGCCGGAGCGAGAGTGCCTGCCCTGATTCTTCCCCTGTGCCTGGTCCTGCAGGTTTGACGTCCTCTTCCCGCGCCAGTTGAACGATGGGCAGAAGGCGATGCTGCGGCAGGTGCTGCCCACCCACTAGCTATCTAGAGCAGGCATGTACCTGTGCGGGCGCCCCTGCCAAGCGCTGGCCCCGCATGGATCCATGGATGCCTGGCATCACCGTACACTAACCACGCTTCGGTACCCTTCCTAGCTACTCCTCACCTTCGATGGCGGCCCGCTGGCCCACAGCAGCTGCCAACCCCGCCCACCCGATCCCCACGATTCTACCTGATTTGATTGCCACCCCCGTTGTTTTCCTGGCTGCTGAGTGGCCTTGTCGAGACTCTTGGCTGGGCCTGATGCTGCCTCCGCCCTTTGCCGCCCCACTTTTTCCCTCCTTTTCATGAGGTTGCTCAAGCAACACGCCGGCGGCAATAGGCGGCAGCCTGAGGCTGCAGCTTTGCCGCTCGAGTGCGGCCGTTGGCTACTCTTCGCCACCTTGCCATGCTACATGTGTATTGCAGCTGGAGCTTCCTCGTCTGTTTCCCCGCTGCTCGTCTCTCTTCTGCAATGCCTTGCTGTTGCGCTCTCCCTGCTTGCCAGCCAACCTTTGCCAGCCAACCGCACTGCCTTAGCTGGCCACCCAACCGGCCCAGCTTTCTCGAGGGCACTTGCCATGTCCACACAGCCTGTATCTGAAACGACTGGCCCCCGCCCCCTGCTCTGCAATGCACGAGCTTTCCAATTCTTGCTTACAGGGCTTCCATTCGGTTCCCAATTCCCCCGTCGGCATGTAATTGATTCGCATTGAACAGGCTGCCAAACACACAGGAGGGACAAGGGCACACATTCACAAGGGCATCACAGCCCGCAACAGGCACAGGCAGATCTAGCGCAAGAGAAGTCAAACTCACGGGCAACGTGGCCAAGAGATAGCGTCAGTCAGCAAGTCGGGTCACGAGAGGCAGGGACAGCCGATTCCAGCTCCAGCCGCCACTCGGAAGGAGCGGGCCTCACGTGTTGGAGAAGTGCGGAGGCGGCGCGGTCCAGCTGGGCGGGCTGCTGGGCACCGCCCCAGCATGCGGCGACGACAGGTTGGACAGCCGCCCCCCCTGAGACATGCCACTCGAGGTGCGGGCAATGCACTCCAGCAGGTTTTGCGCCTGGGTGGCCTGCGGGCAGCACGCATCGGCAGGCGCGGCCGCATGTGTGCCTGTCCTGGGTCGGCTGGCAGCGGCCAGCAGCGGCTTGGCAGGCCACAGGCTCGTCCCCGGGTGCATGAGGGCTGTATGCGAGAGCCCGGCCCGCTCACCATTGAGAAGGCCCGTCCCGCCAGCTGCGCCGCACGCTGCGCCTCCGCACGCAGCTCTGCCTCGTTGGGCGCCTGCGGCCAGCCCGAGGGAGATGGCGTGGGGCCATGGCCGTTTGCAGGCACAGGCGGTACCCGGCGGAGGAAACTGGTGCAGCTTGGAAACTGCCAGGCACACCCGTTAGCCCGGACATGGGCAGCTGCCAGACATGCCCAGGCGCCAGCTGGCTAGCCAAGGTAAGCCACGCACCACAAAGGACCCTGTAGGGCTGGTGGGGTAGGAGCCACTGCCCGGTATGGCCACAGCAGGGGGTGGGGGCGGCTGGGAGGCGCCGTGCGACGGGGATGGCGGCTCTCCATGCACCGGCGGGTACAGAGAGGTGCCTGCAGCCGCGACCGCGGCGGCAACGGGCTCGCCGGTGGCCACGGAGTGGAACTGGGGAGGGGTCAGGCGCGCTTTGGTGCTCGCGCCGGAGGGCGAGGGGGGCGGGAAGTAGCCTTCTTTCCTGCAGGCAGGCGGGCCGGGGGGAGGGGCTGGCATGCTTTGCTCGGCACCCGTATACGGCAGCGCACGGCAAAGGCAACACCAGGCACGAGTAAGCATGTCGCAGCTCAGCACAGCATGGCACCACACAGCACACCTGGCCATGATGGGCGACTGCGGCACCGAGATGGGCGCCAGCCCCTCCTTCTTCTTTGCCGCCAGCAGGGCGCCGTCTGCGCCGGCGGTACCACCCTTGTCCCCGCGGCCCTCCCCCTCCAGAGAGTAGTCCCGCGCGGAGTAGATGTGGCAGCAGCCCAGGGAATGCAGCTTGTCCATCCTGCACCGACCGGCAAGGCGGGCAGGCAGCTCAGTTAGTGCATGGCTTGTGCCAGGAGCAGCACGGCTGCCCGACTTCCGCCAGTTCACGCCCTGCTGGCGCAGGGATGGGCGGCATGCATGGAGCGGCGCTCATGGGGAGCAGCGCCATTCCAGCGGCGCGCACCGGCCGATCCAGATGAATGCGGCGATGAGGAGGGCCAGCCCGAAGGAGGCTGTGACGATGAGGGAGGTCCACGTGGACCCCACAGAGTTGAGCAGGTCGCAGCAGAGGTAGGACTTGAGCCCCACCCACACCTGCGCCGTGGGAACGGCACGCGAGCCGGCCTCAGCACACAGCATGAGCGGCCGGTGCGCGGGCGGCTTGCCGTGGGCGCGGCCAGCAAAGCTGTGCAGGTGGTGGGCAGGCTGCCGGCAGTGCCTTGCACAAGGCCTGGCTGGAAGACGGGCAGGCACCTCCCTGTTAACAGCATGCCTACTGGCGGCAGCGAGCCAGCTGCTGTGGATGGCACTTAGCACTCACCGGGTGGAAAGTTGAGTATGACAGCGCCACCTCCAGAGCATCCACGCTGGCAGACACGTTGGCAAACAGCGCCGCAACGGCACCAAAGTCGCCAGAGACGGCAGCCAGGGCGGGGTTGCCATCGATGGCGGCCTGCGGCAGCACAAAGAGGAGAGTGGCATGTAATGCAACAAGAGAGCTTTGGGAAGAGCCCCCCTGCTGCATTGCATTGCACACTGCAATACTCAGTACGAGCAACTCGGCCCGCAAACAGCCGGTAGCAGATCACTGCTCCAGCAGCCGAAAAGGGAAAGCTTGCCTGCAGGTCGATGAGCGTGGCATTGGCGGTGGCCAGGCTGGCGTCCACGTCGATGCCCATGGTACTATTGAGCACGGTCAGCACGGTACCACCAGTACCAAACAGGTAGTATTGCACCAGGGCGGCAGCCGCGCCTGCACAGACAGCAGAGGGCGCAGCAGGCGGCCAGCATGTTACCCTGCACAGACGCTTGACCTGCTGCTGTCCATGCAAGCGTGGCCGCCGCCCTGGTGAGCCTGCGGGGCTTGCCTGAGCCGCCGCTGCCGAGGCTGAAGGAGCCGGAGCCGGACACCGCTTCCATGAGCTTGTCCTCCACATTCACGCACACGTCATTGCCCACCCTGCGGGGTACAGGGCAGCCCGCAGCTCTCAAATGTACCAGGTCAGCAGACGAGAAGCACCAGTGGCGGCACCCAGCACTGAGCAGCCTGGTATGCTGCACCATGCCCCCAATGCTGCCGGCTCGCAAGCTGCACCTGAGCACCGCTGTGAGGGCCACCACGAAGATCCAGACCAGTAGCATGAGGATGAGGAAGAGCAGGATGAGGGGCTTGGCGGCGGCGGGCCAGTCCACCAGCATCGCAAAGGCGGCCACCACCGCCAGCCCTGCCAGCACGCCGTAGGCGATGTAGAGGCCGATGCCACGCCTGCAAGGGGCATGAGAGGCAGGCTTTGCCCGTGACTGGGGCCATGGCATGCTGCAGCAGCCAGCCGGCTGCGTGCCCGCACAGCTCCCCGAGCAGCTAGAGCACTCGCCAAGCACAAACGCATGGGCGTGAGGTGCCCCTGTGCAGCGCTGGGCGTACCACTTGTCTGCGGTGCGGGCGATGGGCGAGTGGTCATCGATTGCAGTGTTGACTCTGTCCACGGTGTTGGAGCGAATGGTGGCCAGGTCGGTATCAAAGGAGGTGAAGGAGGAAAGCGAGGAATGGGTGTCGTCGATGGCCTGCACGGCAGGAGCCAGCCTCATGGTTTGGTGGTCGAGGGCATGTGGGGCGGTGGGACGATGGGCCACCAGTTGAGCATGCAAGCGGCCGTCGGGGGCTGGAGGGCAGCACTTGTGCTGCATACCGGCAGGCGGGCCCACGCCCAGCCAGGGCACGCCGCCTCGGGCTTGCCTGGGTGTAGGGCGCCACCAGGCCGGCCGCCATGGGCCCCAGCCCAGTCAGGCCGTCCTTCACAACCAGCAGCTGGGCATCCATGGCCTGGGTGGCTGCCACAGTGGCAGCGCCGGCCGCCAGGGCCGCCTCTATGTAGTCAGTGACGGTTGTGATGGCGGCCAGACCCGCATCCACCATCACCGCTTGCACCTGCGTCTCGCCGTAGATGCCGCCCGCCAGCACGCCCGCCGCCAGCAGCAGCACGGCGGCCTTGACCCACCGCGCGCCGCTCCCCGTCAGCAGCTTGCGCGCCTTCTTGCCCTCCCGCTGCGGCCCGCGCACGCACTCGCAGCAGGAGCACAGCTTGACCAGGCGCCAGGCCAGGAAGGAGAGGAGGAGGATGAGGGAGAGGATGAGAGCCACGCCCGCGCCCACCACATGAGGCACCAGCGAACTCTTGATGTACCCCTGCCAGTTGCCCAAGTCCAGCTGCGCCAGCGGGGCTGGCCTGGTGGCCAGCGGCAGGCTCCTACGGAGCATGAAAGGGCAGGTTTGGCCGGCATGGTGGGCAGCTGGGCCGGCCGGCCAGCCGACTCGCAAGATGGGCGCGCCACCGCCGCCCACCGCCGGGTGGCCTCACCTCCAGGGCGCCGACGGGCATGTCTGTGCGGCCGCTTGGCCCGCGGTGGCCAACAGCGTTGATAGAACGGCCTGCAGACACGGTCGCAGCGCGTTAGCCGGCGCGTTCCGGAGGCATTGACGGCGAATGGCGTTCGCACACGCACCAGCGCTCTTGTCCGCATTCTAATTTGGGTGAAGTGCGCCAATTGGAGTGAAAAGTATGAAATCAGGGCTTCCAAGGGCACTCCGCGTTGGCTTCACTTTTCACCTGCTATGTGTGCTGGGCCGGTGCGCCGGCGCCGAGCGGCGAGCAGATGTGCACGTTTACAGAACTCTCGGCATTCAACGATCAAATTTATCCACACAATTAGATTCAGGTGCGATCAGTGCAGTGTTTAATATGTTCAAGACGGCTGAGGCCGGAGGCCGGCTGCAGGCGCGGAGAGGGACCGGTGGCAGCCACGGAGAGGGACGCAGGTGGCAGCCGCTGCACCCTCATGGCAGCATCGAGCGACACGCCACCAACCCCACCGGCAGGAGTATCACTACCAGCACAGCAACGGCGGCCAGCAGAAATCCGCTGCCCTCCTCCTCTTCCTCGCCGCTTCGGACCGGGGGCGGCGCATACGCCGCGTTTTGATTGACCGCATCGAAGTAGCGCCTCCACTGCAGCAGCGGAGCAGGGCATCCAACAGCACAATCACACCAACCACGGCCTGTGCTCTGTGCCCACCAGCAATGCACGCCTGCCCACGCAACTGCAGCCCGGCGCCTGCCAAGGCCGTCAGCCCCAACCAAGACACGTGCCGACAACACCCTGCAGGCTGTGACGCCAGCCCCGCACCTGATCCGTGCTGGGCTGGTAGCTCAGGTTCTTCGTCTTCAGACTCTCCGCAGCCTTCCAGCCAAACAGCATGCTGCACGCAGCGGTTGGGGAGGGAGGGCGAGGCGCACTCGAAGCAAGCACCGCGCCCGGCGCCCAAACCGGCGCGGGGCCCTGCAGCTACCTGTCGGGCGCAGGTCCAGGCCCTGGCAGCGCCTGGCACCCAACGTGGCACGCTCTGCGCCCAAAGCCGCCTACACCCAGCCTCACCGCTTGGCCTTCTTGGCCACCCCGGGAGCAGGGTGGGTCTGTATGTTTTTGTAGATGTCATACGCCTCCTGGTTCTGCCCCAGCGAGTCCAGGCAGATGGCCTGCTGCAGGCGGGCCTCGCCCCCCAGCCGCGACCGCAGCGCCATCAGCTCGGAGGCGGCGGCAAACCTGCGGGGCGGGAGCTGGGCAGGGCGGGAGTGAGGCGCGGCGAGCGCGCAAATCGCTGGCAGCTGGCAGCCCTGCAGGTGGCCTGCCAGCGAAGCGGCCTCCCCGGCGCGGCAGCTTCCCGCGGCTGGGGCCAGCGGCAAGCCGCCGCTCTCACTTGGGCAGCGCAAGGCTGATCAGGCCTTGGTCAAACAGGGCGGTGCCCTCGTCGCACAGCGCCTGCACACAGCCAGCAGCACGCGGCAGGTGCCGGGGGACGTGAGGAGCCGGCGCCGGGGATCTCTCGCCAGCGGCAGCATGCGCACACAACTCTCGTGCCCCGCGCGCACCGACCCACCCACCCACACACTTTCACACACACACACCACACCTGCGCCTGCGCCTCCACCTCTGGGTCCACATCCAGCCCCAGCGACTTGCGATACTCCTGCATGCTCCTCTTGATGCGCTCCTCCCGCTCCACAGCCTGCTCCTGCGGCTCCAGCGCCTGCCCCGGCCGCAGGGTGCGCCCGCCGCCGTACGCCTCTGAGATGTTGCGGGGGCGGGGGAACACCTGCGGGGCGGGCGCGCGGGCGGGCGCGGCGGGCAGGCAGTCGACGGCAGCAACAGACACAGCGCGGCTGCTTGGCCCGCCGGCGCAGCCGCGAGCCCGATGCTCGCATGCCTAACTCAGCGCTTCAGCACTTGCAAGGGGCTGCGCGGCAGAAGGCAGCCTTACTGCTGCCCCCGCATCATGAAAGGCAGCAGAACAGTCGGCGCAAGGCGGCAGCCCGCTCACCCCCCAAGTCGCCACTTTGGGCTTGTGCAAGTCTTCACCCTTCTCCTCCTCAATCACCGAGCCGCCGGCCTCCCCACCCGGCTGCCCCTGCTGCGCTGCCCTGTCCTGCCGAGCCTGCGCCGCCCACGAGGCGTCCGCCGTAATGATCTCCACCCGCTGCTGCTTCTTTTGAGCCTCCTTGGCCAGAGTAAACTGCTCGGCGCTGAGGTTTTGGTCGATGGCGGCGCCGCCGTCGCCGCGGTCAGGCTTCTCCGCAAAGCGCAGCCAGTTGGCTGCCTGGACTGCGCCGCCGCCGCCGGTGCGGAACGAGCGCTGCTGCTCCGCCTCATCCTGCTGCTGCTGCAGCTGCTGCTGCTGCTCCGGAGCCGGCTGCGCCTGCGGCGAGGCAGTGCCGCGGGGGGCGGCAGGGAACACAGAGGCCGGGCTGGCTGTGGCAGCGGGGCTGGTGGCAGGAGGGCTGCCGCTTCCAGGCTGCTGCTTGTAGCTGCGTGCCGCTGCGATGCGGGCAAGCATAGCCTCCCGGCTGGCAGCGGCCTCAGACGTGCCACCGCTGCTGCTGCTGCTGCTGGCGGTGCCACCGCTGCTGCTGCTGCTGCTGGGGCTCGTTTCGGAGACGGCCTGCAGGAACTTCGCCTCCTCCTTGGCTGCCAACTGCTGTGCTGCCTGGTCAAACGCCTGCTCCACGTCCTGGCCGCTGGCTGGCGGGGGAGCCGGGGGTGCTCCTGCTGCTGCTGCTGCTGCTGCTGCTGGCGGCGGCGGCTGTGGCACGGGAATCGCGCCTGCAGCACCGGTGGCAGGCGGCTGTCCCTGACCGCCCTTCTTGTACTCTCGCGCCTTGCTGATGCGTGCCTGCATTGCTTCCCGGATCTGCTGCTGAGCAGGGGTCAGCGGTGGGCCGCCAGGCGCCTCGGCGCTGCACCGCTGCCCCAGGCGCTGCCGCCGTTGGGCTGGGGGCGGCGCGCTGGGTGCTGTCCGCAGCGCGGCGCTGGTGCGAGCAATCATGGCTGCGCCTCCCGGGGCGTGCAAGCGCCTGCAAGGAGCGCCAGGCTGGTGGGAGGGAGCACTTTAGGCAACCACAGACGGGTGGCCGTTTCAGGAGCGTGGTATGTTTGTGCTGCTACTCTGTGGCGCTGTGTATGTGGAATGGGGTGACCAGGAAGCGCTTGGTGCATGAACGACCTTCTCTCGGCCAGCTCAGCGGGGACAAGATATGGACAGCTGATCGATCGCATGTCATCTCACAATACCTCAGGAGGTTTGGAATTGCAGCTAGGCTCGGCCCCAGACCCGCATCGCACCATGGCCACCACCACTTGCAGAGCCTCCCTCTGCTGCGCCAGGGCGCAGCAGCAGCAGCACCACCAGCAGCGCAGCACCCAGGCGACACCGGCGCCGGCGCAGCAGAAGCTCCCACACGGCCGCCGCCAGCTGCTGGGCGGCCTCGCCGCCGTCGCGGCCGCCGTCGCCTTGCGTCCGGCGCGCCCAGCGGCAGCCACCGGCATAGAGAGCATCGACCTGCCGCAGCTGCAGATACCCGAGGCTCTGGCCCAGAAAAAGGCCCGCAACCAGGATATCATCGACTCTGCAGAGAAGTCTTTCCAGGAGTCGGGTGCGCCGCCTGTTGACCGGTAGGCGGGGGCAGGAGCATGCTTGCCTGCGCCTGTGCCTGCGCGCGGCCCCTGCCGAGCACAGCTGCCTGAGTCGTGCACGCTCCTTCCCGCTCTCTCCCTGCACCACTGCTGGCACAGACCTGCTGCGCACGCTGAAGGAGCGCAGCGAGGCCAACCGTGGCGCCAACAAGAAGGCCCTGGAGGATCGCTACTGCATGCGGCAGGCGGAGCTGGGTGTGGGCGACTGCGGCGGCCTGCGCCTCATCCCAGGCATGACCAAGAGCGGCGTGCAGAAGCGGCCCGAGTGGATGAACAGCCTGTTTGGCATGGAGGAGCAGGAGTGATGCCCTCTGGACAGCGTTACTTACATGCGGTTTGCAAAAGTGCAAATAGGCGGGGATGGTATGAACAGCAGGACATAGCACAGTGGTACCAGGGGTTATTGCTATGCTAGTAGGCGGCAGGGTATCCGAAGAAATGGATCTGAATGAGGATAGTACTTTCACAGAGCGGCGGTGGCGAAGGGAAGGGCTGCCCCGCCGGTTTGAGTTCACCGATCGGCAGCCTCTGAGAGGTGCTGGGCTGGCTGCTGGCGGCGGCTTTGGTCATCCGCGGTGCTGGGCGCGTCGGCTGGTCAGGGAGCCGGGGCGGGGGCGGCAGTCCTTGATGGTCTTGACGTCCACCCGCAGCCGCAGGCCTGCAGGAGGGCGAGGGGGGCAGGGAATGGGGCATGGGTGAGGAGCCTGGCCGCTGGCCCATGGAGCGGTGTGTGCATGGCAGGAAGGGCGGCAGGCACCCCCCGCAGCCGGGGCCGCAGCAGGAGCGCTGCGCCCGCTCACCGTCCACGCAGTTGTCTGCCAGCTGGTCGGAGTAGTAGAAGGTGCCGGTCTTGGAGAAGGTCATGTACTGGGTGGCCTGGTCAACAGAGTTCTCGGGCCACAGGGGGTTGATGGCGTAGTCTGTCTGGTCGCAGCCCCAGCCAGTCATCTTCCACCTGCCAGGCAGGAGGGTGGGCGGCAGCGGGTGGCGGTGAGGGAGTGCGCGAAGAAGCAAGGTGGGCGGAGGAGACGGTTAAAGGCAGGCACACCATGCAGCACTTCACAAACACCACCGGCGAAAGTACCCCGCCCGGCTGCCGGCAACACCACTGCCCACTGGCCTCCTCCCCCGCCGTGCCACACCGTGTGCCCAGCACGCGGCAACTCACAGGCTGTGCTCCTCGTTCTTCCACCACACTTTGAGCACGTCGCCCTTGCAGATGGTGATGTGTTTCCGTGGCACTCCATCGATCACCGGGGAGGAGTTCTGCCACTCCACCGAGTCTGCCAGGGGCAGGGGAGAGGCCAGCGGGACGGAGTGTGAGCGGAGCGGCGCAGCGGTGCACAGGTGCTGGCGCTAACGGCAGCCTCCTCAAGCGGCACCCCTGCAGGTGGGTCCGTCCACACGGTCGGTGCCTCACATGTCTTTGCGTCTGCGCCGCTGCAGCAGACCAGCAGGAGGGCCAGCGCGATGGCGGCGGCGGCGGAGGACGATCTCGACAGCATGTGGGGATGGAGGAGGGAGGGAGGGCAAGGGGGTGTGGATGGGCTGGAAACCTGGAGGTGAGGTGGTAATGTTGGAAAATGGCATGGTTGCGCGGGTTTTAAGGGAGTTCTAGCGCGTAGTACCCCTGCAGCTCCACAGCTGCCCAGGAAGCTGGGCACGGACTCACAACGACCCCCAAAACGACCTCTGGAAGGGGCGCCGAAGGTTGGACGATTAGCGCCTTCCGCGGGCTTGGAATGCACTCGGCGCCCTGCGCGAGCAGCAGGCGGTCACCAGGTGAAGAGCGCCCAGTTTGTGTCTGGGCGTCCGGCCACCGCCGCCGCCGCCGCCATCGCCTGCAGGCGTGGTAGCAAGTGGCACCGTCGCTGCCGCACTCCGCATGCGCTGTACATGGTCATGCGAAGACGGCCCACTCTTCAGACTTGTGCTGACACATTCGCTGGCAGGCAGGGCCATGCATGGTTGTTCTCCTGGCGTGGGTACCCGACCCCCATGAGCGTCGTTGTGAATAGTGCTAGCAGGCGCCGCTGTCGCCGCATCTGTTTGCATCTGAACAAGCAGTACTCAGCAGGCCCCCAGTGTTCATTGATTACGCAACCGATCAGAAAGCCACGTGAGTCCCCTGGCTTTCACCCAGCCTGGCTGACTCAGCCAGTCGGACCCCACCAACTCTGAAGAGTCGATGCTGCCGCCGGCGGCACGGGCGCGGCAGATGGTAGCATCATGCCGGGGAGTGGTGCCCCTATTGTGTAGCATTACAAGTTGCAGCAAGTTGCAGGGAGTGACCGAGATGAGCTCTGTGTTTCTCTGCTTTATCTTGCTCATGCTGTGCCGAGTTGCTCCCGCAACCGTCGCAGCGGCGTACCACGCCATCGGGCCACGCTGCCTGGTTTGTGTGAATCCTACCAAGCGGATGCCCCAGTGATCAAACGGTTCTGGATTTAAGCAGCGGTGTAGGCAGGTCTGGCAAGGAGCCCCATGGCAGCAACACAGAGCAGAGATGCATGCAACGCAAGCGGCGGCGGTGGTGGCGGCAGCCGGCGGCGGCGGAAGGCAAGCAGTGGCAAGAACTTGCGCCGCAAGCCTGAGCGCTGTATCTACGCCGCTGAGTGCCACCTAGCCACTAGCCGGCGAGTGACGCTGCCGGCTCATCGTGCGCGCCGCGCACACCATGCGGGACGAAGCTGCCCCGACCTGCAGTGAATGCGAAGCCTCACCAACGGGACGAAGCTGCCCTGTGGCAACCGCGTGAACACCAGCTTCACATGATTGCACTCCTACCACGTGCACAGGTGTCCCTTTAATGGAGGGAGGGGCAGAAACAGGACTCTGCGGTAGCTGCGGAAGCCGCCAGGCAGCTGCTCTGGAGTCTGGTTCGAACTCCCTCAAAACCCGCGCAACCATGCCATTTTCCAACATTACCACCTCACCTCCAGGTTTCCAGCCCATCCACACCCCCTTGCCCTCCCTCCCTCCTCCATCCCGCCATGCTGTCGAGATCGTCCTCCGCCGCCGCCGCCATCGCGCTGGCCCTCCTGCTGGTCTGCTGCAGCGGCGCAGACGCAAAGACATGTGAGGCACCGACCGTGTGGACGGACCCACCTGCAGGGGTGCCGCTTGAGGAGGCTGCCGTTAGCGCCAGCACCTGTGCACCGCTGCGCCGCTCCGCTCACACTCCGTCCCGCTGGCCTCTCCCCTGCCCCTGGCAGACTCGGTGGAGTGGCAGAACTCCTCCCCGGTGATCGATGGAGTGCCACGGAAACACATCACCATCTGCAAGGGCGACGTGCTCAAAGTGTGGTGGAAGAACGAGGAGCACAGCCTGTGAGTTGCCGCGTGCTGGGCACACGGTGTGGCACGGCGGGGGAGGAGGCCAGTGGGCAGTGGTGTTGCCGGCAGCCGGGCGGGGTACCTTCGCCGGTGGTGTTTGTGAAGTGCTGCATGGTGTGCCTGCCTTTAACCGTCTCCTCCGCCCACCTTGCTTCTTCGCGCACTCCCTCACCGCCACCCGCTGCCGCCCACCCTCCTGCCTGGCAGGTGGAAGATGACTGGCTGGGGCTGCGACCAGACAGACTACGCCATCAACCCCCTGTGGCCCGAGAACTCTGTTGACCAGGCCACCCAGTACATGACCTTCTCCAAGACCGGCACCTTCTACTACTCCGACCAGCTGGCAGACAACTGCGTGGACGGTGAGCGGGCGCAGCGCTCCTGCTGCGGCCCCGGCTGCGGGGGGTGCCTGCCGCCCTTCCTGCCATGCACACACCGCTCCATGGGCCAGCGGCCAGGCTCCTCACCCATGCCCCATTCCCTGCCCCCCTCGCCCTCCTGCAGGCCTGCGGCTGCGGGTGGACGTCAAGACCATCAAGGACTGCCGCCCCCGCCCCGGCTCCCTGACCAGCCGACGCGCCCAGCACCGCGGATGACCAAAGCCGCCGCCAGCAGCCAGCCCAGCACCTCTCAGAGGCTGCCGATCGGTGAACTCAAACCGGCGGGGCAGCCCTTCCCTTCGCCACCGCCGCTCTGTGAAAGTACTATCCTCATTCAGGTCCATTACTATCACACTACATCCTGTTATGTACACAAGTACACAAATCAAAAGCAGCCTATTGAGGGGTTAATCGCTAGAAGGCAGGGGGTAGAAGGGGCTCCCTGGCAAGGAGTATGCATGCGGGCTCGGCCCAGCCGCCGCGGCACCCCACGGGAACGTGTATATCATGATTCCGTGGGGCCGGGGTGGCAGAGGAGGGGGGACGTCTGGGCTCGAAACAGGGATTAGCAAAAGAATTGGGGCAGACACAGGGACACAGGGACTAGGCTACAGACGGGCAGGGACAGACAGTGGTGTGGGGCAAGTGTGAGCTGGGAACAAGAAAGAGCGGTTATCAAGAAGGCATTGGGGGCCGGCTTCTGCCAGCCGCAAAAGTGATTGCTCTCATTCAGTTCATTGACAGGGGTTGGGAAAGGGGGCACGTTTGTGTTGCTGGGTGGTGCGCGGGGCCGCAAGCCGCCGACGCCACCTGGCGCCGCCTCGCAGCGCCGCCTTGCACACGAGGGCGCCGCCCAAAGCGTGCGCCAGGCAGGCATGGCCGCCTGTCGCTCACAGCGGCCTCCGGAGGGCGCTCACAGCGAGCTCTGGAAGGTGCGGTTGATGACATCCAGCTGCTGCTCGCGCGTGAGGCGGTGGAAGTGGACGGCATAGCCAGACACGCGGATGGTGAGCTGGGGGTACTGCGGGCAGGCAGCGGGAGGGAGAGGGGCAGGGGGCGGGCAGGCGGGACAGGTCAGGGCGCGGCCAGAGACCGGGAGCAGTGCCCAGCCAGCAGCAGCAGCAGCGGCGGCCAGGTCCCCCAAACAACACGGCATGCATCTAGGCAGGGAGGTAGGCAGGGAGGCAGGCATGAGCCCCACACCTTCTCCGGGTGCTCCATGGCATCGATCAGCGTCTCCTTCTGCAGCACGTTGATGTTGATGTGGTGCCCGCCCTTGCCTGCAGGCACAGGGTCGGGGTTGGGGCGGCACAAGATTGGTGAGGGCACAGGATCGGGGTTGGGGCAGGCAGGCCAGGGGCAGGCGCTCAAGGGTTGTTGAACACCTCTCGACCTCACGGCAGGGCGCCGGGAGAGTGTGCCGTCAGGTGCGAGACCGTGCTGACTCCACGCCCTGCCTGCTGCGCAGCAGACGCCACCCCTTGCACCGTCGCATCACATTACACCACTACAACAAGCACTTATCCCTAAGCCCACCACCCACAACCACACCCACACCCACACACCCACACCTACCGGCATAGCCGTCCAGGATAGACACCAAGTTGTCGATGCGAGCCTCAGGGGTCTTGCCCAGGGTGGCGGGGATGAGCGTGAAGCTGCGGCAGGGGACAGGCAGGGACGGGGGGGGCGTTCGTGCCAGCCAGCCGTGAACCAGCCTGCATCATGACACGCCGCGCCAGCCCGACCTCACGGAGCCACCTGCCAGCAGCTGCTGCCGCTTCCGCCGCGCCTTGCTGCTGCCCCACTCGCTCCCCAACCCCCCCCCTCCACCACTGCAAGAAACCTGCCATGCCTCGGTCGGGCCGCCACCGGCGCTTGCCCCCTACCCCACCCCACCCCGCCACCCCGGAACTCCGAGCCGGAGCTGGCTCACGTGTTGCTGACGCCATCCAGGGCCTCCTTGTATGGGATGGAGGCCACCGAGTTGAGGGAGGCCAGCGCCCCCGAACAGTCGCGGCCGTGCATGGGGTTGGCGCCGGGGGCAAAGGGCTCGCCGCGCTTGCGCCCGTCGGGCGTGTTGCCCGTGGCCTTGCCGTACACCACGTTGCTGGTGATGGTCAGCACGCTGCAGGGGCAGAAGGTGAGCGGGGGACGAGGGGTGGCGCGTGCGTCGTAATGGTGGGGTGAAGGAGAAGGGTGGGAGGCAAAAGGGGCGAGCAGCAGGGGATGTAGGGGCGGCAGTAGGCTCTCAAGCCCCCGCAACCCTGCTGCAGCACCACCCCCGTCCAGAGCCCCGGCGCGCCAGCTTCCCAACCCGCTTCCAGCCTGCTGCCACGCCGCGCCCCAACTTCCCACTGCCACACCACACCCGCCTTGCTCACCCCCCCCCCCCCCCACACACACACACACACGCCTCATCCTGCCCCCACACCGCCTCATCCCGCTCCCATCCCACCCACCTCAGCGTGGGCACCGAGGCGCGGTACGTGTGCTGCGCCGCCAGCTTGTCGTGGAATGCGGCCACCAGGTCGCGAGCGATGCCGTCCACGCGGTCGTCGTCGTTGCCGTAGGTGGGCCACTCGCCCTCAGACCTGCGGGCCGGAGGCAGGGCAGGGAGGGCGGCAGGGTTGGCAGGGTTGGCGGGCAGGGACGCAGGGAGGGAGAGGAGCAGAGTGGATGGGCCTGGCTGCTGCATGCAGGGCATGCAATGGCGCGTGGCGAGGGGTGGCAACCGCGGGCGCGGCGACCGGGTGCTCTGCTGCCAGCGCGTGCTTGCAGAGCCCGCCCCGCCGACACCACACACCACCAGGGGCAAGAAGCAACCCCCTGAAACCAGCAGCAACCCCCCGGGACAAGCAGCACCCACCCACACGCCCACCTAAAGTCCACCATGACGCCCCCCTCGTTGTACACCGGGAACACCTTGCCGTACTTGATGGCAGACAGGGAGTCGGCCACCACGCTGCGGGGAGGGAGGGGGAGAGGGAGGAGGGGGAGGGCCGAGGGGCTGGTTGGCGCGCGCATGTGCGAGGGAGTGGCGTGGGCGTGGCTTGGGGGCACGCGCCCTGGAGCAGAGTGGCTGGAGGCGTGGCGGGGCGGGGCAGGCCCGCGGCTGGCTCTGCGCACCTGAGGCCCGCCATGCCGTAGGCCATGAGGCGGCGCACGTATGTGTCGTGCAGCGCCATCTGCAGCCGCTCGTAGTCGTACTTGTCGTGCCTGCGGGGCAGGGGGAGAGAGAGGGGGGGCAGGGGGCAGGGGGGAGCACAGCGTCAGGCGGGCGCGAGGCGAGGTGGGGGGGGGGGGGGGGGGGGGGCCCCCCGGGGGGGGGGTACA